TGTATCTTACCCTTCCAGTTAAAACAGAGTTTGAACATTTTCGAGAAACGATACAAAATGTCAGGTTCTTTTATTACATTTTACTCCTCGAATTGTAAGAATTTAAGAACGTTGGAAGCCCACACAAAAGGCATTGTAAATGGCATCTGAACTTTTCCGATTTACATTCAACATGATGTGAAACTCTGTATATAAATTGGAAATACCTCGACATCCGGTTTCCGAGATCTCAACGCCCTTTTCCGGAGGGCAAATGAACGAAAAACGAAGTTCATTTTGGCCGATTGCACGGTCCGTTGGCCAAGCATGAGGCGATCGGATTTGGACTTGAGTTTCTCTTAAATCAACGCCGTTTAACGCGCGAATAACCCTCCGCTCCAAGGTTCTGATTATGTGACAGTATGCTTGTTAGGCACGTATCTCCGATTTGTAGCTCTGATGCTATTTGGAAGTCTCCAATTTATTTATGTATAACTCGGACTCAAACTTTCTTGTAATACGTGTAAATACCCACCCATTTAAAGGGTAAGTAAATTATACAAGAAAGGGGCACTTCCCATTTGCAAAATGTAACTAAGTAGTCTTAAAAAGTTGGTCTGGGTTTAATTATCTGGAAAGTAGAGCGGTAAATGTTACAGCCTAAAGTGTATTCTACATTACAATTATGGAGGTTACAAAGGAAATGCTCGACTTATTGGAGAGGGAATGTGTTTGAGATGAAACTCTTTCATGTATAATATCCTGTTTTCTAAACTTACAGTATCCTCTTTTATATTTATGAGATTTCCCAAAACCAGTCCGTATTTGGATACACTTTTGTGACCCGCCAGCGACCTTCCCATGCTCCAAATCGCCCGGAAGCAATAAGTTTGTTCTAAAGAGTCCAATACCTCATAAAATGCATAAGGTCGCTAAACTTTGGGCGCCGATCACTCTCTTAAACGCTCTCCAGAAGTCGCTTTTCTCGACCTCTCTCGCCGTGCCCTTGTCGTCCCTGATCGGGCATTTCTCGCCGCCTTCCCCTCCCACCGAAACGTGTCCCATCATTACGAACATTTACACCTTTTATGAGGTCTTTCGGAATAATAAGCGAAGCCTCCTTCCTCGAAGCCTCTCCTTGGCGTCAGAATTTAAAGGATGACACATGGGGAGATGCATCTTTTGGACTGTTTTCTGATTAAATTTAATTTTCGGGCATGACTGTAAAGTTTCTTTTTCCGGACAGGCATTATTGGACCCTTTCCGGTCTCAAGCCCATTACATTTACATAAACACGGCCCATCTTTTTGGGCCTGATTCCGATATTTTATGAAATTCGGTGAAGAATCTTTTTCTGATTTTTTTGTCTGTGTCATTTCTGAACGGGATTACTGTAAGTCCGGGAATAAAGAAAACATTCAATGTTGCGCAACGTTGAGTATTGTTTTGTAAAATTTTTGTAGAAATTACTCTTGTCCGCAGAAACGGCATTCTTTTAAGTTTTTGCATTTAAAGGATGTTTGCACGTCAAAAGGAGTTGTTCTTTTGAATTTGGATATTATGTGACGAGCTTGTGATCTTCGAGGACAATGAGGCCCGGTCAAGATTAAGTTGCATTCAACTTGCAAGGCCTCAGCGAATTCCTGACAAGAAATTGGGCTCGACAGTTGCCGGATTCGTTTCTTGTGGAAATCGGATCCCCTCAGGGCATAGACTTTGGTCGATTTCTTCGAAACATTTTAAACTTTTCATTTAAAAACTCTCCGTTTCCCAGGTTTGGCCCGCCATTATTTTGATGGCTATGAGTAAGAAGTTGTCGCCATTAAGGGAGCGGACCTCTTTGGCCTCCTAAATTTGCATTTCCATTCACTTCGGGAATGATCTGGCCCGGCGTGTGGTCTCCGTCGTCTACCGTAACCCCCTTTCGATCATTTTGGGCATTTCTGGACCGAAGCCCGGGTTTTCTGAAGAACGGGCTTCTGATCTCGGGGGAAGATAACGCGAACCACAGTCCCAAAGTTTTGTCCTCCAGAGGGGGGAGATAATCATCTGAGCGCCAAAACTTCTCGCAGCGAATCGACGAAAAGTGTTTAGAACACTCGCTGAAATGAGGCGAAGAACGGCACGATCGGCGCCCAGTTTGGCACTTAATTGACAAGTTTTTATCTGATTCTCGATGGATTGATGGACAAATCAAGGTTGAACGGATTTTTCTGGCATAGAAATAAGGTTGAGTTTGAAGAAGACATTAGATTTGGTGCTCTGGGATTACTGTAATCAACGGTTTACTCTCAGATATCTTTAATTTTAGATTTTAGTGAATTTCAAGGATTAGCAAAACATTGTTCTAAAATAATATTCCTATTTCATTAGCAGTCCCCCGCCTGTAGCAAGTCCTTAAGTCTTTCACAATTTAAAGTCACATCATAACAAGAAAAATCCTCGAGTCTGGATCCCTCTAATCCCGGCCGGTGAGGGTGGAGGCCTTTGGAACCGGGCGAAGAGATTAAGATTCCTCTTGGGGACCCGGATTCCATTTCTCGGAAGCTCAAAATTGGCTTCCTCTTAATCTCCGGGCTTCTGTAGTACTGTAAATATCTGTTTCTGGATGATGCTTAATTAGTTTTTTTTCGAATTAATTTTTGCTAATTTTTGATGGCGCTTTGTATGTTGGTTTCTAATGCCTCAACCTATGCAAACCAATGTATTTTTAACTCTTTACTTCCAATTATTGCATGGAGTTCCTCGAAAATGTACTTCCAATTGATGAGTGAGTAAAATGACCCTTGCCTATTACTGTAAAGGGCTAAGAGGACGACGAGAAAATGCATTATTATTTCTCTTATGCCCGTTCATTCCATCCCTTGGGTTCAATTCATATCGGTTATGTCAATTACACCTAACTGGCAGGGTCTGTTAGTTGCTCAGGAATTTATATAATGGATTGGGCCCGGAGGGATTTGTTTCATGGATCTTTCCAAATTCATATAATCTATTCCTCGAGTTTACTGACTCATCCCACAGCTCCTTTCATACCTTTACAACATTTATTTTCCTCGCATTTAAGTTTTGTCATAGACAATCGAATTGGTAGGCCGATTGGTTTTTATCGTGACTGATAAGAGATTCAAAGAATTCTCCTGAATCACGAGAAAATGTGACGTTTGGGAAATGAAAAACAAAGAAGTTTTCGTGGTGGGACCAAAGTTGGAGAGCAGTGATAAGAATGGTATGATAAACGGATAGAAAGGTTAATTCAACTGTTTGTTATGCCCAAAACTCGAGCCGTTTGCTTCGAACATCTCGAAGGTGGCATTGACTTTGTAGTCTAGTCAAATTATGGCATCAAACATCTCTTCCAGCATTCCGCTTTAATCTCGATCGTAAATGCCCTGAGGCTCTTCGATCCTCATGTGGACAGGTCACGCCCGTTCCGGCATCCAGACCTCACCCTTACGAAATACCTTTGTAGGCGTATGACTTGTCCAAATTCATGGGTACTTTCCATAAAAGGCTCACTTTTTATACGAAAAGGTCACTCTCTAAACTATATTGTATTCTTCTGATAAGTCTTATCAACAGGTTTCCGGAGAGCTTTCTGTAATTTCAAACATTGAAATTTGGCAACGAAATTGTTTTTTCATATGACATTTCTTATCTTGCCTCGAGGAATTTTTTAGAAATCTTTTCGATTATTGGGACATCTCGCTCTTACCGTAATCTTTATGACTATTCCTTCTACCCACAAGTCGTAACTTTGGCATTTAAAACAGTGTAAATCCGAATTAATATTCCTTTAAATCATCCCAGTATGTTGACATAAGTCTTCTTTAACAGCCCTCTCAGCCCGCGCTTCATTCCCACCGTATAAACGATTTAATAAAACTCGTTAATCACTCACTCCAGATGGTCGCCAAAAACAAAAAGAAAAACTTAGTAAAGGGACGGTACAAGTTTAAACCGTCCCCCAAAATAACTCTGCCCTTTCTCGGAAACAACGCGCGGACAGTGCAAAAGTCTCGGGCTGAGACAATCGATGTGATCGGAACACTTCTTCTCCGACTTCTGGAAACGGTGTTCGTCGTCTTCCGAAGCGCGTGATTTCTGTATTTTAAACTGGGAGTAATTATTTTGGGTCCTTTAAGTCACCTTCTAATAGGCTCAAAGACCGGAGATATGGTTGGTTATGTGCACCGTTTCCTGCGCGCAATGTCTTTTTTCCGGGGAGTTGCATGCCCTAAGGGCGCCGGTTCAATATGTTGTTGTAACGTCTCCATTTCGTTGAGTTATTGGATGTCCTGTCCGCAAATTCGCAACAAAAAACGGTTGTCGGGGAAGAGAGGACAGGGGTGGGACAAGAGAAGACGGTGGCGGGAAGGGGCGGGCCTGAGGGGATCTACTCATAATAAACAGAAATATTACCAGGCCGATCCGTTTTTTGGGCGTTAAGCCGGGCTTAGCCGGTGAGGGTGGAGGGTTTTCTTTCAAAGCCAATCTTTTGTGGCCTGAGGCGGTTTTCTGGAAAAATTTGGGAGTTCAATATTAAGTGGCCTATTCACATCTTGTGCTCCAAATTTCGGGGCATTTGTGCTCGGCTGTAGGTGGACGAATTTTGTTTGGCCCTTTTGTGGCTAATAAGAATCAATTGGACTTGTATGACGCGCACAGCCGCAGACTACCAAAAAACAAAGGTGGATCGGCGTTCTTGGACTTTTTTCGCGTCTTTCAGAGGCTGAAAGGGGCGGATCAAAGGGTATGCAAATCGCGAGAATGCCTCATCAAGCGTTCCCGAAACAAAACACCACTCCTACTATAGTCAGGCTGTTCTGGCCCAACTTTTCTTTGTCTCTTCGTATTCTTATAATTTATACCGTATTCAAGTCAGGCCCAATGGCCAACTTCTAGTTGCGCTTTTCGTGAATTCAGCTCGGATTTCTGCTCGGAATGTGTAATTAATCTTGTTTTACAGAGTCGAATAGAACCAGCGCGCATCTTTGCCGGAAAAGGTTCCAATTCCCTCAATGTCATTGCTTTCCGTGAGCCCGGTCGATTGCTGTATCCGAATTCTATTTCTCGACGACGATAAGAACTTGAAAGGTACTGTAGATGTAGGGTGTGTTTACGTAACGTTGTGATGGTGTTGAGATGTCCCGCGGCTTCCTCTGTGATCGCTGTTGTCGCTTCCAAGCCCTCCCCCCTCTCCAGAATTCCCATCTAAATGCTTTTGATAGACTGTAAATTACGGAATTGCTGCGGGTTGCGTATGAAAAACAATGTGGGGGCAAAGGTGGAGGGAGCGGGTCCACTAACCGAAAGGCCCGGCTGATTTCCGGGTAACCGCGCCGCTCTCGGTCTGGCTCGCAACTCTCGCCGCTTCGGGGGAGTGGCAACAAACGAGTTTTTTGGCGAGGAGCAGACGTTTTTTCCATTTTTGATTGCTCGTCGAAAGGTTTCGGGAAAAACAAAAACATACCCAAAATAGAGGGTACCTGACCCCGTCTGTTCTAGCCGCCGATTACGGTCAATCTTTGCTTATCAGCCGTCTAACACACACTCAACTCTTACTTTCAGAAGAACCTGTCTACGCCCATCGTCAAGTGTTGGCCAAGTCTCCCTATCTGTTCGCTCTCCTCCAACAGTCGTCTCTTCTCAGCCCCTCTAACTTCTCCCTGGACTTATCACTCATCGAACGACCGGTCGATTCTTTCAAAACGATCCTTGCTTATCTTTATACGGGACAACTCGCGGATTGTGGAGTCAGTCAACAGTCGGTAAGTCGCTTTCCCTGAATCATTGGCGTTTTGAAACGATTGATCAGAACAAAAGAAGAAAAGAATCTTATCAGTAATTTCCTCCAGCTGACAAACCACATTGTTTTTTCCGGAAACAAAAAAATTAATTATTGTTCATGTTATTCATCTGTCGTTTTAGCTGCATTTTCTGGCCAGACTTCTTCAACTACCGGGACTTCAGCGCCATTTTTCTTTTAAGGAGATGAGTGACTGTCCATCCAAGCCGGAGCCCCAAGACTCGGCTGATACTCCCGATCTTAATCCTCTTCAGTTGCCAACTTTACATCCGGCCTTGTGCGCCGGTAAGTACGATCTATTTGTGAAATTGGGATGAAATCTTGTTTCATTGTTAATTCCATTTTACTAAGTATTCCCATTTCAGCGTACTTGAGTCTGTTACAAAACCAACAGAACGCCCAATTACTGCAGGGATTCCTTCAACAAGCCCAAGCCAATATGCAATTACTGGCCAGTCAGGCACACCCTAGATCCTCAATCTTCCCACCGACCCCCAAACCCGTGACCCCGCTAACGGAAATGCGAATTTCCGAGTCCGAACAGTAAGTGATAACGATGGAAGAGCACAAAACCCTTCTTGGAATCAAAAAATGTAGAGAAATCGAGGGTTACAGCGTCGTCTCTTGTTTTCGTACAAAAGTCCTTGTTCTATTTCTTGGGCTGGGAAGACGCGAGAGGCCGGGGGATACCCCCTTTTTGTTTACTGCTTAAAAGGACAGTGAAGAAATATCAAGCTCGTCTAGGAATTCGAAAGTACCCGGAATCTGGTCATGTGTTCTCGGGTTACGGTATTCAAATTGTGGGAGGTCTGATTGATTAATAAACATTACAAAAGGCCGACGGGGGCACAACTTGGGCCGACTCTCCGACCACTTTAACTTTGTTTTAAGGCCTCGAATCAGCTTAGTTATAATGGACTTTGGATTTGGCCAAAGCCGATTTCTCTATTTTACAACCCTCAAAATATTTAAATTCGATGTTTATTCCTCCTCTCTTCATATTATTTGGGGGCGAGTGAAATATCAGCGAAAAAACACAAAGCGGCCTTAAGTCGGATTTGGGGTGAGGGTGGAGGATTTGTAATTTTCTGGGTTTCTTGTTAAGAGGAAGTCCCCCAAACATTTCACAACTACTCTAAATCTAGTTGAGCATTAATTTAAGTACATCGCTACTATAGTGATTAAATATTCGCATTAGAAGAAGGTAGAAGCACAGACAATCTCTGCTTATTACTCATCCCTCAGTCATCGGGATTACTGTAGATCATACTTTCCGGAAACGATCGCTGGGAATCTGGAATTGAAAGCAGATCCGATGATGACGCAAGGTCAGATTCGAAAAAAAGCTCTGCTGGATTACAAATAAGCAAAAATAGCATCGATGTGCGTAGACGATGGCGCGCAACTGAATTTAACCCCACAGACATATGAATTCTCACACCACATTTATTTTTAGATCCGAGGCCCCGAGTGTGGCGTCAAGTTGTTCGACTGGATCCAATAATCCCCCTTCAGTGCCATCATCCTCTCCCACTGATAACCTCAATGACATTTTGGTTCCTTCCAATGAGAAAGAGGGATGGTGTCGAAACAAAAAATACATCCAGACTGTCCAGAAGGGATACCGATGCACGGTCTGCAACAAGGTTTACGGAAGATACAACTCGGTCTCCTATCATGTCACCATTTATCATCGGAATCCTCCAATAAAGTGTGAGGAACAGGGCTGCCAGTTCACTACCAGAGAAGCCCGATACATCCATTTCCACAAATATTACCGCCATGGAGTCCCCCTTCCAGAAAGCATTGATCTTGGTAAGTTTAATCATATCATTGGTCTTCCTGGATCATCCATTTCTTGTGCTTTTTTGATCTTACCATATGCTTTCAGCTTCTCGAAAATGTCCCTTCTTTTCGTGTAAACACGTTAGCAAGAGTCCGGCCATGCTGGATAAACATATCAACAGACATGTGGCTGACTGTACCAAGGATGGGCACAGTTACAATTGCCCCAAATGTAACTACTCGACCACTGAACAGAGAGAAATGTTCTCCCATTTGAGAGCCCATCAATTAGGGACGGAGATTCCAGAAATGGGAGGCCCAATCAAAGGAGTCAAGTTGGAATGTGATCAATGTAACTTCAAGTAAGTGTAACCTGATCAGAGATCATATTCCATTCTTTGTAGGGCTACTACTGAATCCGGATTGGAAAAGCATAAGAGTTCAAAGCATGGCCAATCAGAGATGTCCTCCCCTCTCCAATTCAATGGAATCGATCTGGCCACGGCTCTGAAATCCCTGCCTGCGTTCCAGAATAACTTTTTAAGTCATTTTAACCGTTAATTGTAAGGTTTGTCTGATCCATTACTTTTTAATATATAGCCATTGTCTGTCACATTTATGACAAGATCATTGCCAAAGTCTTTACACTCCGGTTCCTGTGTTATTACAGTATCCCTCGTGAAACGGCATAATCAAAAAATGGTGTCTTTGAATGGAAAAACAAAACCAACCAAAATATTCACGACTCTCTTTCATCGCTCTTCCAGCTTTACTTGTTTAAATTACTTTCATTTTGTGTCATGATGACATTAGGTCGACCTTTTTCTTCTGGGGTTTATATCTTATTGTCAGTTTGTTTTTATAGGTCGAATTTGAAATAAAAAAAATTGTGTGAAAATGGATGGCATCATCTGACAATTAGCATTACTTAAAGTTACATAATGCGCACAAGGTATAAGCTCTCGTTGTATAAATACTGCAGGTAATTAAAATATTATCTATTAAGAGTTGAAAAAGTGCTCAAATAATATTGGAACCAATTTGGATATCCCACTTAGGATAATATTTTAATATCAGATATGATCATCATCCTTGTTTTAGAATGATATCACATAGTTTACCGATAATCTGCGGTATTTTTGCTACATTCACACATAATACATGTTGTGTCAGGAAACATTGCACAAAGTTTTTGCGGTATTTGCAGCTATCCAAGAATTTTAAATTGGTTTTAGTATTCGACGTTGGCTGTTTTAGAATGTGCAATAAGCGAAGACATTTGTCGGCTTTTTTGAAAATTACAACTCCTTACAATGCCCAAACATAGGATGAAATTAGGTTTGTTACATTTGATAAGGCGCCATCTGGCTGATTTTTCACACATCAGGCGGGGAAATGGGGCTTGGCGAATCGGTTTAGTCGGATCAAAAAAAAATTCTGTCATCTTTGATGAAAGGTTCTTTGGAAGTCCTTTTGTCCCATTCCCGTAATTTTGACACTTTTCAAAATTTTTAACAAAGGAAAGTACTTTTATGGGGGCTCCTACTTTTAGACGAGACATGACACGTCTCAAAAAATTTGAAAAATTGTGCTGATCAAATTTATGTAACAAGGAAAGTACTTTTATGGGGGCTCCTACTTTTTGACGGGACATATCTCAAAAAATCAGAAAAAATGTGCTGATCAAGGATATATAAATCTTAGCTGCCCATTTTGGGCTTTTAGGGGTGAAAATGCCCAAAAACTGGCTCAATTTCCCTACAATAGGCGCATGCATTCGAAACGATAAAAAGCGCAGTTGGTCTCTTCCTTCGGAAGACAGCGGTGTGGCCGAGTGGCTAGTGCCGTAGTCTGGGAATCAAGAGGGGGAACGCCGCACGGGTTCGATTTCCCTTTTGGGCTGAATCAACTTTTTTTGAAGTTGAAGGTCGGAAAAATAAATTTTTGGGCCAAGACTGATTTATTACGTCTTAGAAACTCAATAAACATCATTTTAAGCCAAAATAAAAATTGTAAACCCGTGAAAAATTACTCGAAAAGGGGTTCATATAGGGCTTTAAGTCAACTTCCGACTGAGTTTTCACCCCTAAAAACCTAAAATGGGCAGCTAAGATTTATATATCCTTGATCAGCACATTTTTTCTGATTTTTTGAGGTATGTCCCGTCAAAAAGTAGGAGCCCCCATAAAAGTACTTTCCTTGTAAAAATTAGTTGCCCATTTTGGGGTTTTAGGGGTGAAAAATCAACACAAATGCCAAGCCAAACGTCCTCCGTCGGTAAAAAAATCTCCGCCGAACCTTCGCCAATGCGTGAAACACCCGCCGAGACTGACAGATTACGTCCTACCAGATGTGACTTTCGAAGTTTTTAAAAAAGTCGTCAAATGTCTCCGCCGAAAAATGTTCGCTACGCCGATGCGGGAAAAAGTCGTTTGCATAATATGTTTTTTATTATTGTTCTAAAACTTCGAATGTTAAAGCAAATTTAAACTTTATTTAGCGCTGAAAAGAGCACAAACAACACCTTGTCATGTAATAAATTGAAATTAAGTATATAAGTACATTGTCAACTAGACATGGCTTACGGCCATTGAAGGGGCCCGGCCGAGAGTGTCGTGTAAATCAAGCGTTTCAATGCTCCAAAACCAATCGTAAAGTCCGAGTTTAAAACAAAATTTCAAATTCGAATGTACAACAAAGTAAAAGTTATAATCAAATATGTCACAGAATCACATACAGAAGTGGGCAGATTCGGGTTATTATGGCATTCAGAAGATAACTCAGACTCCAGGTGCATTTTCGAACCTTCCTTTCGTCTGTTTCATCCCATGACAATAAAAAACGGTCCCCAAAATAACAACAGTGGCTCCAGAAAGGAGAACAGGCCCGATGACGTAAAGAACAACATGTTCCCGAATGCTCCGCCTTCTGTCGTCGACCCCAGTCAGAATCAAGGTCGGGGTTGTACGCTTCTCGTCTTGACGACGATTGAATTCATCCAAGGTCATAATGGTGCAGTTCGCAAAATTGGCTGGTGTACGGAAATATGGACATCCCTGGGAACAATATAACAAAATTTAAGACAGAACATACTACAGGGGGACAGTAATAAGAATCTTCAGACAACGGAATCACAGAGGCGTTGTATTTGGGACCCGCAATCATTCGATTCCAGAGCCATTTCGCGGCATAGGTATGCCCTTTTCTAAAGTAATATGTGTGTTAACAACGAAATCAATGTTAAAGTTTGGAGTTACCTGTTTAAAAGCGGTTTTCCGGGAACAAATAATTGCTCTGGCTTTCTGGATTCGATTTTCAAATCTGGCAAGGTTAGTAGAGTAAAGGTGGTGTAGTTTCTGATTGTAAACTCGGCCTCCAATCTCAGAAATTCTTCCGCCCATTTCTGTTGTAATTGCCGTAATTGCCCGTTAGTCAGAGGCTCCAGACATTTACAGCGGGGTCTGAAAAAGAACCTCTGAGATAAAGTTCTAAAAGCAATTTTAATAGCTAATATTCTCTCCAGCTAATATGACACTTGCTTTAATAGATTGTAATTGAGATGAGATGATCTGGCGACGTGAACAGGGCCAACCAGGACCACAAGGACCTTGGGGAGAGCTCTCTTTAATATAATTATGGCCTTCCTGAGCTTATCCATGTTAGGCATATCACATTTGGCACACATTTCTTCTGTGCCCACTGTTATGAACACCAGAACCCATCTCTCTTCTATGTCTGTATATTTCTGTCGAATTCTTTCTACAAGATCTGCAGCCTGAGAATCCATGTGATCGGTTTCAGCTCCAGTTCTGGCTACGTTAAATTGGTTATACGGAAGCTGATCTACGGCCCCCATCCCATGGGACATCCCTTCAAGATCAGGGCTGAATTGTTGGAGGATATCTGAAGTCATCGTTAATGGTTATCTTGTTCATCTGGTACATCCTTTGTCTTACTTGGAAGTGTAACCAGTCCATCTATCGTGGCATCCCCTCCCACAGTAAAAGCAGCTCCTCTGAATTCAATTTCACTGCCTGACCACAACCCAACACCCGTTGATAACGCATCTCCCATTGCCGCCACGATACTTATGTCCTCTGGGGAGATGTTGGCGCCAGAATCTCCAGATTTCAACGCGTTCTTAATAAGCTGGCATTGAAACGTACGGCGATTATTGAAAGCATTGTCAATAAAAGATGTCGGAATGGAGTCTCCCTTGTAATTGGAATCAGCAAACTCATTTTCTTCACTAAAAACATAAAAACTAGCGTAATCGAAGGCAAGAAAGTGTAACAGGGAGTCATCTTACCTGCTCTCATCACTTGAGTCTGCTGATATTTGTATTATCTGAAAAGAGTCACGATTTATTTTATTATTGTCTTACCAAAAACAAGAAAATCCATAACCTCGGTTTCATGGTGCGAAAAGCTTAACATCTGACTGATTTGTATTCATTGGAAGGTTTGGTTTTGTTTGATTCCCGATCCTTGTTCAACTTTTTTACAAATAAAAAAATAGTTTTTGGCGCGAGCGCTCTCTTCGAGACTCTCGACTTCCCATGGAATGATCAGCCATACCAACGTGTCTTATCTGGACGTCATATGTTTATTTTGTAACTGAGGTGTCATCACACTTGAAAGAATCATAAAATCGAAAATGAAAAGGGTATTTAAATGAGATTAGATAGCGTGTTCTCTTCGCTGAGGGCATGATCTTGTTCTCCTTTTTCTTTCATACTCCTTTTTCCTTAGGCTTCTGGTTGATGATCTTAGATGAATTGGCAACTTTTGTCCGCCTTGGCCTTGTTCCACATGATGATATGAAGGGCGGACAAAGCTCGGGTTGTCAAAGGATACCTCGTTTGTATTTTTTAGCGTCTTTTCTTTCCCAACGTCGTGCAAAACTTGGAGGAATTTTTCGAAGCAATCTTTAAACTTCTGAAAATCAATTTAGTCATCTTATTTCATACCCCGGGCCCTAGAAGCCCTCAAAACTCACTTTATTCATCATAAAAGGGCAGAATTTATAGACCATCAATGGCAATAAAAGCAGAAAGCAGATAACAGAAACCAATGCCACCAAGGGGATTACAACCCACAACTCGTCGTAACTCGTCCGTGCTTCCCCGGTCCAGGTATTCCGCCAAGCCCAGGGATCGCGAGGATCTCGGGGATCCTTGAAGCCCATAATCGATATAAGAAAAGGGAAGACGGAGTCCACTCTCGACCTTGATGGCCTTGCGCGAGGTTCCTATGACAACCGAGGACTGTTCGGTGTGTGAAAAGGGTCATTCAAGTGGACACTTCTTCTTTGTCATTATTATGGTATCAAAATGAAACAAATTTTGATGTAATCATGCTGTATTATAAAACAAGTAGAGAATAACATTTTGTACAGAATTGAATACCGGATATCGTTGACATGTATTAAAATCCGAGATCTCTTTGGATCGGAATGAGTCAAATCCGAGAGAGAAATCCGCCCAAGACCTTCTCTTTCTCCTATAAGTGTACCCCTCTGAATGCGACCTTGCGAATAAAGCGACCTGATTCCGATGAGACACACCGCAGCGAACAATTTTTATGCGCAGACCATGTCTTCTGAAGCCGCAAACGGTCGCCGCCGGGTCCGGAAGCCCTTATTCGAATACCCGTCCTTGCCCGAGTTTCCAATTTACTTCCTCATCACACTTGGAGCGTTGATTTATGCGTGGTATTGTGTCTACAACGCTTCCACTAAGTGGACCTTCCGATTGGGATATCCCGCAAGCATTTCATACTTACCCATAGTCGGAGAGAGATACAGGGTATGGACCGGAATTTAAAAATCTGATTTTAGGATGAATTTGATTGGGAATGGAATCGATGGGCTCCATTGGCACTCTCCGCGTTTCCTTTTATGATCTTAAACAGCCTTGTGTTTAATGTAACTGCTCAATACTTCTCCGAAAGGGTCTGGATGATCTCAACAATCATTGTTTCTATGATTACATCTTCTGTTTTGTTTACTCCTAAATTATTGATTATTTCATTAATACAAGGCACATTTGTGTTCTTTATAACGCATCGGTTCAAGTAAGTTTATTCAATTGTCATTTTTACTTGTATTTTAGAAAGGTCTGGGTAGTATGGATGAGCTCAATGCCTATCCTTTACTTTGTTATGCATCATACGATGACCTTGTCACCAGATCCTTTCTTGGTATTGCTGTTTGTTTCATATACTTTGTTATCTTATGTATCCTTTAATATCGACCAAGTCAAAGGATTTTGCCGACCAGAAGACAAAACTTTCTTTGATTTGTATATCCGGATGTTATTCTACACTTTCTACAACCCCTATTTGGTATCTCTGATAGTATTATATCGAGATTTTGAGGTTCAAATCAGGGATCGCCCAAAGATTCAAAGGGATTGGAAAGAGATTTTAATTTTTGGAGTAAGATTAATATTCTGGATATCTGTCATCGAGTTAATGTTGAGATTTTTTTATTTTGGTGCTATTCTCAGTGACGCCAATTTTGCCGCCAGATTACCAAAAAATGAATTTGTAGTTTTGGGAATGGCAATAGGTAATTATTTTGTTTAAATACAGTTACCAAGTTACTTCAGGAAACTTCTTCCATCTAAAATATGTGATTATATTTGGAATTCCGTCATTGTTCGCAAAGATTGACCGTATGCAACCAAAAGATGGCCCAATTTGCATTGCTCGGGTAGCCATGATTTCAAAGATATGGAGGGGTTTTGACAGAGGACTCTATGATTTCTTCAAGCAGTACATCTTTGTTCCTATCTGCGCCCCAACTTTCACCCTGCCGAGGAAGATCTTTGGTGTCCTTGTTTCATATTCCTTTGTTCTTCTCTGGCACGGATTCCAACATCACAATATTGTGGGCTTTTTAAACTTACAATTACAATGCTCTTCTATTTTTCAAAAAATCCTCAAATTTGATTTCAGGTGTGGATAGTCCTCAACATCATCGAGTTGTTCATCGAATTCTCAGCAAAAGCTTTGTATACGGTGCCGTTTGTAAAGAGCTGGAGGGAATCCCACTTATCGGACCAGAACTTCCGCCGGATCCTCGGGATCTTCCAGATCGTCCCCTATGCCTTCGGATTGTATTCCAACTTTTATTTCTTGGGCGGATCAAAGGTTGGATGGCTGTTCGTTGAACGGATCTTCTGGGAAGAGACCGTTCCAGTCCGATGGCCCTTCCTCCTTCTCATCTTTTGCGGATATAATTACATGCATGTTACAATGGAAGCCGAAAAATGGCTGACAAGAAAAAGAAATTTGAAGGTTGAGTAGTCTTAGTAGTTTTTATCAGATCGATAACGACTACTCACCGAATTCTCCACGAATAAACGCTTTGTGATAAGAATTTGAGCTTTGAATTGACAGTTTAAACAAACATCTTGCTGACGGCGCTCTGACTACTTTCTACGAAAAAACGCTGTTTTGCTAAATCAGGGATGTAATTAGTCATTTTTTGGGTTAACAAATAAGATCTAGTCGCCAATTATGCGTCAGCAAATCATTGTTGAAAAAGGCGTAAAGACAATTTTGTCAAAAGTTATATTTGTGATTTGAGTGCTTCAAAGCGTTAAAATAAGTAGAACAAAATCTGAAGACGGCTGAATGGGAAACCTTCAAAATGAAAAACTGGGAATATTTTAAAAACCGGGGTGAAAGATGAAGGAGGAGAGGCGGGCGATTTAACACGTCAGTCGAGGTAGGGAATGCAGTTTAAAAAAGCCAACAGAACAGGCGAAAAAGAGAGAGCGGCAGCAATCGACGTGACCTTGTGTTCCCGGGCCCTGATGGACTTTCCAAGGGTGGGGGAATGATCGAACAGGGAGGAGAAAGAGAGTCGTGCGCTTTCGAAACCCGACCTTGCAACTTGGTCCCTTTTCTTCCCTCTTTCTCTGAGTGTCTGTAGTATCTAGATTCGTCTGACGTTTCTTCCTTTTTTTCATCACCAGCTTTTGTAAACAAGAGCGGCCTCAGTACGAAGAAGAGCCCGAGACGCCAGGCGGCGTTTCCACCATTTAGACGCCGCACCGTGCAAAAACGATTTTCTTTTTTTGTTCACAGCCTCCAGCTCTTCTGCTGCTTCGATTTCTCCCGTCCGTCTCCATTTCTCTGGCGTCTCTCTGCGAGCGTGTTCTCCCAACTTCTTATGTCAGAATATCTTTCGTCTTTGCGCGATACGCCTTAAGTTTCCCCCGATCCCCTACTGCTGCGATTCCGGCTCCACGTCTATCCTTTGCCATCTCTGTCGCTCTCTTCGACCTCCGTTATCGCTTTGACGTTGGGCGTCTACCGACTACTGCAATGTCGCGTTTATGTCCACTTCCTCAATTTTTTTATCAGCGATTCATCGGCCTCGGAATTGTCGATTTTTAGACCGAATCCGAGCTGTAGATTTCCCTGACAAAGCCATTCAAATGTCAGTTGGCACCAAATCAACGGGGGTTGATCTCCCTCATCTTTTAGTATTTTGTGGCCAAGACAGGCGGTCCAGAGGCGGGTTAGGGCATTTGGTGGTCTATGGCGTCATCTGCCCGGCATATTTAGAGCTCAGGTCTGCAAAGAGTCAGGATTGCCATATTGAAGTGATAATTTTGTGTATTTGTTAGGTCAACAATCCTATTAGTTAAATAAGAAAATCCTGTTTTGGAATTTGAATACTTTGTTTCTCTACCTTAAAATTTATTAAAAATTGTTTTACATTTCGAAAACAGCCTTTATCGTTTACTTAAAGCCGAAAACATTTGACAAAAGCGTTTTAAAACCCCTTTATCGAAATTAATTTGCAAAATTTTATACTCTGTTGCTTTTAATTTTAAAGGATTTCGTTTAATCAATACTGCAGAATTTCTGTTTTCATAGTTTCCTATAAACTCGCAAGTATTATACGTTGTATTCATATCAGACTTGCATGGAAAGTTAAGTTTTGTCCTTCTACACAAGCTTACATGTTACAACCGTGATTACATTTATGATGTTATTTCTCCTCTGTTTTCGTAAAGAAATTTAATAAAAAGAAGTCTGTGTTGCCTTAAATTTCTTTTGAATAACGGGAATCGTATCATACGTTTTCTAATAATTAGTTGCAGTGGGAAATGCTGGCTTTTAAAGCCCCATCTGCCCAATAAAGACAGTGACATAGAAGCCGGCCGCAGTTTAAATGCGCATGGAATGGTCAGCAGTTTCTCCAACGCCCAGCCACCAGTCAAGTCCCAGGCCAGTCGAAAAGAGAGTCGCCACATCGAGGTTGTTGGCATCCCTTCTTCCTTGCCCATAGAGAGCGTGGTCGCCTATTTCTCCACGTCAGTCGCCACTTTCCGCCACTCTTTTACCCCTCTTTTTTCAGATTCGGCAAGGTGCAAAAAGCCGAGCCAAAAGCGGATGCGGAGGAATTAATTGTCAGTTTTATGGATGTGCGATCGGCCCAGAAAGCCCAGAACAGCGAATTGGAGATTAATGGGCATCCTCTCAGTGTGAAAGTTCATGATGTTGGTGGGGTGCAGAAGTGAGTAACGACCAGGGAGTGGGAATTCCGTCAAAATCGGCTTTTAAAAGAGTTTTTTCTCGCTTAAAACACTCAAACGATAACCCCTTTACAAACATAGCTCTGTGTAATCATCGAATTTTTTAAAGATTTCGAAGAAGTTAACACATAACTCATTAGTTCTTTGAAGATTTCAAGGGCCAAAGGGAATGACGTGACACATTACAGCAGTGTTAAAGGGCGGGTGCGCAGAGTAAACTTCGCGATCTCTCAAAGAAAAAGAGATTTTTCGAGATGGACGCAACGACCGTCTTCCTCTTCACTTTGTTGTTTTGGGGTCGACGTCCATTCAATTCGACATGTTTTCGTCACCTCACTTCCCTTTTCCCGATCCCTTCCCCGACCTCACGCATCCCCAGTTTTTCGGATCGAAATTAGGGGAGATGGAATAGGATATCCCCTCCTCCCTTCCCTCCAATGCCACTTTATCCCCCTCTTTCAAAAAATCGGAAAGTACATATAAAATTTTACTTTTTGAACCGACAAAAATAAGGTCATTGCAATCGGATTTTTTTGAATTCTTATAAACGTTTTGATAATAACTTTTCTAAATAAATAATAGTCCAAATAGGTAGAATATAACCTCTCTTTACGCTAATAACTTTCTTTTCAGCCTGCACGCTGGCTCGACTGCGTCGACCTCGTCAAGTTCGGAAGCAGTTGAACTTCTTGAAAGTTCCCGGACTCCAAATCTGCAAAACATCACGGAAAATTTTAGTCGACGAAATTTGGCTTCTACTTCATCCACCGTAGAGGAAAAAAAGTTTACAGGTCTCCAAGGGATTCTAGTGCAAGCTCCCCATCGTCTACCTGAGAGTACTTTCAAACAACAACTAAGTAATCTTATCAACTCCAGCAAAGTCAAATGCAAATTAATCGACATTTCCATTGATCCCACTGACCCTACCAAGGCACTAATTCTTTTACAAAAGTACGCGCTTTTTAAAATTTTCTTCAAAATCTATGATCAATTCCCATATTTGACTACAACCTTCAATTTAGCGTCCCCTATGTGGATTCCCTGGTCTCAGAAATCCGAAGGAGTACATTGGCAGCATTACCTCCAGATCAAACCCTGAATGCTCAACTAGCTAGCCATGTCGCCGTGACCGAGGCCCATAACAACTATCTAACGGCCACCGCAGGAGCTTTAGCTGACCCATTACCTCCACCTCCGGTCACCCCATCCCTAAAGGGAACAAATAAAGAGCAAAGCTACAATGGTCCTGATGCTAGACAGAGGGAGGCCTCCAGAACCCTCTACGTGGGCAGTCTTGAAAGGAAAATAAAAGAGGAAACCCTGAGGTCAAGGTTCTCGAGGTTCGGACAGATTGTGGAGGTGGACATCAAGAACAAGGAGAGTCCTTCGCCTTTCGCTTTTATCCAATTTGCTAACATAGACTCGGTTGTTAACGCCATCGCCGCATGTCAAAACAATCGAGCCGGAATGGTTGGACTAAAAGGGGAACGGCTTAAGTTCAAGGTAAAGAAAAAGGCGCTGACTAATTCGATTTCCAGGTGAATTGGGGAAGACCCATTCCAACGAGTAAACTCTGGGTGGGGGGACTTCCGCGATCGTGTAACAACGAGTATCTGTTCAGTAAGCTGAGGAGTGTAACTACACAGACAGACGGTGTAAAAGAGGTCATCTACGACGCCAGTCACAACGAGGCGCTGGTCCTTTTCAAGAATGTTGAGCAATCACAACTCGTACACAACAAAATAAAGAATCGACAATTGTAAGTCAATTTCTGGTCCACGTCATGTACATCCCCGGAGCTCGAAATGAGTCTGGGAGGGAACGGGAGGGAGGGTGTGGCCTTTAAGGCGAGGCCGCCCTGCCAAAGACGCCTCCTCTCGTTTCTCTGCTCCCTCTCAGTTGCGATGAGTTTTAGGGCGCGCGAGAAATGTCCTGGTGAGAAACGGCAGCCATGTGGTTGGCATGCAGACCCCTCTGCCAACAACCGGGCCCGCCGCCATCTGTCCTTTTTCTACAACTTGCCTCGCCCCCCCCTCTCTCCTCGAACGTGGATTTCTCTTTTCTTTGCTCTGCGCGCCTCTTTCCTGGGACCCCTAGCCTCAACGGCGTCCCAAAACTCCACCCAATGTTATCTTCCATACCTGGGGTTTATAGGAATATTACTGTCTCAACATAAATTACTTTTTGTTTTAAATCCCTTTGGTTACGTCTTGCGACGTTTGTGGCCCGCGTTAAATTGGAGTGGAGAATCGCAAAGTTAAGCCATTCCCAAGCTTCACATTTACCGCACTCTTTTACTACTACAGTTTTGTACTCAAAAGGGTCTCTAAGCGTGCTGAGGGAGTCATTAACATGTCGTCTACATGTTTTCCTTCCATACGACCTAATTTTCCGCGCGTTTTATTATTATTACGTGTCCAAAAAATCAGAATTTACTGTTTTCTTCACAAATATTTTGGACGCGCGCGGTATCTCTGCACTATTACAATAGGTCCCCAAGAATATGCCTTATAGTTTCGGAAAAAATATCACTCTACCGATTTCTCAAGCCGAGAGTGCTAACTATTTGTTATATCGACAGGAATCCTCCGTTTCTCCCTAGAAGAAGAGCATTTCCGATACAAAAAAAATGTAAAAACCTAATTTTTTTCAATCTCTTATTTATGACGAAATGCCAGATCGATTTTCCATCAGTGGTAGCTTATCGACTGTTTGGTGGCTATTAATTCGAAGTTTTGTTGAAATTAATCTGGTCTAGTCACATGTTTGTTCATGTCGGATAATTAATGTTGTTTCTGAGGACGTCATATTAAGAATGGCACAGGACGAGAGGTCTCTTTTTTGGGAGTAATAGACACTAGACTAATGTTTTTTCGGGAAAGTATTAGTGGCCCTGGATATCTGTTGCATAAATGGGGGATTTTGACTGTTCTCCCCCTTTTGGATACTTTTTTGGCATTAAATTTATTTTGTTCTTCTTTTGTATTAATAGTTTTTGTATTTGGAAAGCCTCGATAAGTTCGTGGGGACACTCAATCCACAAACTTTTAAAACATTCCTCACCTGCATCTAAACCTTAATTGCGTGCCAGCAAGGATATTGTTTTATTTATGACCAGAAATGCGGGATGAAGGAAGAAATGCTTTCCGCGCTGAGACTATGGTATCAACACTCATTTTTTCAGAATTATTCCACCTGAACGGCCTCAAAAAGAACAACAATTCGGCGGTCAGCAACTTGTCGACTACGCCAGCGACAAACTACACGATTTCTTTGTGGACAGAAAATTCGGCCGAATCCATTTGGTCCCGCCGACAGTCTCGCCGGTCCCGTCGACTAGCAGCTCCGTGTTTCAGTGGCCTTCTTCCACCGACAATCCCCTTCGGACAAACACCTCATCAACGGCTGACCTATCCATTTCTCGCACCCAGCCACCAGTGGGACCAGAGTCATCGGCTTCACATGCCCTTGACACCAACGCGGCGGCCCAATTTGGAGCCGCTCCTGAGTCGCCGGACCAGAATTTGCTAGAACCGAACCGCTCTGACGAGGTTCTTCTGGTCCCGCCCCCTGACCCACCGAAAGATCTCATTACCGCCGATCTCAACCAAATGCCCTCTGAGTAAGTCCAGCAACATGAAACATCCTCTATCCTCTTCCTCCGTATCTATAGAAACGGGTCCATGACTATAAGTCTTGAACCTGTACGTTTGTCTGTTTAGTTCGAATATTTAATTAAAATACAAATTGTTTAGGCTTTCTTCACGGCATCGGAGTGAGTCCTCTGGAAACCGTCACGATGGCCGGGATATAATGACAAGGAAACGGATTAAGAGGAAAGTCAACCGACTTGAATCGACTTCCTCGGCAGGATCAGCATCGTTCGATGAAAGATCAAGTTCGTCAGCTTCGTCTCGGCAGTCCAGCCCTGAGCGAGAATTGGGCTCAAAGTCTCCTTTTAAGGATGGGCACAGCGAACCTTCGACCTCGTCTGTCGGTTCACTCAACGATCAGAAGCCCGGCACTCCGCCTGATCCATCTCAAACCCCCACATTCTCGAGAGGAAAACGGAGTGACGAAGGACTGTGTAAGTTGCCTCCTGTTTTCTTGAAAAAATATATTATTTTACCAAATCCTCTTAAATGGCTTGTTTTTAGCATCGCCATCTGCTATCAGAGATCTGGATTCTCCTGATGGGTTTAACCGAGCCAGGCCGAGTTCGAACGACTCTTCGGGCACACCAACCACACCCAACACTCCAAAACAGGGTACCAAAACGGGGAGCGGAGGCCAAGACCTTAAGAGCGCTGGAAAAGGACCCCCTAAAGGCAAACAATTGGTTCTGACTTGGGAAAACATCTCTTCACAACCACCAGACCCACGGCGGAATTGTGTTCATTACACGACAAACGATGAACGCGACCTCTTCTTCCCTACATTTTACACGGAAGACGAGTCCGGCTATAGATACTGTCGATACCTTCACGGAATAAACCGCCGGCCATCACAACCATTGCCGGTAACTCCACAGTATAGCAAAGATGGAAAGAGTTCTTCTCCAATCTCTCATGCCGGAATTACGCGAACCATATCCAGTGGATCTTCCGATAATTTCTTGACCCAACCATCAGATCCTTGTCATGACCGGCCTCCATCGACGTCGTCTTCGATTGAAGATCCTCTCACAATTCCACCAATGCCCCCACCGCCTTCCACCAACACCGAGACTGTTGAACCCAGCAATTTCTCGTCAGCATTGGAAAGGATAAGTGCTCTTACGTCAAAGGTGGATTCTATCCTTTCCACCTCGATGAATCCAGCACTTCCATCGAGGCTTAGTGGGTCGATAGAAGACGATCTTCTCCGATTTCGTCAAAAGAAGGCCCATTCTATGTCGGGAATAACAACACCCAGCTCAACTCCATCGACGCCACAGGCAACGGACCTCAAAGATTCGAAACAACAGCCGAAACTGACCATAAACATTCCTGCGACAAGTTCATCGACATCGTCCTTGGTTTCATCTCCGGCGCTACCGCCTTTCCCCGCATTGATGGGCCATAGTCTTCAAAGCCCGGTTGGATCGTTAAATGGATCCATTCCGAGGTCAATGTCATTTAGTATGGATATCCCGGGTGCTTCTATCATTCAGCCGAGATCCATGTCTTTGAGTTGTGCTCAATCTTCCCCCTCACTTCCGCTTCCTCCACCACCGCCGTTGTTAGCGTCGCCTAAGCATTCAACGTACAGTCCAAACGAACCGGTAAGGATTAGATCTCATTGAATTTATTACGTTTTTTTACAGCATAACTTTTCCTTACAAAAACGGGCTTCGCCACCCCCACCAAGTCCAATTACCCCGAAAACAAGCCGATCCGAGCTCTCGGCAACTCTACCTTCATCTACACCACCGTCTAGTTCAGCACCAAAGCAGAAGACCCAGGTTAATGGATTAAAAGATGACCCTATTCCGACCGGAACCTCAAAAAATACCTTTGATTTAAGGTCTAAACCTGATCTAGATGACTCTGAAGATAAAAAACCAAAGGACAAAAGCAAGATGCTCCAGTTCATGCAGATTCCACGAAAAAAAGAAGGCCAGAAAGATTCCATTACTTTCCTTTCGCCTCTTAATCGAGCTCACGCGACAAGTACGGTCCAAATGGCTCCTACTCAAGCAATGGCCGGCAGCAGCAAAGCAAAGGTTCCCGAGAAGATGCCGGGTAAACATCAACCTCCTCAGGTGAAAGCGGACAAGAAGCCGGAAAAGAGAGACAAGGAGAAAGACAAGAAAGAGAAGCATCGCTTATCCGTTGGCAGCTTGAAGGAGGTAGCCACCAAGACCATGAGCAGTAAAGAAAGGCAAGCAGCATACGCAAGTGAAATCGAGAGGATAAAGGAAAAGAGCTTGAAGAAATTCCCGGAGTCCAAGAAAGATCGAGAGCTGTATATGAAGACCCGAGAAGCCAAACTTAAGGCTAAATTTGAACAATTAAAAGCAGAACACGAAAAGGCAAAGAAAGAAAAACAACGAAAATTGGTAAGATTATAGTCATCTCTTAGAATGGACTTTTCGAAATTAGGGTTGCTAATTTTACGCATTTTTTCCTTCTGACTGCCAAATTAATGTCATTTTGGCTAAATTGAAATTCTTTTTACTGCTGATTTCAACGATCGTTTTGAGAAGAAGGGGAAATTTGGTACCTAAGAATTTCAAATTAATACGATTTTTTAGAACGAATCTAAAAAAAACCCAAGAAACGTTGAATTTATTTTTAGGAAGAAAAGCAGAAGGAGACGTTAAAACAAAAGAAGGTGAAGGAGCAGAAGGAAAAGAACAAACCGCCTAAGAATGTCGAAAAGAAGAAATCGAGACAGCGGACGCCATCGGATGAGTCTTCGGAAGATGATGATTCTGAGGACAACAACGACCCTTGTCGCGCCGATTTCCTTTTGGTACGTTCATCGATTGTTTATGTATCTGCTTTTAGAAGAGTAGCGAGATTGAAGCCCAGAAAATTCTCTACGAAGCTGCTAAGAATGGATCTCTCAATCTCTCAATGTACGAAAGGATAAAGCGGAAGAGAACGGCACCAAGGCAGGACGAAAATAAAAAGTCGTTGGCTTTGGCAAAACTAAAAGAAAAGAGTGAAGCAAAGGTAAGCTTGCACACGGTATATTGACCTCTCGGTTTAGAAGAAACGGCGCGTTCATCTGTCCTCATGTTCTGATGATTCTGATACCAATGATTTCGCAAAGAAATCACAGATCGGATCCAGCGATGAGTCTGACGCAGGTACAACAATCACCAATCTTTCGGCCAGTTCCGCGGCAAAGCGAGGGAGGAGCATGAGCACGGCTTCGAAGAAGGCTTCAACCTCATCCGAGGCTAAGAAAGAAGTAAAGAGGAAGCATGATGATAAGGAAAAGGAGAAGAAGGTGAAGAAGATTAAACAGGAACCAATTTCTGATGCCGAGGGAGAATCCACGAAACCTTCCAAAGAGAAGGAAAAGAAGGCCAAATCTGAGCCAAAATCACCAGTTCCAGAGATGGTTTCCGAGGAATCGGAGGGAGAAGCAGCTGTAAAAGCTCTGCACAATGAATTCGATGCTTATAACCGGGATTCTGATTCGGACGACAGCAAGCCTAAGGATAAGAAAAAGAAGAAATTGTCGAAGAAATCGTTTATGACAAACTTCGATGACGGAGATATTTTTGCTGCCAATTCTGACGATGAGGGCGCTGAAAAGAAAAACAAGAAAAAGAAGAACTCAAAGCAACAGAAAATAGAGAAGCCGAACCAAGTCATTTATACTGGAAAACCAGGACGACCTAAAAAGGTTAAGGAATCCGACGATCCACATGGTGAAGGAAAAAAGAAAAAGAAGGAAGAAAAGGAAAAAGACAAGATCAAGAAGGAGAAATTAGCTAAAAGGTCATTGGACGAAAGTTCTTCCAGTGAACCTGCCAAGAAGAAGCATAAGAATGAAACAGAGAAGGACAAGAAGAAACGACGCGTATCTGATACTGATTGTAGGTTGAGAATTTTTGCCTTTCGGTTCACAACTTTTCAAAATAGTTTGCGGAAGCCCCAATTTACGACATTTTTATAAAATATTTTTTAGCCGTGCTCTCAACGCCAAAATTGATTCCTTCTGAAAAATCTGAAGAAAAGCCATCCTTGAAATCGCCACTTAGCCTGAACTTATCTATGGCCCCATCGTCTTCTTCCATCGAGATTTCACCTACTCCGTTCACAGCGATCTCTCCTACACCATCTACTGGCAGTGACAATGTGCGTTTGGAGAACTTTGTAACGCCCAGCCGACAATCGGAGACTTCTATGTTCTCGCCTTCTCTTCAGTCCGCCAACCTTCAGACTGTAAGTTCCCAATGATTAGTGGAGATTGTAGATTTTGTTGCTTTGTTAGTTAAGACAAGTTGTTTTGTCCGTTGATTGCCATCTTGGACTTTGAGGTTGATATTGTCAGTGGTTTTACTGCCAGTTGTATGTTGTGCATTACCTTTAGATGCCTCTTGAACTCGCGAAGCCGCCATTTGAGTCAACGCCAGCCGAAGATAAGACGAAGAAGCTGTTGGATGTTCCTAAATGGAATGAAAACAGGAAACGATCTTCATCAACTAGTTCATTTACCTCCAGCTCGACCTCTGGAACGTCGACAACTTCCTCTTCTATGTCACAGAAATGTAAACCCAAGATCCGGACTCCGTCGCCTAAGAGAGATGTCGTTGAGAATATTCAAACAACGGCCCGTCCTACTGAATCTTCCGATACTTCCAAAAAGGCCGAGGAAACGAATGATCTGAAAGAGGAAACTATTCCATCAGAACAGAGAATATTGGATACAGAACATGATGGGGAAGATTCTGTTCAATCAACGCATGTGTTTGGAGAGGAGAAGAGCGGTCCTCGGCCTCAGGCCATCTCACTTTCCCCATCACGGCTCCTTGAAGAGATCAATTTTGAGGAATCCTCTCCTTTGGGTACTGAAAGAAGCAATCTGGACGACGATGATGATGAAATGGAAGAGGAGTTGCTTCGTCAACTATCAGCCAAGCCAAAGGCGGATCCTGAGAAGTCGGAACCTGTCATTGATTACAGTAGTCAAGACACTCAGGTACTTGTTACGCACATTATGTAGTTGAATTTGATTGCACGTTTTTAAGTGTCGTAGTGTAACGTTAACCGGGGTTTGCTTATTTGTCCTCTATTGAGCTAATCATTTAATTTACAGGAGACTGAAGATGCCATTGAATCCATCTCAGCATTTATGGAGAACAAGTCTGAGGACGAGGATGATGAAACAAGTTATTCTCTTTCTCGCAGAGTTAGTGAATTCGAGTACAATGTTTCGAATGATCGGACGCGCAACTCGACGTCGGGCGATCTCTCTGCCGAAGAATTCCATACGCCAGATGGTGGTGAAATTGAAAAAGAACCGACTATTCCTCATCCTGTCGAAGCTAAAGATTCGGACGTGAAGGTTCAAGTTGAATCGTTTAATACGAATACGGATCAACCAGAATCAACAGAGGAATCCACGGTTCCTGACGATAAATTAGCTTCTGTGATCTCCAGCGTCGCCAGGGGTGAAAACTCCGCTTCCGAAGTGCCGAGCCATCAAAAGAATACTCCTTTGGTTTCTCAAGCTCCAGGTTTATTTTCGAACATTTCACACCTTCCAACTCCGCCTCCTTCGCGATCTTCTGGTAGCTCTCCTCAATGTTCGGGCCAATTTCAATATCCTGGAGCCCAGATCTCTCCTCAGAGTCAGTCGGGGAAGAAATTGGAATCTTGCGGTCATCCCAAATCAACGATTGCTTCGGAGCCTGGCGATCAAAAGGAGAAGAACGAGGCAATCCAGGGTCCCGTTTCCTCGGTTATTCAAGAGACGAACACTCAGAAGAATCCTCAGACCTCAACGATTGCGACATCGTCCATTTCCGATACACATCCAGAGATAGTGGTGCCTCCAACTTCTGCTTATCCCGATTTCCAATTGCCAATCCAGAAAGATACAAACATCTCGCAGCAAATGTTGGAGAGGCTTTACAAGCAGACAAAAACTTCTGTTTCATCTTCTCCCGTTCAGATGCCAAAACAGGCCCACTGGGTATCGACACCGTCCAGAAGCGAAGGTGTGGTAACTTCTCCATCAGTTGCGGCCACTACTTCAAGTATGGCCTCAGGGTTTGCCCAAACAATGGCCCAAAGTTTTGGTCAGAATTTGCCACAAGGCTTCCAACAAACAGTCAACAAGAATCAACCAGTTGGACAGAACTTGAACAGGGTGCCAATAACTCAGGCGCAACCAACCCCAGTCATTCCAGCGGAACACATTTTAGCTGCTCTTCAAGTGACTGGAATTGGCTTGCATGCTCTAACACCGCAGCACTTAACCAATCCCAGTCTTCTTATTTCGACTCTTGCTAGGAGCAATCCTGCAATGGCGGAAACTGTCCAGAAAATGTTGATGCCGACTCTTCCCACCGAACTGGCGCGTCTACAACAACAACAGCAGATGCTTCAGAACCAACCCAAGCAGCAATTCCTTCCATTCTCTAACCCGTCGTTGATGTCGATAATGCAACAAGAACAGCAACGTCAACAAGTTGCCCAGCTACAACAGCAACAACTGGGAGGACTTACGCAAGACCAATATCTCGAACAAATGAAGTTGTTGCAAGGGCAAAGAACCATCAAATCTGAGCCAGTGGTTGGTCAGAGATTAACACCTCAACCGCAGATTCAAGTTAAAACTGAGAAAGAAAATGGTGTTGGCTTCAATCGGGCAAGGTATCCCTTGTGTTGGCAAGGGACGCTGGCTATGAAGAGTAACGACGCCACCGTCCAGATGTTCTTGGTCTCAGGCTCTCAATATTTGATGGAGAAGACAACTCTTGAGTTGACCGAACAAGAAGATGGAGTTCAGACGATACGAATCAATCAGCGGATGCGACTAACTAACCCCCAGTTGCTTAGTGAGTATTGCTAATAATGATGACATTGTTTTAGATATTTGTAATCGGATGAACAACGAGAACGAGTTTGTTGCCTTGGTTTGTATACCTTGTGGACAAAACACTGAACAACTTCATCAACAAAGCTCTAAGATGTCGACGTCTTTCATTCATTACTTCAATACCAAGATGACGGCTGGAGTGGTGACTCATTCTACAGTAAGTTTTGATTGGATTTGTAGAAAATACTGTACATTTCTTAACATAAATTAATTTCAGGCATCCCAGCCTCCGTCTTGTATTGCCCATTTTTTCCCACCTTGTGATTGGACAGAAGATCAGTTAAACAGACTTGCACCAGAATTTGGGGCCGAATTGAAAAGATTGGTCCAGACTTATCTCTTTGTGGTTGTCACTAGAAATGACCTCAACGTCATCAAAACCGAGATGGATCAAAAACCGGTTCAGATGCCTGTAATGCCTCAGGTTCTCAATTGCGGCAAGACCGTCTAATATTCCCTTAGGCGGTCTGTCGTTACGAGATTTTAATTAGTTATGTACAGACTTTATTTTTTATATTTACATTTCTTAACACTTTCTTTTGTTATAGTTTAGTGTCGATTTGGCATCAACATGTGCATGACATGTTTTTTGTATATTACAAGGTTAGCAGTTGTCATGCGCATGTGGCTGATCGAATTGTTATCCTGCCGTTCGGCGCGTCTGCCCACTCCCGGTTTTTGTCTTACCGGGCGGTCGCTGGACTTTTTGGTCGATGCAGGTACCTTTAACCACCGACTTCACCTCATTCCGGTCGGTCCTTGAAGTCTTACTACACTCTCACCTCGATTTCATCTAATTCCGTATATATTTATTATTGTTTTTTTTTATTTTGGACGACATTGTACATTTTATTCATTTTGTAGCCTTTATTTTTATAAGAAGTTGTCGTTCAAAAAATTCCTCATGTTATTGCGTAAATACACATAAATTTATTAACAGAGTAAAAGGTTACATATTAATTTCGGAGTTAAATACAATAATAATAGGGAACCGACTCTTTACTTATTAATAAACTGACTGTGAGACAACCCAATCAAAATGGAGTATACCGGCTCGTGAAGTTCTTCATCCTTTAAAACAAGGTTAATTGTTCTGAACAGCTGTGCTCGGAGAGTGCAAGTCTTGTCCATTGGGAAGAAAAGCGGAGAGAATGGCCGTCGGCCATTGCGCCCGAGGCATTGGCCCTTTTTGCACACAAACCGCGCACTCTCTTCTCCTCGCCCTCCCTTATGGCCATTTTTAATCCGAGTATTATTTTTCGCTTGTACAACTCAGGAATAGACTGAATATTTTCTTCACACTAAGTCTTTCTTGACAGGAACATCTTACTAGCGCATTGAGCATGTTCCCTTTTCCGATTTACGGCTTTTATTCTAGATTTGGCGAAGGAAATCGGGTTTTCTTTGGCCAATTTGGAAGTCCTTTGAGACTCCAAAAGAAGGCCGGTCTTGGCTAACTGGCATGACCGAGTGACCACATCTTTTTCAGATCCAGTTCTCTTAAACCGTCGGATTTCAAGTGTCCCGAGATTATTGCTCGTCATGTAGAGAGTCCCGGGTTTTGTTTTCGACAGAAAATTCTTGCTTGTGATAAGATTGGAATGGCAATCACCACACCCTTCCCTCCTAATGACCCGGCTTGGGAACTCCGTCCTTCTTCATAATCTTTTCTAATTTCGGTTTTCCAGCAAAATGTTTGTCATGCTTCTTGCGTAACCGGAACTCCAATCTAGACGAGTATCATTATGAGATTTGAATATTGAAATATTCCCTTCGGTTTTATGGATACATACATTCAAGTTTATTTTCTAAATGCATTGAATCGTGTCGGTATCTCCATTGACTCAGAGAATGTTTCCAGAATCCGAATGTTTTTTGAAACGCTTACTTTCAGATCGCCCCCCTCCACATGGGATATGTCCGAGAGCCATGTCAACGTTAAAGACCTTGCAAAACGGTAGCACTTTGAATTTTACATTTGGAGTATTTCTCATTTTAGGTTTGAAGCGTTGAGTCCGATCAATTCGTCTACCACGCCCAGTCAAAATGTTCTCAAGACAACTCCTCGGATGGTCAAATCCAGTTGCAAAATGTGAGATGATCTTTTACACATTTAACCTTTCATTAACATTAATTTTAGTACGCGTATGAATGTGTCGGTTACAACTCGTCCCCGTCTTCCACCTCCCATGCCTCTTAAACGAATCCGAAGTTCGAGGCGGCGGAGAATATTTCAGAGTTCAGTGGAACTCAACAAGCCCGCTGGCCCTTTCAACCGAGTTCCCAAATCTAAATCTGCAATCGAGGGGATCTCGTCCAAGACCGGGTAAGTGGTCATTTGAGAGATTATATTACACACAACAACTTCCCGCTTCTCGGATCTTTTGTGTCGCACATGAAGGGTGGGTTAGCATCCGAAGCGGGGTTATTCAAATAACGAATACATTTTACGGCTTCGTTATGTAGGTATTATTTCTTTGTCTCTGCTTATTGTTGTGCAGTTTATAGCCAGTTATAAAAAGATGTGACACTTTCACTTGTTAATTCGTTGTATTCTTCGCTTCCTTTGATTTTAATTAGAACCCCTTGAACCGTTCAATAAGTCTCGCAAACGAACCTGAGTAGATGTAGGTCATCAAACGGGGATGAGCCGGTTCCGTTCTGTTTTCGCTTAATTCTCGAGCGACGTCACGCTTCCAGAGATTTTCGATATTTTGTGTGAATGGACCCATAATCTCGGAAACGAGTGTCCCCTCCCCCGCGTTTCTTTGTCAACTGCTTAAACCGCCGAGTATTGAGGCTGATTAGTGACGTGAGTTATTACTTTTTTACTTTTGTAAACGCGATTGGACACTCTGGCCAGCGTTGTGTTTCGTCATATTCCTCCAAATTGTTCTTGTTTTTCATACTGTAAAATCGAACCAAATTTCTCAGAAGACTCGATTCTACTCGGAAAGGATTCTCAGTAGTAAATAGTAATAGTTTATACGTCCGACCTCGTCTTCCCATCGCTTCCCTTTAATTTATGTGCCAATTCCCTCTCCCCAAAAGATCTCTCGCGCTTCTCAGCCCATCGATGTCATCCTTCCCATCGATTCTTTAAGGTCGTTCTCGTTGTTCTTCCTCCCGCCTTTTTATGGACTTGGTAACCCAATCATGTTTTCGTTTTGTTTGTCCAAGTCAATCTTTGGGTCGTCTTCAGGCCATAACCGGTCATTCGAAGGCCGCGCAATAATTGACGGGTCAGGAAGTGGACGGATTTGTCGCGTTTTGGGGTCGGCTTAATTAATTTCCGTTCATGTTCGGAGCTTTATTTACTAGATCTTAAATTTATTTTAGAGCGCCAGAATCAAACCAATCGATGGCACTTGGGCTCAAACCGCAACCCCCGCCAAAGCCGGGAAGAGTCCTGGTCCTCCCTGCATCCCTTCAGGCAGCTCCAGTTCAAGCGAGGACCAGGAGCCCAGTGAGGCCAAAGATGGTATGACTTTGATCTGTAAAAGACTTTATATTATTGAAAGTAATTTGTAAACAATTCTCACTATTAAAGACATGTTCCAATGTCATCACGATTCACTTTCAGAAACCTCCGTCCCCGCATCCTCCGCCACAGCGTAAGGTGGAAGATGAGGCGAATGGATTGCGAGTGGAGGCATCCCCTTTTAAGCGGACCGATCGTTCTCGGTTCGTTATTTTTTATTTGTTTATGTTTTGATATTCATTAAAACATTAAAAAACTCGTTACAGGATCATTCGAAAGCCCTCAAGTCGCCCTCCGCCTCCGCCGAAAGGCAACAAGAGCGAGGTCGCGGATCAGAGGATCTACCAGTCTCTTTCGTCGCCCGATTATTCACCTCCTAGCTCCAGACTTGGGCGAGAACCTTGTCCCCAAGTTCCAACTCCACCACTTCCTTCAAGATTGCCTCGTCTGCCTGCCATTCCCCCTCCATTGCCTCCTAAAATGGATTCAGAATCAGACCATGAACCTGAACAATTCGAAAGTGTTTACGAGGAAGACCTCTACGAAGAGATTGAGCAAGAATTTAGTGTAAGTACAAGTATGGCCTTTATCAATACTTTCCAGAAGTCGTTTAACGGTGCTTTTATGGACAGAATTCAACAACCTTCCACTTCTTTCTCCCCTAATCTGATCCGACGTCCAAAGTATGTAGACTACTTAATCCCGTAGCACACATGAATATTTTTTATATATACATTACTCATTTCCAGAAACTATTACAAAGCAAATGCACCTCAAGAACCCTACGATTATGTAGAAGTAGTAGAGCCTCAGGGCACACAAACATTGGGTCGGTCAACTGCTAGAAGATTTGTGGAACAAATGAAAGGTCAAAGGGCAAGAGAAGACCGAGCTCGGAACAATATGTTCTCATCGATGTTAATCAATGGTTCGAATGGATTTGGAACATGGACTGGGGGTGCCCGACGGAAGAATAGTCGACGTCCGGCTTCCGCTCTGGAGTTCGAGAATCTGATGAAAATAAAAAGCGAATTGCAGTCGAACCTCTCCCGGAAGGTAAGTCAAATCAGAAATCAGAGGCAATTATATTTCCAGGTGGAGAAGCTGAAGAAGAAGGTAGCCCCGTCCCCTTCCTTGCACAGTGGAGCTTCCGACCGTTCCACTTCTGTCTATATTCCTGAGACATCAAACGAGCTCGAAATTGCATTATATGGTGACGATTGGTCGTCGGATGACGAGGAACCTGAGCTGAATAAGTACGGTGAGTGTCATTCCGTCCTTTGTGCTTATTGTGAAGACAGTGTGTTGTGGCAGTGTTCCCGGTCGAGAATATCTATTTACGTCTGTCATGTCATGTTTAAATTTTATCGGATACATTCGGAGTGTTAAGCTGGTCAGATTTCATTGCGTAATAACGTGAAATTCTCAGCCTGACTTTTCATACATCATCGCTTTTCATAAACTCACTTGAATTGTATGCGTGACACAACTAATTACACTAAGGAACGATGATGATTATTTTGCCTGTTAGAGGTATGTTATAATATGTTTTCAGTAGTCCGCATATTCTCTATCTAGTCTTATTTCATGATAGGAGGCAGACAGCTAATGTTTAAAGGCTGGTAAACCGATTAAAGAAAAGGACGAGCTGTCACAAGAAGCACTCAAGATTAGGCTAATTTAATTTTTTTCGATTACTTTTTGTGTATTTCTCTCCTTCTTGTAAGTGATGTTTAGTTGTTATTTTGTGGTCTCTTCGTTTTTTCGTAATCGTACAGTTTTTCCATCAAAAAAGATTCGATTGTCTTTGTGAAACCGAATGTATTCTTTACGTTCTGAATCAGCGAAATCGCTAGGCCTCGGGTTTAGGCTGTTGCCGCCCCCGGAATCCAGAGATTCTTTTAACTTTCAGCCTAATCTTATATAGAAATCGAGCGGATAATCCGGCTAAACGGGGCTTTTGAATATGGTCGGGTATTTGGCCCCAGAGAGGTATTGGAAGCTGCAATCTTGGCAGTCCTTTATCTGGGTCTTAGCATGAGTAAAGTCTTGCGATCCGGCAGAAAAACGCCGTAAACATTTCTTGGTTTTGTAACCAGTGTCCTCGTTTTCCTGTTCCTTTTTCTCTGACTGACGTTCGTTATTCAGATGTCAATGAATCCCATGGAAATTCCCTGTTAACCGAGATTGAAGCCGAATATCAAGATATCTGCACTGACCTCCACAAAGCTATAGCCAAAGACATTGGTAAGTAAATAAGCTTAAAATAAACGAAACGGGGAGTAAAATTCTTTTGTGTACGACAAAAAACCTTTTTAGAACGAATGACAGAGCCCGAGGCATTTATATCACAATCTTCTTCTTCCGACAACATGTCCCGCTTAACGCGGCAATCGGCTAGCCTGAATGATGATCATCGAATGTCCAGTTTACCCAAAGAGTTGCATCGACTTCGAGTCGACGCTGAATTCGATGCTCAGTCTTGTTCTTCGTCGTCTGTTGTTGACGACGAAGATATTATTGATGAAGAGGCTGCCAAGGCTCTTGAAGATTCCTTACATGTTCTACCAGATAATGTAGATTCAGATTCCCTCTCGGACTTTGATCGAAAAAGTATTTACCAGTCTAGATTACCAGTTGCTCAACCTCTTTATCAGATCTACATGCTCCAAGAACAACAAAAAATTATGGGAGATGGCGATTCTAAAATTCCGAAACCGGCAGATCTAACATTGCACGTGCCTGGGGATAAAGACGAGTCAGATAGTCTATGTGATTCCAATGACAACGAGGATTCGAAGAGTTTATCCATAAGACGACAAAGCTCGTCGGCCTCCACGGATTCTGGTCGAGGGGCAGATGCCGTTTCTAGAGTCACCTCAAACACATCGATGAGGAGGGAAAGGCTAACTGCGGGATCTGTTTACGGAAGTCAGCGTTCGCTGTGGTGTGAATTACCCGAAGTCCGATCAGCGGGTCTGTTGGATACCTTGGACAACTCTTCCAAAAAACTTCAGGAGGCCTTCTTCGAAGTCATCACTTCGGAAGCATCGTATCTCCGTTCCATTAATGTGCTAATTAGTTATTTCATGGCAGCTCCCGAACTTCAAGGACCGAAGAAAGCGATGAGCGTAATCACAAGTGCTGAGAGAAAACATTTGTTCAGCAATATTGTGGCAATTAGGGATTGTGCTGAGAAGTGAGTCATTTACATTGTATGCGCTCGATAGTCTCGAAAACCAAGATTATATTCAATCTTGCAGGTTGCTGTGTGATCTGGAGAACCGGTTGAAGGAAAGTTTGGTGCTGACGGATGTGTCTGATATTCTCTGCGAGCATTTTGAGAAGCACTTCGACGCATACGTTAAGTATTGTTCAAATCAAGTATACCAAGATCGAGTCTTGAAGCGATTAAAGTAGGCACTGTTCTTTGCATGCTGCTTTAATTGAATCATGATTATGATGGATGTCGTTTAGGTTGAATAATTCCCAATTCCTAATCACCGTCCAGAAGATTGAAGCAAACCGTGAATGTCAAGGACTTGATATGAGATCGTTCTTAATGTTGCCCATGCAAAGAGTCACCCGATATCCATTGCTAGTGTTTGCAATTTTGGAACGAGTCGCTGATGGATCTCCACAACAGAAGCTGGCAACAAAAGCGTTGAATCTCGCTAATCGGCTTGTCAGAGATTGTAATGAGGGAGCCAGGAGGATGGAGAGGACGGAACAACTTTTGGAGATAGAACGCCGGCTAGTGTACAAGTCTCCTGATCTCAAGTATGTTCAAAAACAAAGTCTTCGTCGAAGATTACGAATTAGCTAATAGATATTTTCATCTTCAGGCGAATTCCTCTAGTCACTACGGGCAGGTATGTTGTAAAAAGCGGATCTGTGACTCAACTCCTGGAAAGAAAACCGAAAGCTAAGCTCGGTGGTGTCTTGCAATCCAAGCAAAAAGCAAGGGCTCTTTACATCTTCCTCTTCAGCGACCTGTTAATGATTGCGAAGAAGAAATTGTAAGTTCTTTGACGTCAATATTGCGTCGTATATGACGTAACAACACAGAGTACTTGTTTGAAATAAGCAGCTTATCTATTTAGAAATGGGACGTTTGTTTGCAAAGATTATGCCGCCAGAAGATTTGTGGAGATCGAGCCCGTCGAACCCCACAGCAACAAGATCCCCATAGGCGTAGTGGCCAACCTCCCATCAAAAGCCCATCTTTTTCTGTGTATTCTTATGCATAATGCTCGAGGAAAGCAAGTAGAACTGCTGCTGAACACGGACTCCGAATCTGACAGGGAGAGGTGGCTGTCAGCCATGAGACCACCGACCTGCTCGAATCCAGATGAGAAGATCTACGCGGAATGGGACTGTCCGCAGGCAGTTGCTTGTCATAATTACGAGGCAGTGCAAGAAGATGAATTATCTCTGGAAGAAGGGGACCTCATAAATATCCTCAGGAAAATGCCCGACGGTAGGTACTTTCTAAAAACTCTTACAAAAAGGTATTGCAAAATATGTTTATGGTAACATTACAGGTTGGTTCTACGGAGAACGACCAAGAGATCACAAAGGTGGATGGTTCCCCTCTTCCTACGTACAACAGGTCATGAATGATCATGTGCGGGCAAACAACTATCGACAAAGATTACGTGTAATACAAGCTGCCAACGGTTACCAACACAGACAGTTGGACCGAGCCGTAGAGAAACGCGGGTCTCTAGTGCCTACGAGTATTCCTCCTTTGAGTCGGTTGAGGCGCCTTTCCAATCCTAAAGCTTTCTTCACTTCAATGGACTGAAGTTCCATGGTCAGCATAATGTTTGAGCATCATGACTTAAGGCGGGTCTATGCATATCAAAAGTGTCTTTAAACGGAGAAGAACAATTCTCTAAAATACCTGTGAACGTACCTTGTACGCTAGTAGACGAGACTACTTGTTATTAGATGTAAGGATGGTACGACGAAATATTTTTGATTTTGATTGGCAAATAAATTGAGAAATTGGGATTTTCGTTAGACAAGACGAAAAATATTTAATCGCACCATCCTTATGTATAGAGCTGATGTTTGTATAAATTTATTTCAAACCTATAGACCGTTGAACATCAGAATTCCTTGAGTTTTGGTTGGAGATAATACTGAAGACGAAGACCCCCAAAACCAACTGAACCATCCTGGTGGATCCGGCTGGCCTGATCCTCTTATTGTTTCTTTCCTCGCCCTCCTCAAGTCAGCCTTGATATGTTTCAAAAAGTTCTGAGCATAGGTTTGGATCTCGCTTGGGGCTGAGTTGGACACACGAACATCGGTTCTTATGGATTTCCATAATAAAAGAATAAGAGGCCTCAGGCTTGCAGTGAGTGACGCTGATTAAGTACCTGTCGTTGACTAGCCTTTTCCACGTCAGAGACTTACTTCAAATTAAATGTGTGAGTATTCGTATAGTCAGTTCAATTTCAATTTATTTCACTAATCACACGTAAAAATCATGGAGTGAATCAGTATGGTTTCTATTGTCCAGTCAATGCAACATCCTTCCATCGCTGGCTATATTGCTCAGGTCCTTCTTATCCTGGGGCGTCCGAGTGGGTGTGTATAGGAGGTGGCCATTCCAACAGCATCACTACCAGAACTGAACAGTACATACCCGGAGATTAGCTCCACCGTTTCCCAACGATTTCTCGAACGGCTCCAATTTTCGAATTGATCAACATTGACTGCACGAACTCGAAATCCAATACGATAGATGGCTACTAATATAGTCACTGTGATCTAATTCAACATATATATATAGGTCAAATTTAGAGGGGCTGAATGAGGCAAATTTAAGAAACGGAACGATCCCGAGTTTAGTCTTACTTCTTTTTACAGCCGAAAATCATAATAGAAGTAATTTAACAAAGACACTGGAAGGGATGTCCTTATCAGTCATTCGACCGTTTACTGGTCGTAAGCTAATTTAAAGAACACCCGTTCACATTTATGTCATAACGAATGTTTGCTTTGTCCAACTCCGTGGAGATATATTTATGCGCTGTGTTGAACTCGACCGTAGTCAACGGAGTCGTAGTCTCGGACGTTGCGGTCGATCTATTGTATGAAATGCAACGAATGCATGCAGGAAAAAGACTCTTTACTCCCAATACTGCTCCGTAGCGATAAGCTGAATATTCTGTTAGTTAAAACTGCTAAAAAACATCAATCACATTGAATTTTAATTTGGTATTTCAAAGCGAACGGGAGAATAAGGTGCAATAGACTTCATTTTGAATATTAGATGCATCTGATGGGATGGTCCCTTTGCATGACGAATTGCGTAATATTCCTTTGTTTGATAGTCCTAAAAGTAGCCCGATCTGATTATACAGATGACGACGTAAGTATAATGTATTAATTTGATTTATATTCCATAATAATTCCGGCCATTCTTTGTGTTGCCGCATACATTCAGTTGTGATCATATTAAGACCCTAATTCGATTAGTCATATACAGACCAATCGGCTGAGTGAAGAGATAAGACTGATTTTGGAATTTTGAAAAGGACGCTAAATTCACTTCTTCACGCTTTTTTTCATTCTAAAATATTTATTCAAAAAAAGTGGGGAAAGCGTTTTTAGCGTTTTGCTTCTGAAATCTTACTTCTTCCCCCCTTATCTTTTCAATTTGGATATCTTACACAAAATTTCAGATCAAATCGTTATACGACAAGGAAATTTCCAACATCGTGAATTCATTAGAAAATATCCAAAAAATCTTTCAAAAAGCAGAATTACAATCAAAAAATGTAAGTCTTTTCCCCCAATAACCATAAAACTACAGAATGACGCATTCGAAATCTTTAAACAAAAACTTGCAAATCACTATGGCACCCGATCATTTTTTGACACCAACGAGAATAGAATTGTGGACGCGTTTAGTTTTTGTGTACCAAAGATGCTCGTAGATATCAAAATTGAAACAAACCCGGAATGTTACGATAAAGGAGAAGGAAGTAAACTTCATTCCACAGTCAGGCCGTTTTATTCCTTTAAGAACCGAACCTCTACATCAAATGTACCATCTGTTAGTAGTACCAGAATACCCGATGTCAATGGAGGTTCGGTTTCCGATCGTCCTGACAAGGAGGATCGTCCTGACAAAGAAGCAGTCATCACAGGGAAGGAAGTATCAGACCATGTCACTGTTGTCTTGAATGCAACAGTAGCACCCGATGCCAATGGAGGTTCGATTTCCGATCGTCCTGACAAAGAGGATCGTCCTGACAAAGAAGCAGTCATCACAGGGAAGGAAGTATCAGACCATGTCACTGTTGTCTTGAATGCAACAGTAACACCCGATTCCAATGAAGGTTCGATTTCCGATCGTCCTGACAAAGAAGCAGTCATCACAGGGAAGGAAGTATCAGACCGTGTCACTGTTGTCTTGAATGCAACAGTAACACCCGATTCCAATGAAGGTTCGATTTCCGATCGTCCTGACAAAGAAGCAGTCATCACAGGGAAGGAAGTATCAGACCGTGTCACTGTTGTCTTGAATGCAACAGTAGCACCCGATTCCAATGGAGGTTCGATTTCCGATCGTCCTGACAAAGAAGCAGTCATCACAGGGAAGGAAGTATCAGACCGTGTCACTGTTGTCTTGAATGCAACAGTAGCATCCGATTCCAATGAAGGTTCGATTCCCGGCACAGGGAAGGAAGTATCAGACCGTGTCACTGTTGTCTTGAATGCAACAGTAGCACCCGATGCCAATGGAGGTTCGATTTCCGATCGTCCTGACAAAGAAGCAGTCATCACAGGGAAGGAAGTATCAGACCGTGTCACTGTTGTCTTGAATGCAACAGTAGCATCCGATTCCAATGAAGGTTCGATTCCCGGCACAGGGAAGGAAGTATCAGACCGTGTCACTGTTGTCTTGAATGCAACAGTAGCATCCGATTCCAATGAAGGTTCGATTTCCGATCGTCCTGACAAAGAAGCAGTCATCACAGGGAAGGAAGTATCAGACCGTGTCACTGTTGTCTTGAATGCAACAGTAGCATCCGATTCCAATGAAGGTTCGATTTCCGATCGTCCTTACAAAGAAGCAGTCATCACAGGGAAGGAAGTATCAGACCGTGTCACTGTTGTCTTGAATGCAACAGTAGCACCCGATTCCAATGGAGGTTCGATTTCCGATCGTCCTGACAAAGAGGATCGTCCTGACAAAGAAGCAGTCATCACAGGGAAGGAAGTATCAGACCGTGTCACTGTTGTCTTGAATGCAACAGTAGCACCCGATTCCAATGGAGGTTCGATTTCCGATCGTCCTGACAAAGAAGCAGTCATCACAGGGAAGGAAGTATCAGACCGTGTCACTGTTGTCTTGAATGCAACAGTAGCACCCGATTCCAATGGAGGTTCGATTTCCGATCGTCCTGACAAAGAGGATCGTCCTGACAAAGAAGCAGTCATCACAGGGAAGGAAGTATCAGACCATGTCACTGTTGTCTTGAATGCAACAGTAACACCCGATTCCAATGAAGGTTCGATTTCCGATCGTCCTGACAAAGAAGCAGTCATCACAGGGAAGGAAGTATCAGACCGTGTCACTGTTGTCTTGAATGCAACAGTAACACCCGATTCCAATGAAGGTTCGATTTCCGATCGTCCTGACAAAGAAGCAGTCATCACAGGGAAGGAAGTATCAGACCGTGTCACTGTTGTCTTGAATGCAACAGTAACACCCGATTCCAATGAAGGTTCGATTTCCGATCGTCCTGACAAAGAAGCAGTCATCACAGGGAAGGAAGTATCAGACCGTGTCACTGTTGTCTTGAATGCAACAGTAGCACCCGATTCCAATGGAGGTTCGATTTCCGATCGTCCTGACAAAGAAGCAGTCATCACAGGGAAGGAAGTATCAGACCGTGTCACTGTTGTCTTGAATGCAACAGTAGCACCCGATTCCAATGGAGGTTCGATTTCCGATCGTCCTGACAAAGAAGCAGTCATCACAGGGAAGGAAGTATCAGACCGTGTCACTGTTGTCTTGAATGCAACAGTAGCACCCGATTCCAATGGAGGTTCGATTTCCGATCGTCCTGACAAAGAAGCAGTCATCACAGGGAAGGAAGTATCAGACCGTGTCACTGTTGTCTTGAATGCAACAGTAGCACCCGATTCCAATGGAGGTTCGATTTCCGATCGTCCTGACAAAGAAGCAGTCATCACAGGGAAGGAAGTATCAGACCGTGTCACTGTTGTCTTGAATGCAACAGTAACACCCGATTCCAATGAAGGTTCGATTTCCGATCGTCCTGACAAAGAAGCAGTCATCACAGGGAAGGAAGTATCAGACCGTGTCACTGTTGTCTTGAATGCAACAGTAACACCCGATTCCAATGAAGGTTCGATTTCCGATCGTCCTGACAAAGAGGATCGTCCTGACAAAGAAGCAGTCATCACAGGGAAGGAAGTATCAGACCGTGTCACTGTTGTCTTGAATGCAACAGTAGCACCCGATTCCAATGGAGGTTCGATTTCCGATCGTCCTGACAAAGAAGCAGTCATCACAGGGAAGGAAGTATCAGACCGTGTCACTGTTGTCTTGAATGCAACAGTAGCACCCGATTCCAATGGAGGTTCGATTTCCGATCGTCCTGACAAAGAAGCAGTCATCACAGGGAAGGAAGTATCAGACCGTGTCACTGTTGTCTTGAATGCAACAGTAGCACCCGATTCCAATGGAGGTTCGATTTCCGATCGTCCTGACAAAGAGGATCGTCCTGACAAAGAAGCAGTCATCACAGCTAAGGAAGTATCAGACCGTGTCACTGTTGTCTTGAATGCAACAGTAGCACCCGATTCCAATGAAGGTTCGATTTCCGATCGTCCTGACAAAGAGGATCGTCCTGACAAAGAAGCAGTCATCACAGGGAAGGAAGTATCAGACCGTGTCACTGTTGTCTTGAATGCAACAGTAGCACCCGATTCCAATGGAGTCTCGATTTCCGATCGTCCTGACAAAGAGGATCGTCCTGACAAAGAAGCAGTCATCACAGCTAAGGAAGTATCAGACCGTGTCACTGTTGTCTTGAATGCAACAGTAGCACCCGATTCCAATGGAGGTTCGATTTCCGATCGTCCTGACAAAGAAGCAGTCATCACAGGGAAGGAAGTATCAGACCGTGTCACTGTTGTCTTGAATGCAACAGTAGCACCCGATTCCAATGGAGTTTCGATTTCCGATCGTCCTGACAAAGAGGATCGTCCTGACAAAGAAGCAGTCATCACAGGGAAGGAAGTATCAGACCGTGTCACTGTTGTCTTGAATGCAACAGTAGCACCCGATTCCAATGGAGGTTCGATTTCCGATCGTCCTGACAAAGAAGCAGTCATCACAGGGAAGGAAGTATCAGACCGTGTCACTGTTGTCTTGAATGCAACAGTAACACCCGATTCCAATGGAGGTTCGATTTCCGATCGTCCTGACAAAGAAGCAGTCATCACAGGGAAGGAAGTATCAGACCGTGTCACTGTTGTCTTGAATGCAACAGTAGCACCCGATTCCAATGGAGTTTCGATTTCCGATCGTCCTGACAAAGAGGATCGTCCTGACAAAGAAGCAGTCATCACAGCTAAGGAAGTATCAGACCGTGTCACTGTTGTCTTGAATGCAACAGTAGCACCCGATTCCAATGGAGTTTCGATTTCCGATCGTCCTGACAAAGAGGATCGTCCTGACAAAGAAGCAGTCATCACAGGGAAGGAAGTATCAGACCGTGTCACTGTTGTCTTGAATGCAACAGTAGCACCCGATTCCAATGGAGTTTCGATTTCCGATCGTCCTGACAAAGAGGATCGTCCTGACAAAGAAGCAGTCATCACAGGGAAGGAAGTATCAGACCGTGTCACTGTTGTCTTGAATGCAACAGTAGCACCCGATTCCAATGGAGTTTCGATTTCCGATCGTCCTGACAAAGAGGATCGTCCTGACAAAGAAGCAGTCATCACAGGGAAGGAAGTATCAGACCGTGTCACTGTTGTCTTGAATGCAACAGTAGCACCCGATTCCAATGGAGTTTCGATTTCCGATCGTCCTGACAAAGAGGATCGTCCTGACAAAGAAGCAGTCATCACAGGGAAGGAAGTATCAGACCGTGTCACTGTTGTCTTGAATGCAACACTAACACCCGATTCCAATGAAGGTTCGATTTCCGATCGTCCTGACAAAGAGGATCGTCCTGACAAAGAAGCAGTCATCACAGGGAAGGAAGTATCAGACCGTGTCACTGTTGTCTTGAATGCAACAGTAGCACCCGATTCCAATGGAGTTTCGATTTCCGATCGTCCTGACAAAGAGGATCGTCCTGACAAAGAAGCAGTCATCACAGGGAAGGAAGTATCAGACCGTGTCACTGTTGTCTTGAATGCAACAGTAGCACCCGATTCCAATGGAGTTTCGATTTCCGATCGTCCTGACAAAGAGGATCGTCCTGACAAAGAAGCAGTCATCACAGGGAAGGAAGTATCAGACCGTGTCACTGTTGTCTTGAATGCAACACTAACACCCGATTCCAATGAAGGTTCGATTTCCGATCGTCCTGACAAAGAAGCAGTCATCACAGGGAAGGAAGTATCAGACCGTGTCACTGTTGTCTTGAATGCAACAGTAGCACCCGATTCCAATGAAGGTTCGATTTCCGATCGTCCTGACAAAGAGGATCGTCCTGACAAAGAAGCAGTCATCACAGGGAAGGAAGTATCAGACCGTGTCACTGTTGTCTTGAATGCAACAGTAGCACCCGATTCCAATGAAGGTTCGATTTCCGATCGTCCTGACAAAGAGGATCGTCCTGACAAAGAAGCAGTCATCACAGCTAAGGAAGTATCAGACCGTGTCACTGTTGTCTTGAATGCAACAGTAGCACCCGATTCCAATGAAGGTTCGATTTCCGATCGTCCTGACAAAGAGGATCGTCCTGACAAAGAAGCAGTCATCACAGGGAAGGAAGTATCAGACCGTGTCACTGTTGTCTTGAATGCAACAGTAGCACCCGATTCCAATGGAGTCTCGATTTCCGATCGTCCTGACAAAGAGGATCGTCCTGACAAAGAAGCAGTCATCACAGCTAAGGAAGTATCAGACCGTGTCACTGTTGTCTTGAATGCAACAGTAGCACCCGATTCCAATGGAGTCTCGATTTCCGATCGTCCTGACAAAGAGGATCGTCCTGACAAAGAAGCAGTCATCACAGCTAAGGAAGTATCAGACCGTGTCACTGTTGTCTTGAATGCAACAGTAGCACCCGATTCCAATGGAGTCTCGATTTCCGATCGTCCTGACAAAGAGGATCGTCCTGACAAAGAAGCAGTCATCACAGCTAAGGAAGTATCAGACCGTGTCACTGTTGTCTTGAATGCAACAGTAGCACCCGATTCCAATGGAGGTTCGATTTCCGATCGTCCTGACAAAGAAGCAGTCATCACAGGGAAGGAAGTATCAGACCGTGTCACTGTAGTCTTGAATGCAACAGTAGCACCCGATTCCAATGGAGTTTCGATTTCCGATCGTCCTGACAAAGAAGCAGTCATCACAGGGAAGGAAGTATCAGACCGTGTCACTGTTGTCTTGAATGCAACAGTAGCACCCGATTCCAATGAAGGTTCGATTTCCGATCGTCCTGACAAAGAAGCAGTCATCACAGGGAAGGAAGTATCAGACCGTGTCACTGTTGTCTTGAATGCAACAGTAGCACCCGATTCCAATGAAGGTTCGATTTCCGATCGTCCTGACAAAGAAGCAGTCATCACAGGGAAGGAAGTATCAGACCGTGTCACTGTTGTCTTGAATGCAACAGTAGCACCCGATTCCAATGAAGGTTCGATTTCCGATCGTCCTGACAAAGAGGATCGTCCTGACAAAGAAGCAGTCATCACAGGGAAGGAAGTATCAGACCGTGTCACTGTTGTCTTGAATGCAACAGTAACACCCGATTCCAATGAAGGTTCGATTTCCGATCGTCCTGACAAAGAGGATCGTCCTGACAAAGAAGCAGTCATCACAGGGAAGGAAGTATCAGACCGTGTCACTGTTGTCTTGAATGCAACAGTAGCACCCGATTCCAATGGAGGTTCGATTTCCGATCGTCCTGACAAAGAAGCAGTCATCACAGGGAAGGAAGTATCAGACCGTGTCACTGTTGTCTTGAATGCAACAGTAGCACCCGATTCCAATGGAGGTTCGATTTCCGATCGTCCTGACAAAGAAGCAGTCATCACAGGGAAGGAAGTATCAGACCGTGTCACTGTTGTCTTGAATGCAACAGTAGCACCCGATTCCAATGGAGGTTCGATTTCCGATCGTCCTGACAAAGAGGATCGTCCTGACAAAGAAGCAGTCATCACAGCTAAGGAAGTATCAGACCGTGTCACTGTTGTCTTGAATGCAACAGTAGCACCCGATTCCAATGAAGGTTCGATTTCCGATCGTCCTGACAAAGAGGATCGTCCTGACAAAGAAGCAGTCATCACAGGGAAGGAAGTATCAGACCGTGTCACTGTTGTCTTGAATGCAACAGTAGCACCCGATTCCAATGGAGTCTCGATTTCCGATCGTCCTGACAAAGAGGATCGTCCTGACAAAGAAGCAGTCATCACAGCTAAGGAAGTATCAGACCGTGTCACTGTTGTCTTGAATGCAACAGTAGCACCCGATTCCAATGGAGGTTCGATTTCCGATCGTCCTGACAAAGAAGCAGTCATCACAGGGAAGGAAGTATCAGACCGTGTCACTGTTGTCTTGAATGCAACAGTAGCACCCGATTCCAATGGAGTTTCGATTTCCGATCGTCCTGACAAAGAGGATCGTCCTGACAAAGAAGCAGTCATCACAGGGAAGGAAGTATCAGACCGTGTCACTGTTGTCTTGAATGCAACAGTAGCACCCGATTCCAATGGAGGTTCGATTTCCGATCGTCCTGACAAAGAAGCAGTCATCACAGGGAAGGAAGTATCAGACCGTGTCACTGTTGTCTTGAATGCAACAGTAACACCCGATTCCAATGGAGGTTCGATTTCCGATCGTCCTGACAAAGAGGATCGTCCTGACAAAGAAGCAGTCATCACAGGGAAGGAAGTATCAGACCGTGTCACTGTTGTCTTGAATGCAACAGTAACACCCGATTCCAATGGAGGTTCGATTTCCGATCGTCCTGACAAAGAAGCAGTCATCACAGGGAAGGAAGTATCAGACCGTGTCACTGTTGTCTTGAATGCAACAGTAGCACCCGATTCCAATGGAGTTTCGATTTCCGATCGTCCTGACAAAGAGGATCGTCCTGACAAAGAAGCAGTCATCACAGGGAAGGAAGTATCAGACCGTGTCACTGTTGTCTTGAATGCAACAGTAACACCCGATTCCAATGGAGGTTCGATTTCCGATCGTCCTGACAAAGAAGCAGTCATCACAGGGAAGGAAGTATCAGACCGTGTCACTGTTGTCTTGAATGCAACAGTAGCACCCGATTCCAATGGAGTTTCGATTTCCGATCGTCCTGACAAAGAGGATCGTCCTGACAAAGAAGCAGTCATCACAGCTAAGGAAGTATCAGACCGTGTCACTGTTGTCTTGAATGCAACAGTAGCACCCGATTCCAATGGAGTTTCGATTTCCGATCGTCCTGACAAAGAGGATCGTCCTGACAAAGAAGCAGTCATCACAGGGAAGGAAGTATCAGACCGTGTCACTGTTGTCTTGAATGCAACAGTAGCACCCGATTCCAATGGAGTTTCGATTTCCGATCGTCCTGACAAAGAGGATCGTCCTGACAAAGAAGCAGTCATCACAGGGAAGGAAGTATCAGACCGTGTCACTGTTGTCTTGAATGCAACAGTAGCACCCGATTCCAATGGAGTTTCGATTTCCGATCGTCCTGACAAAGAGGATCGTCCTGACAAAGAAGCAGTCATCACAGGGAAGGAAGTATCAGACCGTGTCACTGTTGTCTTGAATGCAACAGTAGCACCCGATTCCAATGGAGTTTCGATTTCCGATCGTCCTGACAAAGAGGATCGTCCTGACAAAGAAGCAGTCATCACAGGGAAGGAAGTATCAGACCGTGTCACTGTTGTCTTGAATGCAACAGTAGCACCCGATTCCAATGGAGTTTCGATTTCCGATCGTCCTGACAAAGAGGATCGTCCTGACAAAGAAGCAGTCATCACAGGGAAGGAAGTATCAGACCGTGTCACTGTTGTCTTGAATGCAACACTAACACCCGATTCCAATGAAGGTTCGATTTCCGATCGTCCTGACAAAGAGGATCGTCCTGACAAAGAAGCAGTCATCACAGGGAAGGAAGTATCAGACCGTGTCACTGTTGTCTTGAATGCAACAGTAGCACCCGATTCCAATGGAGTTTCGATTTCCGATCGTCCTGACAAAGAGGATCGTCCTGACAAAGAAGCAGTCATCACAGGGAAGGAAGTATCAGACCGTGTCACTGTTGTCTTGAATGCAACAGTAGCACCCGATTCCAATGGAGTTTCGATTTCCGATCGTCCTGACAAAGAGGATCGTCCTGACAAAGAAGCAGTCATCACAGGGAAGGAAGTATCAGACCGTGTCACTGTTGTCTTGAATGCAACACTAACACCCGATTCCAATGAAGGTTCGATTTCCGATCGTCCTGACAAAGAAGCAGTCATCACAGGGAAGGAAGTATCAGACCGTGTCACTGTTGTCTTGAATGCAACAGTAGCACCCGATTCCAATGAAGGTTCGATTTCCGATCGTCCTGACAAAGAGGATCGTCCTGACAAAGAAGCAGTCATCACAGCTAAGGAAGTATCAGACCGTGTCACTGTTGTCTTGAATGCAACAGTAGCACCCGATTCCAATGAAGGTTCGATTTCCGATCGTCCTGACAAAGAGGATCGTCCTGACAAAGAAGCAGTCATCACAGGGAAGGAAGTATCAGACCGTGTCACTGTTGTCTTGAATGCAACAGTAGCACCCGATTCCAATGGAGTCTCGATTTCCGATCGTCCTGACAAAGAGGATCGTCCTGACAAAGAAGCAGTCATCACAGCTAAGGAAGTATCAGACCGTGTCACTGTTGTCTTGAATGCAACAGTAGCACCCGATTCCAATGGAGTCTCGATTTCCGATCGTCCTGACAAAGAGGATCGTCCTGACAAAGAAGCAGTCATCACAGCTAAGGAAGTATCAGACCGTGTCACTGTTGTCTTGAATGCAACAGTAGCACCCGATTCCAATGGAGTCTCGATTTCCGATCGTCCTGACAAAGAGGATCGTCCTGACAAAGAAGCAGTCATCACAGCTAAGGAAGTATCAGACCGTGTCACTGTTGTCTTGAATGCAACAGTAGCACCCGATTCCAATGGAGGTTCGATTTCCGATCGTCCTGACAAAGAAGCAGTCATCACAGGGAAGGAAGTATCAGACCGTGTCACTGTTGTCTTGAATGCAACAGTAGCACCCGATTCCAATGGAGTTTCGATTTCCGATCGTCCTGACAAAGAAGCAGTCATCACAGGGAAGGAAGTATCAGACCGTGTCACTGTTGTCTTGAATGCAACAGTAGCACCCGATTCCAATGAAGGTTCGATTTCCGATCGTCCTGACAAAGAAGCAGTCATCACAGGGAAGGAAGTATCAGACCGTGTCACTGTTGTCTTGAATGCAACAGTAGCACCCGATTCCAATGAAGGTTCGATTTCCGATCGTCCTGACAAAGAAGCAGTCATCACAGGGAAGGAAGTATCAGACCGTGTCACTGTTGTCTTGAATGCAACAGTAGCACCCGATTCCAATGAAGGTTCGATTTCCGATCGTCCTGACAAAGAGGATCGTCCTGACAAAGAAGCAGTCATCACAGCTAAGGAAGTATCAGACCGTGTCACTGTTGTCTTGAATGCAACAGTAGCACCCGATTCCAATGAAGGTTCGATTTCCGATCGTCCTGACAAAGAGGATCGTCCTGACAAAGAAGCAGTCATCACAGGGAAGGAAGTATCAGACCGTGTCACTGTTGTCTTGAATGCAACAGTAGCACCCGATTCCAATGGAGTCTCGATTTCCGATCGTCCTGACAAAGAGGATCGTCCTGACAAAGAAGCAGTCATCACAGCTAAGGAAGTATCAGACCGTGTCACTGTTGTCTTGAATGCAACAGTAGCACCCGATTCCAATGGAGTTTCGATTTCCGATCGTCCTGACAAAGAGGATCGTCCTGACAAAGAAGCAGTCATCACAGCTAAGGAAGTATCAGACCGTGTCACTGTTGTCTTGAATGCAACAGTAGCACCCGATTCCAATGGAGGTTCGATTTCCGATCGTCCTGACAAAGAAGCAGTCATCACAGGGAAGGAAGTATCAGACCGTGTCACTGTTGTCTTGAATGCAACAGTAGCACCCGATTCCAATGGAGTTTCGATTTCCGATCGTCCTGACAAAGAGGATCGTCCTGACAAAGAAGCAGTCATCACAGCTAAGGAAGTATCAGACCGTGTCACTGTTGTCTTGAATGCAACAGTAGCACCCGATTCCAATGGAGGTTCGATTTCCGATCGTCCTGACAAAGAAGCAGTCATCACAGGGAAGGAAGTATCAGACCGTGTCACTGTTGTCTTGAATGCAACAGTAGCACCCGATTCCAATGGAGTTTCGATTTCCGATCGTCCTGACAAAGAGGATCGTCCTGACAAAGAAGCAGTCATCACAGGGAAGGAAGTATCAGACCGTGTCACTGTTGTCTTGAATGCAACAGTAGCACCCGATTCCAATGGAGGTTCGATTTCCGATCGTCCTGACAAAGAAGCAGTCATCACAGGGAAGGAAGTATCAGACCGTGTCACTGTTGTCTTGAATGCAACAGTAGCACCCGATTCCAATGGAGTTTCGATTTCCGATCGTCCTGACAAAGAAGCAGTCATCACAGGGAAGGAAGTATCAGACCGTGTCACTGTTGTCTTGAATGCAACAGTAGCACCCGATTCCAATGGAGTTTCGATTTCCGATCGTCCTGACAAAGAGGATCGTCCTGACAAAGAAGCAGTCATCACAGGGAAGGAAGTATCAGACCGTGTCACTGTTGTCTTGAATGCAACAGTAGCACCCGATGCCAATGAAGGTTCGGTTTCCGATCGTCCTGACAAAGAGGATCGTCCTGACAAAGAAGCAGTCATCACAGGGAAGGAAGTATCAGACCGTGTCACTGTTGTCTTGAATGCAACAGTAGCACCCGATGCCAATGGAAGTCGTGTTACAGATTACATATCGTTTGGAAAGATTTCAGCAAGTTCGGACGTTTTAAATCAACCCGATATTGAGAACGACGATGATGATATCACACAGGACGGTCCCGACAAGATCGTCTATCAAAATCGCACGAACCAGGTTAACTCCAGCGTTGAAGATTACCGTACTGACAGGGATATCGGTCATACCCTTACCACAACAGGAAATGAGCTGATTCATACAGATGCAGTTGTGTATAAGAATTCAACAACAATAATAAACGAAACAATCACGATCGAAAATCAAGAGGGCCCAGACTATGGTACAGTTACCGTTTCTCTCAAGGATAACACGAACCGTTTCCAGACAACGAGGGTAGATAAGCAAGAGTACACTGTCGTGTCCAAATTAGAGAAATTCAAAAGAGAAGTGATAAGATCAGGACCAGGGATTGAAGATGTGGTTATTATCCGCAAAAAAGCTAGGACCGAATCTATCTCAGAGACGGTGGTTGCCCGAGAATACGGAGAACAAGTCCTAAGGAATGTAAAGAAAGATGCCGAGGATGTGGGAGTTGCAGTGATTAGTGCATTGAATGCAAGAGATTACTACAGTACACATCCTGATAATGTTAACATTTACTTGAAAATCAAGGAAACCATCCGGTACTACAAAATGCAGAGGAGGACACAATTTGTCATTTCGTTCAAGGATTATATTGACAAAGGCGCTACTAAACTGTCCGAAAATGAACAACAATCCGTTCAGCGAATTGTCGCGGAAGCTGATAAGAAGCTCAGTGAAAAACTGGTTGATTTCGATAGAACATACAGCGATTCTACTGCTGTAAAGTACGACTTTGGACCAATAATAAAAGAAATCGTTTCTCGTGTTTATATCCTTATCAATAGATATCCAGTAGAAGATATCGTTCTGGCAATCTTGGATGCAATTAATGGAAAAGTGACAAAAGTAAAGGACAAAGAAGATATTTTCATTTTTGGTCGACAGACACACGACAACTACGTCAAATTGGATGCAGATGATCAAAGAAACGACTTCCTCAAACAAATTGAAATAACTTTAAACACTTGGATCAAATGGCACCCGGATGTCATGTTAAAAATCGACAAAATAGTTGAAAAGATCTTCGAGATGAGGAAAGAGTTCACCCTTAAGTTGGCGATAGACGGTGTAGATGAGGATAACAGCAAAACTATGCCCCTGTATGACAATGGAAATTACGATATCTTTGACGAACCCAGGAAACAAGTCAGGATGATAATTGAATATCGAATTATCAAAAAATTTATTCGCATCAGGAGATTAATCATTCGTAAGCCCAGTACGATAACGGAGGATGTAGAAACTTACATGAAAAGAATACCATCGGTTGCGGAAAAGCCTGTTACAATTGCTGGGAAAGAGTTTGGAGAAAAAATATACAGGAGGATTGTGGTCAACACCTTCGACTACGATGTTGCTGTAACACGAGCAATTCAAGGACGCGATTACAACAGTAAAGACGATGAAAATATGAAGACCTACTTTGAGTTAAAGACTTATCTATATAGCTACAAACAGGAATCACGTATTCAGTTCCTCAAGACAGTTTTTGAAGACCTTGGGACCAGAAAAACAAGCATTGGAACACCCGAACAATCCACTCTACGAAAAATAAAAGCAGCCATCGACTTTGAAGTTCAACGAAAACTTAGGGACTTCGACGAAAACTATAAAAAATATTCAGTTATTTCTTATGACTTCGGACCAGTGATAGACGAGATCACAACTAACATTGTCTATGGACTGGAACGTAATAAAACGTTGCAAAAAATTGAAGAAGCGATTGAAAATGGAATAGCAAGAGAGAAGATCCCCAAAGACAACGATATTCTCAGCCTCATATCAAGAGAAGTCAAAGATAATTTGGAGACTTTCAAAGACAACACCACACAAGACGAATTTTTAAGACAAATTGAGATCAGGCTGGACACATACACAGAATACTACCCACAGTACACTAAGAAAATTAACGAACTCGCCGATATTATTTACAAGCTGCGAAAGGGAGAACCACTTAATGCAACACCTTCAGAAGACACGTATAATGTAACAGAAGAATCTGATCTTATACAACCGCCAATGCCAAAAAAAGGAAAGAGACTAATCGAAATAACCGAGTATAAGATTGTCAGAAGAGTTAGGACGATTCGAAGGATCATCAGAAGACCGCGAAGAGGTAGTTCCACATACATCGAGCATTCCAAAAGCCCTGAATTGACTGGAGCAGAACTTGGAGCCAGAATTATAAAACGAATTCCAATTTCTTCAAGCATTTTCTTGGCAGTTGAACGAGCACTCGATGGGCGGGACTTCAACACACGCGATGATGACGACATGAACGTCTACATTGATCTCAAGGATAAACTCCATGAGAATAAAAATGAAGACAGAGTAAAGTTAGCCAAAAAAATGAATGAAAGAATAGAGGAAGCATCAGAGAAACTGGATGGAATTAAGAAAGAAAAGGCCAAACGGCTAAAAGAAAACGTGGAAAAGAAAGTTAACAAGGGATTCGAAGGATTTGATGAGAGTCTGAGCACTTCGCTAACAACAAACTACGATTTTGGGAACGTGATCGATGAAATAAGTATTAACATTCTCAACGCTTTAAACAAAAATTACTCATCTGAAAAAATCATGGATACTATACGGCAATCAGTTCTGAACGAGGAGGTTTCCGAGATCACTTCTGATATACTAAACGTATTACAACGTCAATTACGAGACAATCTACAAGCACAGGACTCAGATGACAAGAAGAACGACATGCTCAAACAGATCGAGGTGAAACTCTCTACTTCGATTGACTTATACCCAGAATATTCGTCGAAGATCAATGCAATCGTGGATTATTTATACGGCACAAGAACAAAGAGAATAGATTTATTAAACGTTGCCACCTCTACTGCAATTCCAATTACCGGTACAACACAATCCAAGGAAGAGGAAGAAAAACAGGCGGTTAAATTGGACAACATGTCTGACGAGAAGCTTCCTTGTAACCTCAAAGTAAGTAAACTACAAAAGCAAATATAAATTTAAAAGGCATTGGGTAACCGCGCTGTAAGAAAGAAAAACAAACGACTTCGGAAATTGGGATTTTACAAGTTCGTCAAAGTCCAGAAATGGTATCACGATGAAAATAACTTCCTAATGTTGCGCATTGCTATGGTAAGTTAAATTGAGTTGCACTAATTGCTCTGCTTCAGAAGGGACATGACGGGAAACGGAAGATGATTACCGCACGATACCGAAAACATTGCGATTACTTCGAATAATATTTAGTTTTACTTGTCATTGTCATCAATGATAAACAAATCTAAGAACAGCTTTTGCAGACTATTACAGAAAACGTAGTTTAACATTTAATTTAATACGCAAACGAAAGACAGTAATTTCGGGTATCTCTGTAAACACTCTGTAACTAATTTAAATTTTATATGAAGTTCTTAATCACCTGTTTCATTTAAATATCGCTCACTTGATCCTTTTCTGCCATTTTGCGCCCTATTGAAGGGTGGTATTAATGTCGTTTTTCACGGATCTAGAAGACTTCTATAAATGTACGCAGTATAATTATATCCTAGGATCGATCCTACTTATAATTGTATTGTTTTCCGCATTCGGCCAGGTCATCCTAATTTACGTAAGTTAGTGACGCAAATGAGGCTTATCCGTTTAGCTCATCCTGACCTCTCCTTTGAAGCATCACTCCTGTTATCAGACCATGGTATTTATGGGAATCTTCAACCTGTTCCAGTTGTCAGCCCAATTCTTGTATTGTATTTATGTTCTAGCCTGCGTAACTAATGAGAAACAGCAGTCCTCTTGGTTAGATTCGGCAAGTCGTTCTGCCGAAAATCGATTTTTTTAGATTATTGGACCATTTAATAAGATTTACTTCAACATGTCCGAATATTACAACTGCTTACTAGCATTGAACCGACTGGCGATGTTTATGATCCACGGGCGGACCATTAGAGATCAGATGGATGTGTTTCACAAAGTACGTTGCAATAAGGTAGCGTAATCTCGTTTAGATTATGAATTTTGTCATCTTTCTGGCGTCGTCCCCGTTTTACTTTTATCATTTCGCCCCAGGCTGTTTCTGTTTTTATAGTCCGTTCCTGTGGGAAGTTCCTGATCTTTGCGAATATTGGGATGTATTTGATTTCTATACTATACGGATCGCAGAATTTCTGCTTTTTAATTTTCTAATATATTTGATAATGCTGACTAAAATGATTTATCTGCGTGTCCGGGTATTAGAGCAAAGTTATAACGGCCTCAACACCCAAGAACGAAGAGTTCTCGTCATAGCCATTGTACACTTCCTCAACTCGGGCGTTGCTACATTTTACAATCGTATGTTCCCTGGGTTTTACAACTATACATCTGCTGGTCGCTTAATCTTTCGATTATTGCTTAATTGGATGAGCTTCTGCAATGTTTACTCAGTATTCATACTGATTACGTAAGGGTCACTCCATTTGCAGTAAAGTTTTTTTCAGCGCGATCAGAAACCGCTTGAGTGAGACGATTCGTTCCCAAGCGAGGACCAAGGAATCGGCCACACTCACATCGATCCATTCTCGAGGTATTCCCCTTTTCGTAAACTAATATATCCAGATATTATATTCCAACTCTCATCCATCGAAACGGGTCTCTAACTGTGAGTATAAACAGAGAAGGTTATTACAACTGAATGCGCCTCTTTTCGGATCAATAAACATTAGCTGAAGGAAATGACCACATCTTTTGTAATCTCCACACAACCCTATTTTTACGCGCTCCACACGTTCTTACTCATTCCGCGGACATTCGAAAATCACTAAAATCTCTTTCCCCTCGAGGTCAGTTCGAGAGCCACCTTTTTTCTCGTATAAATATAAATTCACATGGAGGGTTTCTGCTTTTATACTTAGCCAGCCAATTCTCAGACCTTGTGTTCCTCACTTTCAAATGAATTTATTTTTTATTCTCTTATTTTATAACTTCCTTCGCAGCAGTTCCCTATACAGTAAGTTTAAGAAGCGTCTATAATCTATTGTAACAGATGGTGGACTTGGGCCGCGCCAGCCTGAGACTAATCGTTATGCGGACCAGTTAACGAAGAATCATGTCAACCTGAATCCAACCACGCCAACATCACCAATACAATACGATCGATTTCACTCAGAGCCTAGGGTAATATAACTAATCAATTTGTGATTGTTTAGAGAACAATAGTATTAACGTCGGACCAAGCAACGCAAGGCGCGCGCAACCTTGCTAGCCAACGTGAAAGAAGCCATCCATTCTACGAAAGGAATAAACTATTCGAAAACAAAAACCCAATCATTACGTAAGCATAAATTAAGTTTTAAAAGAGTAAACAGGCAAACAAACTTGAGCCCTCATCAATGGCAGTCTAACCAAAATCTAGATGCAACTCAGAGAGGTGTCAACATTCAGATTGGTTCATCTCAGCTTCAAGCTATTGATCGATTTTCGACCGAAACAGATCGCTTTGCAACGAACAGTAATGTAAGAGTATAGGACAAAAAGCCACTTATAAAAATTCAGAATGCTAACAAGGTTGTCCTGCCTGTTGAATTGGCTAATGCCCCACTCGAAAGACTTCTGAATAAGAACACACAAGTTGCAAGAACTAATGTGCCACAACCAGAGCCACTGGAGGCCAACAGTAGACTGCTAATTAATCCCCAACAGTCAGTCCCGCCTCCAGTTCCCGATGTCATCAACGGACAAAGTGAGCTTTTTCCAGGCAATGACAACTCAGGTTTCCAGATCCCATTCCCACAACGACACCATATCCAACATATCCCGATCACCGCCAAGAATTCTTTCCCAAACTCGCAAATATCTGGCACGAAGACCGACGGCCAGCATCGGGAGATAGACTTGGGCCTCAGGGTAGATTTGGTGGAGGCACAAATGAATACAGAGAAGATTTGGGAGGGATCAATGACCGGAGAATGCCGTGGGAAAAGAACCCAAGTTCAGATCTCCAACAAGATAAGACAATATTTGAACCGCTAAACAAGTACAGTAAGAATGTTGCAATTGAAACGGTAAACTATCCCAATGCCCCGCCAAAAGAACCCAGTTTTCCTCGCTATGGAGATAATAAGTTGATTTCTGATCCTCTTGGTGGTCTGTCCCAGAACAGGTATGGAAAAGAATATGCAGAATTCACAACCCAGACCCCCCAAGTCCCTGTAAAAAGTAGCTACATTGGAGGTATGTCTTAAAGCCGAAAAAAATAAAATTTGCTAGTTCCGCTTTATCCCGAATATGGAACTGGGTATGGTGGCACAAGAGGAACAGGCCCAGCGAATGATTTGATAAACAAGGATATCGTCAGGCCAGGGGAAACAGACAAAGTACAGATTCCACTCAGCCAACATCGAATACAACAAACAATTCCCTCAGGCGACAGACCGTATTACGGACCTGAGGAGATTACTAGAAGTCGATTCAGAAATATTGACCAATCGGATGATCTAATCATAAATCGTCACCGCCATGTAAAAATTGACCTCTTGAATGAATAAATTCAGCACCGCGACATTTCCGGAATTTGGACAATTCTTAGCACTTCAAAAAAAACAAAAGATAAAGCTTAGAACTACCACTTGAACTATCTGAATTGATTTACTGTTATTAATTTCGAAAATTCTGTTCACCTTTTCTGATTTTTAATTCCTTTCTTTAGTAGTACTATCGAATTTTAAAAATGTCTTTCGGGTGTTTTGTGGTTGGTTGCATCATCAAAAACCCTTCAATAAGTATCCCTAGTAAAAATTCAAAAAATTACTACGTAACAGTACTCCTTAAGAAAAAAAGTACAGGGTCTTTCAAAAAACGTGAAGGAAAGTCGGAAGTTATAACCTACGACGGTTCGAAATCCCGGAAATGTCATGACGCGACAAATTTGAATAAAAATTGAAAACGTGGAATTTCACTAAAAGCAATTCGCAAATTTGGAAATGAAATCATTTATTACGTCTATCATGGAATTAGAGGGTGAGCTGGATTCCCGACCTCGGAGGCGACGGCAGCGTGATATTTTAGGTGTGAACAGGTAGGATAAATCAAAAAGTTTGTTATTTTGGCCTTGTAGATTCGACCGAATTCCAATTGATGAACGTCTTCCTCTCCCTTACGAAATCATCTTTCGGCTTCATTCTAGTCAAGAAGATCCCGAACATATTCGGGAACAGTTCCATCTTATCCTGGAAGAGGTAAGACCAGAAATAATAATATTATTATCTGAGACAGTTACCCTTTGAACGCTGCAAATTGGAACCGATAATTGACCAGGCCTTAGCTTCATTTGAACCTCCTCGGCTCTCTCAACGTGGGACTGCATTTCTTCACGGAATTCTCTCTGAAATTCCCGGATTAACTGTACGATTAATCCAGCGTTTTATAAAATTGGCTGGAACTGGACTTGAAACGCAGATCAGACTGGAATTAATCAATCTTGATGAGCTTTTTATGGTTCTCGAAAACCCCAGGTAGAGGAAGAATTCCAAAACACATCTTCTTTAGAATTATCGATGAATCTCTGGAATGTTTATCACTTGGATTGGGGAACATGCCCAACTTCGGACTTTTTATAGAGAGAACTACCTACAATGCCTTCGAAAACTCATATTCAAATGCCAGAATGATCAACAATGATCTCACTACCGTCAACAACATTGCGGGAAGTCATGTCCTCACGTGTTGGCTAGACATCAACTTCTTCAAAAAGTTACTCCATGTTACTTTCGCCGTGCCAGTAGATGAAATCGACGAGACGGGCTTAAAGTTTGAAGGGTACAAACTGACTCTGTCATTGTCGTCTGTCAGAGAAATGACATTTTGTGCTGATTTTGAAAACAATTCTCATCTTCTCCTGATCAGATACAAAACTCCTCCTCAATTATGGAAAGCCATGCCCAAGTATCACCATAGCAGAATTACCCTAAATCTCACTGATTGCCGAGAATGGACAAGAGTTCTGGAAGTAGAGAACAACTCGACGATTGGAATGGCGAAAACTCAACTCGGAAATTGCTGTGTTTTAGGCATAAAATTACCTAAAAAACCACCAATCCCAGCAGACGCCTCTCCATATGAACTTGAAATGAGTTCGCACTTGCAGAACGTAGGTGGAACAATACGAACTAAATCGCGGTCGCGGTCTGTGTTCTTAAAAAAAATGTATTGATGTACCAATATATTTTTGTCAATTTTCAATATTGATGGCCCACTCAAAAAAAAATTTTTTTCCGAGCTGCGCCCAGCCTTTGAAGCAACAGTTTTTATTGATGTTGGCGGCGATTTTATGCGAATGAAGTACACCTTAATGATAGTGGGAGATAGACTAGAACTAAATAAAACATCAAGGTACCATTAAATGATCTTTTTTCCATTTGGGACATCACCCCTAGATACTTGTTTGTTCCCAACTTGCACCCTCCGAAAAAGAATTAGAGTGGGCCAGAATACGGAAGTTTTTCTAACAATAAGCTTACATTTATAGGACATGATCAATCGCATCTATAATCTTCTGGGCCGGATCCAAACGATCGCCAAGACCAAGGTATTCTTCTCTGATGTCCACCGAATCATCCGAAATGAAGTTCCTCATATCGTGATGCCACTTTACGACTCTTTTCGTGCGAATTATGCCATCCATGTAAGGCCCGTTTTTATTTCCGTTCCACAACCTTCATTTGGAGCAAGATTGACGGAAACTGAAAAATATAGACCTGCGGTTACGGTACTGTATAGCTACGAAACTTTCGACTAGTCGGAAACTGTTGTCAGTAGCTTCAAAACTCGAGGCTATTTTAATTTTTGGCTACCCTTCATTTGGGTCAGATCGACTCCCGGCCAATATTTATATGCACTCAATGTGTTCACACCAAAGATAGGTCCCCCATGACCACGCCGTGAGCTGGGTCGTGACCAGAAGGTGAATGTCAAAAACGATGAGCACGGTGCGAAAGACACTTTAGTTATGCTGGGTCGTTACCTAGCTCGTGAGCTTGTTCAGGTACTTTTACTTCTGGCCTATAATTACAGACAAATGTAATGTTATATGTTTGAAAATTCAAATATACAAATGTAATCTTCGTTTTCAAAGAAGGAACATGCTTGTTAGAGAAGATACGGCCAGAAAGTGGTTTTATCCCTGTCCGCACTCCGCATTCCGTGTACTCTTTCGGCCGCAATGATTGCTAAGTATCTTGACTGCGCCTGCTCTCAGGAATTTATCTCTATGCCCAAGTGTATGCAAAATTTAAAGAAAGTTTAAAAGTTAACTGTATTTAACACTACTATTTATTTAGCTATTTAAAAGTACCCGTAATTAACAGTAAGAAGTTTTTTGCTGACCTTTTTACTCAGCGGACCTTTTCGTACCCAATGAAACCCAGTGTTTTAAAAAATGACGCGTTAGTTGTATTTGCAAATAAATGGTTTATTTTTTCAGGGTTTGATTGAACGTGGATATTCGATAATCGATCAACTGTATGCATCCTTGGAAAGTTCTTCTTCAGTGCCCGCTTTTTTCCAAGATGTGGCTAAAGCCCTTGAAGTATGTAGATATACTTTTATGTTATATGTTTAGGAGCACCAAGAGGCGTGTGAGGAGAGTCTGGAGGATCTTCTAGCGATATGCGACGATCAACGATTGAATTCGCTTCATTACTCGTTCAAAAAGTTGTTCCGACAGAAGATTACACCAGGTTCTGATCTAACTTTTACTTCCCGTCAAATGGATGTTCCCAGGAATTGCGTCTTGGTCAGAAAAGTACGTTAAAATAGGTTTTATGCTAATTTATTTTTTAGGTCATTGTGACCCCACTCAGAAGAATCTTCTTACCTCCAGAAGTGATGATGTCGAACCGAGTGGTTCGCCATTTTGGTGAAGAAGGGGCGTTGAGATGTTCGTTTAGAGATGATAATGGACAGCGGTTGTCGTTGCGCAACTTTACAAGATGTGCTGATGGTATCTTCAGCCATGCGATTGTGGAAGACATGGTAAAACGGACTTTATTACGGCCGTTTGACGTTGGAGGGAGGTCTTTCAGATTCTTGGCGTGGTCGAATTCTCAGGTATGGAACGTCTTCAATTGGGGAAAAAGACATTTGGAGAAACTGAAACATACTTTTTTATGCGAAAAGTTTATAACCTATTTCTGCCACTGAGAGTAACGTGTCCACAAAATAAAATTTTTTGCGAAACTGGCTAAGATACGGCCAGAAAGTGTTTTTATCTCTGACCGCACTTCGCCTTTTTGCGTACTTTCTCCGGCGCAAACATTGTTGAATATCTCGGCTGGGCTTGCAAAGCGTGAGCAAAACTTTTAGGCCTTGATGTCGCTATGTACGAGGTACATGCAAAATTAAAAAAAAAACTGACCGTCACACATCAAACACATCCGAGAAACTTAATCGAAACCATTGCAAATTTTTTGCTAGATTTCGCCGATTTTGGGCTACGGAATTTATAATTAGGATGTCAAGGTCAACACAATTCTTATGTTCTGAGAAGCATTCTCTGCATGTATCGTATACCCTTAAAAAATTTGTCGTCAAGCCTTGGCAGAAGTTTACCCATCGAGGGACCGCTTGGTGCACCAGAAAATAACGAAACATTTTTTGTTTAAATTTCTCTTTGCCCTGCTATTTTAAACATTAGCACGGTGCGCTCCGACTTTATCGGTGTTGCAGCGATTGCATTGCACGTACAGTCGCTAAGAAGGCTTTCCAGAAGTTTCAATGTGTCACAATAAAACGTTAAAAATTAGTGTGATGACCAAAGAAGTAAGTGCCCAATAGTCTTCGCCGAATACGCTGATTTCCGAAAAAAAATGATGAATTATTGACGGGGAACTGAGACAAGGTCGGAAGTACATACAGAGTAAACTGAAATTTCTCCATGTTTATGCCTTAGCCACATAGTGGCTTGCCACTTTTATGCGGGAAACAGTATTTTTCAGTTTCCCCAATTGTCTATCTCCGCTCAGCCAATTCTTATTATATTTTTGGTAACCGTTTTGTAGTTGAGGGATCATGGCTGTTATATGTTTTCGGATATGTTCAAGGAAAACACTTTGAATGGGGCGTCTGAGTTTATCAGCGTAGACACCATACGATCCTGGATGGGCGACTTCTCTAAAGCAACAAGTGTCCCGAAGTTGATGTCTCGAATGGGACAATGTTTTACTCAAGCGCAGCCTACAATTGAGTTGAAGAAAAGGGACTGGGAGGTTGTTTCTGACTTTGAGAGTCGATTTGTGGATCCCTTTTTAAGAAAGAATTATGTTTTTTCTGATGGTGTCGGTCTGATCTCTCCCCGATTCGCAAAGATCGTGTCAGCCATGCTAGATGTTTATCCAGTACCTTCGTGCTTCCAGGTTGGTGGAATTTATTTTCTTGTATTGGTTTTTAGGTTAGATTCAAAGGATTCAAGGGTATTTTGGTTAATTGGCCTAACTTGGTAAACCGGGAGAACTACAAGGAAATTGTTTTCCGCGAGAGTCAGCACAAGTTTGAAGATGCTAAGGAAGATGACAAGGCCACTTTAGAGGTCGTAAAATACTCGATGCCATCTCAAGTCTGCTTGAACAGACCTTTGATCATGATCTTGGATCAAGTTCTCCAAAAACAAAATATTAGACGTCATCGCGCAATGAAACGAAGGGTTACGGAGATTGTTGAAGGGGAATTGGACACTCTCGGAGGTATGATTGCCTTTGTTTTGACCTTTTTTTAGCCATGTTGTATCGCGATGTTATTGCAAGTGCGCAGTTAACAACCAGAACTGCCAGTAGAATTAATTTCCGATCATTACTCGATTCTGGAATTACTTTAACCGATGAACCGCTTTTCCGATTAATGTTGGTGGCTATTTACAAGTACTGTATTATTCAGGATATGGTTAAAGTAAGGAGTTTTTAGATGAAAAGTGATATTTTCATTATAGTTGAAGGTGCCCGTTCCCCCAGAACTTGGACGAACTATGTATGGAGTTGTCGATGAACTTGGTTATCTGAATCCAGGCCAAGTTTTCTTGCAATGTTCTCGAAGTGTCTCCTTATCTTCAATTAATTATGCTCCGTTTGTTGGTCGAGTGTTGGTTACCAAGAATCCCTGTCATGTTCCTGGTGATGTCCGTATGTTTGAGGCTGTTGATCTCAAAGAATATCATCATCTGAGAGATGTGATTGTGTTTCCTCGTCATGGAATCAGACCTCATCCAGATGAAATGGCCGGCAGTGATCTTGATGGAGATGAATATGCCGTGTTCTTTGACTCCGACTTATTCTATGATCAGAACGAGGCTCCAATGCATTTCCCAAAGAAAACTGCACAGGAATTGAATCGACAGCCAACGGTAAGGTAACATATCTTACCGTATTTATTAATGATACATATGGCTCGGGACTTCTAAATCTCTTTGCAAAAGTCCATCCGAACCTGCTAATTTAGTCCAAAGCTAAAAGTTGACAAAAAAGGAGGGGGCGACAGAGAAAGGCAGAAATTCTTACAAAGAGAGAAATTGCGCAATTTTATGTCAGATTGCGCAACTGTTAACCTTGTACTAAATTTGTAAGGTTCGGATGGACTCTTTCGGAGAGATTTAGAAGTCCGGAGCCATATTGTAAGAGTGAAGCCGGAAGTTCACCACTCAAAAAATCAGTCAAGGGACATGTACAAACTATTCATAGCCAAATGAAGTGTGCTAGATACCATTTGAAAAGTTGACCTAGGAACCGGTTTGCAAAATTGACAAAGGAATTTTATTTACGGCATGCATAAGGTATAAACCACTGTAAAGGATTTACAGGGGAAGGGCACAAATTTAAATAATTTTTTTCAAGTACCTACGAAATTCTTATTTTGCTCTTTGCAAACACGTCTGAGATCTTTAGGTCGAACGTTGGCAAAGAAAGACAGTGGTTCGGAAAATGCGGGAATTTTCATGGGCGTGATTAGAGGAGACGGCAGAGTGGTAGGAGTTTGTCGTTCTGGTCGAGCTCGTCCGATTCTCGTTTATTGTATTTAATTTGGCCATGGATGTTTCTTACAAGTCCCTTGTGAGTGAGCACTTCCGCCTTCACTCTTACATCTTGTAGACGGAAGATATGGTGGATTTCTTCTTGAAATATCTGGAACAAGATTCGATTGGTCGTGTTTCGAATGCCCATTTGGTTGCAGCTGATCAACTCGGCATTTTTGAGTAAGGCAATTGTAGCTGGAATATCTATTTTATATTACAGTAAAATTTGCGAGAATTTGGCGGCAAAATGTTCTGTGGCCGTGGATTTCCCGAAGACTGGAGAACCTGCCGAACCCTTGACTCAGGATGAAAGATTCGAGGTGTTGCCTGACTTCATTGGATGCAATACCAGAAATGTTTATCAAAGCAGATGGCTTCTTGGGACTCTTTACAGGTAACCAGAGTACCGTATCTAAATTCCGTTTTAGAAAAATTCATGTGCTGGAAATGATTTTGGAGAGCATTCCTGGTTTTGAACAAAAGAAATCCGCCCCACCTGATGAACTTCTTTTGGATCAAACACTCAAGGACACCGAACCCTACATGTTTCAAGAAGCCTTACGTCATCGTGATGTTTATTACGCAAAGCTTCAACAGATATTGGACGAGTATGGAATCGAAAGTGAGGCAGAAATGATGAGTGGGCATGCTGTTTCGATTAGAAGGATCACGGATATGGAGAAGCAGGACTACTCTTTCTACCACGCCGATAGATTGGTAATGTTTAAATGTTTTTTTAACTCACATTTAGGTCGAAATGAGAGTAAATCAGATTATTGATAACTTTCGTCGAGAATTCTTTGACCAATTTGGTGGGGAAGCTCATTGTTTGGAGTGTGAAGATGCTGGGATCACAAGATTTATTGGACCCGAGAAAGCTCTTTTGAAAGCACAGTGTTGGTACACTGTAGCTTATGGAGAAGATGCCGAAAACATTAAGTTTCGCTCATTTCCGTGGATTGTGTGGGATATGATTGTTCATGCTAGAAAGAAGATAGTAAGAGCCTTTATATCTTTTGTTCCTAATTTTATTTAGCGACTTCGCGTTCTTGCATTGACGGGAAAACTTGACCCTGGCCAGAATATGATCTTCAAAGACCTCACCCAGTTCATTCTTAACTTCAATAAACAGAATGTTGACGATCTGCGTGCCTTTGACCATCGCTTAATGAGTCAACATGGACACCTGCACTGTTACGAGATTTATATTACACTTTATGGATCCAAGTTGGCCGCGACTTTATTCTTTTTGCACCATTGGCTTTTTGTGGTAGTTCGAAACGAATTATAATAGATGATTTAGAACAACATGTACAAGACAGGAGGCTTTTCTCAAAAGCATTTGATTTTGTTGGTTTTGAAATTTGCATTTGGTCTTCCGATTGGTCGATATGTTAACCAAAAGACTTACCTCACCCACAAAGTGGAGACTGTGGAAGAAGCGCAGACTTTGAGAGGATCTGAAAATGCTCCGTTCAAGTTTGAGGAATGTGGAGGATTGGTTCTGGAGTTTGTCAGATTTTTGGGAAGCGTCCATTTTTCGTTGTCAGATACTTTGGACTTCAGTTATGATGGTTTAACTAATCTCACCGACAATGGGGAACACGAACCCTGCTGTCTTTTCAATGCTAGCGACTGGAAACCCATTAGTGAAGTAGGCTTTAATGATTCATTTTGTTTTAGTGGGATTGCTTTTCGTCGCTGATGAGCCTGGTTTCAGTTGGCTTATCGGACATTCCACTTTGTTTCCCTCACTCGAAACTTCGAAGTTTTCACGAAGAAAATAAGCGATCTCGTCAAACTTTAGTGGCTTTGTTCACCTCCAAATAACTTTTTTGTGACGTCATATTTCTAATAATCGAATAAAGAGCACCGGTTTATTGACTCGGATAACTTAAAACTTTCTCTTTGACACAAATACAGATCAGGCAGCGTGCGAGATGGTGAAGATTGCGAAATATGGCGTGGCCCGGCCACCGGAATCTCAACAGATTTAATAACCTGGGGCTGTGCGTGGAGGGGGACAATGGTCGCAGCCACCTTGAGCTCCAGCTTCTCCATCAGAGCCCTTATCTCCTGGAAGTCCGTCTTTTCCTGGTTCTCCTGGAGCTCCCTTGTCACCAGGTGGCCCTTGTGGGCCTGGCGACGAAGTTCCTGGTTGACCTGGAGGTCCCGGTGGTCCGGGCTCTCCTGGGGCTCCTTGAGGTCCGGCTGGTCCAGGAAGGCCGGGTACTTCATGAAGTTCTCCAGGCTGACCGGCTGGTCCCTTTTCTCCTGGTTGTCCTGGAGGTCCGGGTGGGCCAGGTGGTCCTTGGAGTCCTTGGCTGGCAGGAAGACCTGGTGGTCCGTCCTCTCCAGGGTTTCCTGGTTGGCCATTAGGTCCCTTTGGTCCGGATGGACCTGGTGGTCCTGGCGGTCCAGCAGGGCAGTCGAAGCAAAAGTCAGCTGGTGTTGGGCGATGGCCTTCGGGAGTATCGGCTCCATCTTCTCCGTCTTCGCCAGGAATACCATCCTTTCCTAAAATAATATGTTATATTGGGATCCGTTTTGTGGTCTTACCGTCTTCTCCATTTGGTCCTGGTGGTCCCGCTGGTCCAGCTGGTCCGACACCACAAGAGCAGAGTCCTTCTCCTCCATTGGGTCCTCCTGGTCCACCGCCAACACCGGGGCCTCCACCGTTGGGACCTCCGTTACCGGCGTAGTCTCCGGCAGCTGGAGCAGATCCGCCAGCTGATGGATGTGGAGATCCATATCCGCTCTCGTCGCCGGCATATGTGCCAGCGCCTCGAGCAAGATGGCGTCCTCTTTTCTTGTGTCTGATGACAGCAGAACGCTTTTGACGGAAGGCTTCGTTTCCAAAGATGGTACGGTAACGCTCCCAGAGACCATCAGATCTGTGGAGACAAAAGTCCAGCTCCTCTTCCAACGAAGATTGCATATGTTGCATGTAATTGTAAAGCATTGGAACAACAATAATAGCGGTTAAAGTGGCCACGGTGGAGACTGTGATGGCGAAAAAGGTGACCTTCTTGAAGGACTCGGCCTCCTTGACCAGCTCCTTAGCGTCCCGAGATTCGCTCCGGACAAGTGAGCCTTCCATGCTTCTGGAGAAAGCTAAAATCAGCTACATAAGATTACGCGATCAGATTCAATAACATTCTAGAAAAAGGTTGAAAAAAAAATTTCTTCCAAGCATTCCATCGACGGACTTCGTCGATGAAAAGAAATCCGCAGAATACACTGGTTATTTGCACTTGCATTACCTTCACTTTTATACCTGACTGGCGGCGAGGAAGATCAACACCCCTCAGGACATAAAAAGGTCGCTGCTTTGTCCTCTCCTCTTTTTCATCACTATCGCCGAAAAGTGTCGTCTCAGTGTGATCGACTAAGAAAAGAAAAAGACATCCGTTATGCGCATGTTTTCTCAATCTTCCGCGCTCGAGGTAAAAATTTGAAAAGCTTCGAATTGTTTTTTATTTAATCATCGAGAATCGAGACAATAACTTCGATTTTTGACTTCTTGGTAGTCGATAGACACCGTTTCTCGCGCTGCAAACCGATACCCACATGACACTCGTGTACCAGGCCGTTGAATATCCCGATTACATACTTTCATTTTTTCGCGTTTTTGTTAAGCGCATAAAATTAACCTGAGCAGAAAAAATGAACCCATTGGAAGGCAATTTTGTGAAAAACAAAAATTGAATGTATTAGAACTCATCATTCTCTGGGCAATTTTTTCGAATGACAAAAATAAGGCCGGAAGATTGGGATATTGTGTTTTTATAATTGAATGCTATTTATAAAAGACGTCTATTCATAAAATAATTATTAAATTTAATGAGTTCTGGTCGATTCTCTGATTGGTTTTACCTGGATTCCCTCTTCCGCGCTCGCTTCAAATTGCCACCTTCAAACTCGAATCTTATGTCAGTCGCAGTTTTTTGTTTGAATTTTTTTGTCATCGACGTTACGCAACCAGTTTAAGCGAGGGAATTTCACTTTTGGTTTCATTTGTGATGTTATTTCTTGAAAACGAAAGTTACGAAGTTGTCTGACAGTGAGATTCATAATTTTATTCATGCAAATTACGAGGAGGAAGGCGAGGGTCAGGACAAGCCCGGCCGCTCAACTGAGAACTTGGCTGAAGTGCACTGGGTAAATGTAACAAGTACATAATAACATAAGTGAGGTAACGAGAGAATAACGTTAGGGCATCCGGGCTTAGTATCCAGGGGCGGTACGTGGTGGTGGGCAGTGGTCGCAGCCACCTCCGTTTCCGGCCTCTCCATCGGGACCAGCTTGTCCTGGGCCTCCTGGCTGTCCTGGGGATCCTGGAGCTCCAGCATCTCCAGGTGGTCCTTGTGGGCCTGGGGAAGAGCTTCCTGGAGCACCTGGTTGACCAGGTTGTCCTGGCTGACCGGGTGGTCCGGCTGGGCCAGGTGGGCCTGGAATTCCGGGGACATCGTTGACTTGTCCTGGTTGACCGGCTGGTCCAGGTTGTCCGGGTTGTCCATCATTTCCGGGTGGTCCGGCTGGGCCAGGTGGTCCTTGAGTTCCTGGGTTTCCGGGCTGTCCGTCTGGACCGGGCTGTCCTGGCTGTCCGTTTGGTCCTTTAGGCCCGGCATTCCCTGGTGGTCCAGCTGGGCCAGCAGGGCAGTCGAAGCAGAAGTCATTAGGAGATGGCTGATGATCAGCTGGGGCATCAGGGCCATGCTCTCCGTCAGGTCCAGCGTTTCCGTCCTTTCCGTCGTTTCCATCTTCTCCGGGTGGTCCTGGTGGTCCGGCTTGGCCAACTCCGCAAGAACATGATCCTCCAGCAGCAGCGCTTCCACCGCCAACAGCAGATTCACCGCCGTAGCTGGCGGCAGCAACTGGGACAGCGGCGACTGGGGCTGAGGCTCCTCCGTATCCGCCTTCTTCGGCATAAGTTCCGGCACCGCGAGCACGGTGAGTGGCACGGCGTCTCATCTGACCGTTTTTGCGGACAGCGTTTCTTTTTTCACGAGCCAAGTGCTCTCCGAAGATACCCTTGTACTGTTCCCAAAGGTTGTTTGATCTGTGGGTACAGAACTCCAGCTCCTCATCCAATGTGGCTTGGACATGTTGCATGTAGTTGTACAACATGGGAACCACGATGATGGCGGTCAATGTGGCCACAGTGGAGATGGCGATGGCCGTAAAAGTGAGTCTTTTGAAGGACTCGGCCTCGCGGAGCTGCTCCTTACTGTCGCGTTCCATCTACAAAAAGATTTTAATCTTAAGAAAAGCGGTGAAAATTAAAGTGCAAGTTAAAATCCGAAGCCTACCTTTCCGTGCGGGCCCTCGAGGTAATTCGAAAGTCCGTGGACTGATGACTTTCACCTTCCTCTTGGCGAGGTTATATACCTGTAACATTTCTGGAAAAGAACAATAGCCGTATATATTTTAACTCGCTCTTACCTCCTCGCTTACAGCACACCCCCAATCGCCCCACCTTTTCATTGTAAATTGGTGAAAATGGAAAAACAAAAAAACGCGACTGATATCGCCGGGCAGTGAGAGATCGTGGACACGAGGGAGGTCGCCCGAAAGAGCCCGTTTACGTTGACGAACTCTCGATGAGAATTTAAATTTTACCCTTTTGTTTGGCTTGAATGTCCATAAAAATCGAGTTATTTATTATTAATACAGCGCGTCTGTGATGAAAGTATTCAAAAATTGAGGTGTACTGTATGTTTAAAAATTGAGGTGTACTATAGTGCTCAGAAACCTAAATGTATGAAATTCCATAAGGTTTTATTATGGCATTTATCCTTTCTTTTATAATTCTTATCACTCTGCTTGAAGTTTCGAAAAAGATGTTTTGCTTGGCGTGTTCCAATGAGAGAAAAAGCGAAACCGCTACAGACGAGGAACGAAGACAGACTTCACAGAAAACAGGTTGTCTTCGCTCCCAAATCTCGACTGATAACATAAACATGACCTGAAGAAAAGAAAAAAGAACAAAGAAATCAGGGATTTCACAGACAGGGAAGGAAATATAGCACACAGATTGAGTTTTTAAAGCATATAAAAGATTAATGCAATCGACAAAATTACTAAAAAATATTTTATGGTAAACGATTTCTAAAGAAAGCGGGGGCCTCGAGGCGAAAGAAAAAGAAAACATTTGAATTCCAAAATTGCTTGATGTTGCGTCAGATTTCACAACTAAAGTAAAAAGAATGTGTCTTTTGTCACCTACATCTTCACTTGGTTATTTACATTCAGTCAATTCTAATCATTAACTGAACGCAATATTGAAAGTTCGCGAGATAATGACGGATGCCTTACACTTCAATGTAACATTATGCAAAGCCGTACTTTTTTATATGTTTCAGCTAGTTTCAGACGTAGACTAAGTTTTGTTCCGTTATTAGCTCCGAGTTCGTAATACGAAAATATTTCCAAACGGTTAAAGTTCCATAAGGAACTTGTTGCGGCTATCGCCGCTGTAATTTTTGCGTTTCCAAATATTTTTACAAAATAAATAGAACCTTATCGTCGACTTAAACCGGTTTTGCTGCTCACTTGTCTCTGATTTATATACTGAAAACCGTTTTCGGAAAATTATAAAGAAAATAAAGTGCAATATTCATTGGAGGCCAACAAAATCTTGGGCTTAGTAATTGACTCTCATAGCCATTCGCAGACATTCTGCTAACTGGTTGTTAATCAGCTCGCCTCTGAACTTTAAAATTTACTTTAAACCATTTCCGCGAAAGCAGCGACTCGTTTTCGGAAGCTTTTGTTTCAACGTAGCGGAATGAGGGAAAAAGTTTTGCTTTTACTGACACCCCTTCCGACTCTAGCAGCTATAAAAACGAACTGGGCCTAATGGCTCAGCATCCAGTCTGCAGCCATGGACTCCAAGGAACAGCTTCGGGAGGCCGAGTCGTTCAAAAGGCTCACTTTCCTCGCTATCGCCATCTCCACTGTGGCCACATTAACCGCCATTATTGTGGTCCCCATGTTGTACAACTATATGCAACATGTCCAAACCAGTTTGGATGAGGAGTTGGAGTTCTGTACTCACAGATCTAACGGTCTCTGGGAACAGTACAAGGTTCTTTATGGAGAGCACGCCTTCAGAATTAAGCGGGAAGCTACCTTCCGTCGTATGCCTCAAGGACATCGCCCTAATCAACGAGGACGCCGTGGAAACAAACGAGCCCGTCAAGCATACGGCAATGAGGCCGCTGCTCCAGCACCAGCTGCTGTTGGGGGATATGGCGGAGAATCCGCTGTCAGTGGAGGATCTGCGGCTTCCGGGGGCTCATGTTCTTGCGGTGTTGGCCAAGCTGGACCACCAGGACCACCCGGTCAAGATGGAAACGACGGACATGACGGAAACCCAGGTCAAGACGGACAACCAGGCCCTGATGCTCCAGCTGGACACCAGCCATCTGCTGATGACTTCTGCTTCGATTGCCCTGCAGGTCCAGCTGGACCAGCTGGAGGACCAGGACCAAAGGGTCCCAACGGACAGCCAGGACAGCCCGGTCCAGACGGACAGCCCGGAAACCCAGGAACTCAAGGACCACCTGGCCCAGCCGGACCACCCGGAAATGATGGACAACCCGGACAACCTGGACCAGCCGGTCAACCAGGACAAGTCAACGATGTCCCCGGAATTCCAGGCCCACCTGGCCCAGCCGGACCACCCGGTCAGCCAGGACAACCTGGTCAACCAGGTGCTCCAGGAAGCTCTTCCCCAGGCCCACAAGGACCACCTGGAGATGCTGGAGCTCCAGGATCCCCAGGACAGCCAGGAGGCCCAGGACAAGCTGGTCCCGATGGAGAGGCCGGAAACGGAGGTGGCTGCGACCACTGCCCACCACCACGTACCGCCCCTGGATACTAAATTGTGTCTGGCCAATATTTTTATTGATCCTCAGGAATCCGATCTCAGTCAGTTGAGATCACTGCCATTTTTATTGTCTTTCATTTACTTCGTTCGCCCGAAATAAATTCTGAAGCATCATCCATTTGTTTTTGATTGACAAACCTGTTGGCTACTAGCAATTACTCCATTGAGTCCGGTTTCTCTATAATTTGCGGACCAACGGGAATCCCAGGCCTGATTGATGGGAAGGAAATTGGTTTCTTCCACAAGCAATGAAAAAATATTTTCGGCCAGCCATGTAACTTGCTGGATATCATGACTATCATCGGACGGTAAAGTGTGAGAATTTATAAAAAACGATAAATGAAGTCCGTCGATAAATTATGGAAGTAATCATTTTATTTATTGTCACCAATTTTGAACCCCTTTAAAAAGAAGATTCAACATTAATATACTACAAAAAGATCCCGTTGATAATAAGGAGCAGTACTAGAGTTCAAACGTTTGCTTTATTTTTCACTGAAAATTTTTTCACATTTCGTAATCCATCCACAGGGAACTCAAAATCACTTATAAAAACTTTTATTTACTTATAAAAACTTCAAGTTTTTATAAGTAAATAAAAGTTCTTATAAGTGATTTTCAAATCACTTATAGGTAATTTTTATTTTCGGTGCCCGGGAAATTCACTTATAGGTAATTATAAATACTTATAGGTAACAGAAAATTATGCACAGTGCAGGATAGATAAAAATTTATTCAAACAAAGTAAAAAACAACTTGACTCTGATATATTACCGGTTACACATGTGGTTAGCGCATCTTCTGCGTCCTGACGGGGCTAACTTGCTTCTGTGCGGATTTTCTATGGGTACTCCTGGGGCTAGATGCACTGAAAATAGTCAAAGATAAAGAAAAAGTAAATAAAATTTTCGGAGATAGTTTATTATGAGATCTCATTGAACTCATTTTTTGTGCTTTTCCATCCCAAAAATTAGTTTGAAGTTCAGAAATTTAGCAATGAGATTTCGAGACATCAAGTTTTTCATGTTGTACTAGGTCCAGGTGAATATTATCAACATACCTGAGGCATCCGAGAGTCATTTTTTCCAGACATTGTGTGCACGTTGCCCATTTACTTCCTCCACGAACATTTTGTGATTATCTGAAATAGTGGGTTCACCTGGACCTAGTACAACATAAGAAAACTATGTCTTGAAAAGTTTATGGCCTTCTGATATGTGGAAGCAGTTTAAAAAACCTACCAAAATCGAGGAAAGAGTTCTTCATCCAAATTCTTGATTGATCATGCTTGTTCCTAGGTCTTCCCAGGCTGTCTGCTCTTCCACTTTGACTTGTTTCCTAATCGGGAAGTTTGTTATGTTCCGGATTTTTCATCTACCCACTTTTTACATTCCTGTAAATGAAAAAAAACTCACTAGAAACCCCTTACCTTGTTCCATCCAACGTTTAAATACCCTCTTTGACCAGTACTGCTACGAAAAACTTAGAATTTCTAAGTCTCGCCCATGCGTTCAAAAAGCCAAAAGCGTCTTTGGCGCTCAACTGTTTTCTTTTCGGAGTCCTTATTGGTAATTATAAGTAAATAAAAGTTCTTATAAGTAAATAAAATTTCTTATAAGTAAATCAAAATAGGCTCCGCCTTTTTTTAACTTATAAGTGAATTTTTGGGAAATATTTTTACCTATAAGTAAATAAAAGTTTTTATAAGTAAATCCGAATCCCCTGTGTCATCATTCAAAAAATTCAAAAATCAAGGAAGATTTAGTCCGGGATTCTTTTTGATTTGGGGATCTTTTCGAAGGAAACCAAAGGTTGAGATTGCTTTCTAGAGATTCTACAGGGTGTACAAACAAATCTGGACAAGCACTTTTACAATAAAAACCATTTCTTCGGAAAATTTCCATTAACAAGGGAAGTACCCGAAGTGCGACGCTCAGATTTTTATAAAAATTGGCATAGATGGAGATCAGAATTTTCTTATTCGATTGCGAACATCCTAGCTCGCGCTTTGCAGAATCCGCCGAGAAAGAAGGGCCGGAATATCGAAAAAATCTTCAAACGCCGACGAATTTCCCTGCAAATCCGCTTGATCTTGGCATTTCGTCCCAGGAGAAAAATATTTTTTCTCGCAAGAAATTTTTTCTTGGTGATGTTCAAGACTATTTTGTTGCTTTTATGTGGAATATGGTGTGTTATTACCACTTTTTTACACCCAGGACATGATTCTAGCGCTATTAATTGGATTGTCGCCATCCGAGGGGTAAAATGTTTCGTCCTTTGACGAATTTATACAGTTTTTCCTCTGCCGATGGGCAAACCACTCTAATAGCTGCTTTAAAGTTGTTTAGAAGACTTGCAAACGTTCTACGGTCGCTTACGAACGTAATCATAAGGTAAGTGTTACAAACATTTTATCTTTTCACTATTTTTCAGTTTATGCCATTTCAGAAAACAAAGTAAAGGTCCGAAGGTGTTCCGTCAGTGTTCCGATGGTGTACATTCGCTCTTGTTGTTGTTCAGAATTTGCTCACTGAAAAATAATAAAGTTTTTGTAACACTTACTTTAAGATTATGTTCATACACGACCGTAGAACGTTTGCATGTCTCCTAAACAACTTTAAAGCAACTATTAGAGTGGTTTGCCCATCAGCAGAGGAAAAACTGTATAAATTCGTCAAAGGACGAAACATTTTACCTCTCGGATGGCGACAATCCAATTAATAGCGCTAGAATCATGTCCTGGGTGTAAAAAAGTGGTAATAACACACCATATTCCACATAAAAGCAACAAAATAGTCTTGAACATCACCAAGAAAAAATTTCTTGCGAGAAAAAATATTTTTTTCCTGGGACGAAATGCCAAGATCAAGCGGATTTGCAGGGAAATTCGTCGGCATTTGAAGATTTTTTTCGATATTCCGACCCTTCTTTCTCGGCGGATTCTGCAAAGCGCGAGCTAGGATGTTCGCAATCGAATAAGAAAATTCTGATCTCCATCTATGCCAATTTTTATAAAAATCTGAGCGTCGCACTTCGGGTACTTCCCTTGTAAATCAAAAGTTGGTATGTGTAAGTTTCCATGTGTGATTCCAAAGTCATCATAGAAAAAAGCGGTTTGTACAAGAAGCACCAGGACAAGGAAAGTTTTGTCAACCCCCACCAAAATACTACCGTCAAAATCTAATTTTTTCCATGACCAATCTTTGACGGCCGAACCTTTCTAACCTCTGGCATTGAGGTCCTCCAAATTCCAAAAGTTTTGTTTCCGTGACCAGCGTCGCCAGACCAACAAAAATGCTTCCGTATGCCGCTACGGAGGCCGGTAGCTTTTATACAATAAATTTGATAGCTTCCTTAGCGGAAACAATGGACGAATTGACAGGCTCTATCTTTTTAAAAATTTACTTTTATTTTTTCAGTCTCGCAATAGGCCCGAACCTTGGCGTTACGTTGTTGTATAGCACGGCTGTTACCTTTGCTAAAACGGCTAAAAGTTTTAATGCTTCGGTCACCCGGAAAAAAAACTATAAGGAATTGATTTTTGTCCGGATTTTTTTGGCGCACTTTGTCTAAGCCTCAAATATGGGCTTAATAGAACATTAACTCCATTTAGTGTTACGCCTTCCTGATTATCCAGTAGCATCGATGTTTCTTTTTCGTTGGTTAAAGATTATTCAGTCCTATAAGTGTTACTCGTATCAAATTAGAACGGTCGCCAGACCCGCCTTTTCTTCGTTTAAACCCTATTATTTATCATCTTGTTTACGTAGCCATGGGTCCCCAACATCTCTACTTCCCGAAACGAACGTGCGCCCTTTTCTGTAGCAGTAAAAGTACAGGTATTCTGCCTCCTACTCATTTTTTATCACTGTTTTTTATGACACGCGCAAAGGGTTTAGCGCGAAACCTACTTTTTTTTGTGGGAGTTTTCTTAAATTGTCGCAAAAGTAATGCAAGGGGCCTATTCCGGAAAACTGGCTTGCCCCCACCTCCCGCTTTAAAGTAAAAACCTAAGGCAACATTCGCGCTTCCCTATATAAGACTTAAGCCAGCTACAGATAGTCAGAGTAGTTGACTGTCCCCAATCGACAGCCATGGACTCCAAGGAACAGCTTCGGGATGCCGAGTCTTTCAAAAGACTCGCCTTTACGGCCATCGCCATCTCCACTGTGGCCACATTGACCGCCATCATCGTGGTCCCCATGTTGTACAACTATATGCAGCATGTTCAATCTAGCTTGGATGAGGAGTTGGAGTTCTGTACTCACAGATCTAACGGTCTCTGGGAACAGTACAAGGTTCTTTATGGAGAGCACGCTGTTCGTGCTAAGCGCGAAGCTACATTGCGCCGTATTCCTCAACACCGCAACTTCCGCGGCCGTCGTGGTATGAAGAGAACCCGCCAAGCTTATGGCGGAGACTCTGGATATGGCGCTGCTCCCGCTCCAGCCCCTGTCCACTCTTACGGAGGCTCGGCCAACGTTGGCAGCTACAACCAAGGAGTTAGCGGAGGATCTTCGGTTGGTGGAGGTTCATGCTCTTGCGGTGTTGGCCAAGCTGGGCCACCAGGACCACCAGGCCAAGACGGAAATGATGGACATGATGGAAGCCCAGGTCAGGACGGTCACCCCGGTCCAGACGCCCCAGCCGGTCACATCCCATCTGCCGCTGACTTCTGCTTCGACTGCCCTGCAGGCCCAGCTGGACCAGCTGGAGGACCAGGACCAAAGGGCCCCAACGGACAGCCAGGACAGCCCGGTCCAGACGGACAGCCCGGAAACCCAGGAACTCAAGGACCACCTGGCCCAGCCGGACCACCCGGAAACAACGGACAACCCGGAAATGCTGGACCACCAGGACAACCAGGGCAAGTTCACGATGTCCCAGGCACTCCAGGCCCACCTGGCCCAGCCGGACCACCCGGTCAGCCAGGTCAACCTGGTCAACCAGGTGCCCCAGGAAGCTCTTCCCCAGGCCCACAAGGACCACCTGGAGATGCTGGAGCTCCAGGATCCCCAGGACAGCCAGGAGGCCCAGGACAAGCTGGTCCCGATGGAGAGGCCGGAAACGGGGGTGGCTGCGACCACTGCCCACCACCACGTACCGCCCCTGGATACTAAACAGAGTGTGCAGTATGTGTCTCTGTATGACCTGATGTTGCGTGCCTTAGCTGTAGGTACAATACTTTGTTTCCCTTTGTGTAAATTGGCCATGACTTGTTTCCCAATAAATTCTGAATATTTAGCTCTTGATTCGTTGCACCTTGAAATGCAAAATTTACAAGAATAGAAAAGTTTACTATTATGTTATATAAACGATAATATCGTTTATATAACATTATTATAATAATATTATATAATATTATTATAATAAGCTGACATAAATGGAAGAGGCGACAGAGAAAGGCAGAATTTTTTACCAAGAGATAAATTGCGCAACGTTGCGTCAGATTGCCCCTCTGACGCAACTTTTAACTTTGGACTAATACCGCCGGGTTGGGATGGACTCGAGCGCAGTGATTTATAAGTTCCTCGCCATAAATGCTTATGTCAAAACATCAACAAAAAAATCGTCACCAATCATTTTTGTCGTATAACATGGAATTCTTTTTTTGACGGAATAGATTGGCGTGAGCTGTTTATGATCGGCCTTAATACGGCAAAAACAAATAATCACTACAAATAAAGTGGGACAACGGAATAATTCATAGGAATATAAAGCCCAATAAAGTCATTCTCACCCAGTTTCTAAAGTAACATGGAAAACCGAGCGACAAAGGTGTACTGGATTGTCTATTTTCTGACTTGTTCTTCACTAGGCGGTACTTTCGAAGTTCAAGTAAACAAATCCTCAGTAAAAAAACTGCTTCTTGTAGAATGCAGTTGATAGCTTGGGTTCAGCTTTAAGTTTAATCCAAGAATCCGCTGGAGATGCTGTGAATCAAGGGACCAACGAACTGCTTAACATCCCTGTCGCCTTAGGCGATCGACTTTCTTGCGCACCGTGTTCTTTGATAAGTGAATTTGTGATGACAAAGCTCGATGAAAATGTTTACATTCAATCGGTAACCGTTGCAAATTTAGCTCCCGTATGACTTTAGTTAATGATATCGACATGTCCAATATTATTTTATGGGGATTGGCATAAAATGTGGGCATGTGAAGTTCTGATGGTGGGGTCGGTGGTCTACTCCCACTTTGGCTCTCCAACTTCGTTATGCCGAGCAATGGGAATGTGTCCCAATTTGTTTAGGATAAAACGAAATACTGATGAATCACACATGGACCCCGGTGATCTCTTAGAGGTAACAGCTTTCCAATTATGACATGCAAATACGGCTGCATTATAGTCAACGCAAAAAGTCCTTGGAATTTTCTGCGACTCTGCACTTTGCATGAACCCAAAAAAAATTTTGCACCGTGCATCGTGAACAAAAACCAGGTTTGCACAGTGCAATTTTGTTTTTTGTTTCTTGCCTTACGTCGCGCGCGATTCCCATTTTTCATACATCAATTAACTTTTAAATACAACTTCTTGGATAGCTGCAAAGAAAAAAAAACAAACGTTCTGGAAGATACAAATTGCGCAACGTTATAACGTTATAACGCGTTATGTCAAATTGCAAAATTACAGTAGTCATCAATAAACCGCATATTTTTCAATCCGGTTTGTTGCAGTTTATTGCGCACGCTCTGTATCTTTGGTATCTTCTAGTTTGACCCTTTTAGATGCTACCCCTGAATTTTGATGATTTTTCTGAAAAACTGGCTGACCTTGATCCCAGCGACCAGTTGAGGGCGCAAAAGCTCGTTTATAAGATTGTGGCCAGAGCTGGTAAACAGACTCCAATCGAATATACAAACTCGTTGAGAGAATTGGCCCAATTTTACAGATAACCTCTTGTCTACTTGATTTATTTATTCTAAAAATAAACAAACCATCTTCGGGGTTCGACTGCAAATTCAGAAAAAACGTAGTAAAGATCACGTATGACGATTGTTAAACAATTATCGAGACTTTTTAAGTGGCTGTTGACCACAGAACAAGGCATCTGATCGAAAAACTTTCGATTTTGCACGCACGCAATCACAAAAATTGAGGGACCTCCTACTTTGGAGGATCGTCTGAGTGCTTTCTCCTTCGACTATAAAAGGGAATCGCCAGATTTCAATCTCCCCAACCTTTGAGTTGAATAATAATATTCGTCATGTCTTGGGAAGATACTACGGACAGGATCTGCCGAGATGCCACAGATATGGTTGGGCATACTCCCTTGGTTTACTTGAATAAGGTTACAAAGGGTCTCAATGCCAAAATCGGTGAGTTTTCCTTTTGGGACGTATCCTCTCTCGATGTTTTACTTGTACAGAAAATTTCTTAATACTTTTTGGGTAGAAGTTTGTAAATTTTTCTTGTTTTAGCTGTGAAATGCGAATATATGAACCCGGCCTGCTCGGTAAAAGATCGCGCTGGAGTTCACATGATAGAAGTTGCCGAGAAGGCCGGTCTCATCAAACCCGGAGATGTCTTAATCGAGCCAACGTCTGGAAACATGGGAATCGGCCTGGCCTTTGCTGCCGCTGTCAAAGGATACAAGCTCATTTTGACAATGCCATCTTCGATGAGCTTAGAAAGAGTAAGTTTAAATAATAAAGCATAATTTATTACCTAATTTTTTGTTTTTAGAGAACCTTGTTAAAAGCGTTCGGTGCTGAAGTAATTCTGACTGATCCTTCAAAACAAGTGCTTGGAGCAATGGAAAGAGCGAAAGAGCTCGAAAAGCTGATCCCAAATGCTCATGTTCTTGATCAGGTAAGATTTGTCCGATTAATTTAAATTATCAGTCTCTCGGGAACATACGTAGTGACGGGTCGCAGCAAAATGTTTCGTCGAATAAAGGTTGCAGTCGCGCACCAAATTCCGGCTGCGGCAGTCGTCGCACGGCGATGATGGGCGATTCCAATGCGCGACGACCCGCCACTTTCTTCCCGACAGACTGATAACTTTTTAGTTCTCAAATCCCGCCAATACCGAAATACACTATCTTACTACCGGCCCAGAAATCTGGCGTCAGACTAAAGGAGAAGTGTCCGCAGTTTGTTTCGGAATCGGCTCCGGTGGCACGATGAGTGGAGTCGGCCGTTTTCTTAAGGAGAAGAACCCTGACGTCAAGGTGTATGCTGTGGAGCCATACGAGGCTTCGGTTATCAACGGATTTGAACATAAACCTCATACCATCCCTGGCATGGGGGCTGGTTTTGTTCCAGACTTGTTGGACAAAATCTACGAGGAAGCGCTGAGAATTCCATCTCCGGAGGCCGTTTCTATGGCCAAGAGAATGGCCAAAGAAGAAGGAATCCTTTGTGGAATCAGTGGTGGAGCAAACGTTTGTGCAGCGATTCAAGTGAGTAATTTTTATAAAGTATTTGTAATGGTCGCTTTATTGATGTTATTGTTTTTGATAAACGGATTACAAATTAATAAATTATCGCTTTTCAGCTGGCTAAGCGTCCTGAGTTTGCGGGGAAGTTGATTGTAACAAGTCTGGCTTCGTTTGGAGAACGTTATTTGAGCACAATCTTATACAAGGACGTTAAGGAGGAATGTGAAAAACTTGGAGAGACCACCTTGGAACAAGATCGCAAGTATCTTAATGAGAAATGGGGTCTACATATCTAAAGCTTTAAATATCTCATCTTTTCGTGATCTACGACTGCTTATGTGGACATAATCTGTTATCAATTTTCAGTATTAGTCTAATAAACAAACGCTAAATGATTTTTTAACAGGTCCATTCGAAAAACGCGAAGCAGTTTAAGACGCTTCTCAAGCCGTTTCTCCCTTGGAATGACCTTCGGAAGTGTCGCTTCTCCTGCGTTCTACTGCCCTCCAACTTAAAGAAGGGACCTGACCTTTTTCGCTTTGACATGCCAGGGATGAGAGGCGGTAATAATAAAGCGCCCGACTTCCAATTAAATTCCCGGCTCTCCTCCATTTATTGTTTTCGAGGACAATGATAATTACCTGCGATTTTTTGATGTCGTTTTTTCCTGTGACATATGTGGAATACATATTCCCGGACTTTATTACTTGGAGTGTATGGCTTGATTAAAACAACGCAAGTGCAACATATAACCTTCAATACGGTCATATTTACCCTTTTCTCATTGGTGTAACGGTTAATAAATTTTGCGCAGCTCTTTGAAGACGGCGGTGATAACAGACTCGCATTTGCTTTACTCTTTAGTGTTTTTAATCTGTTTGATCAGTTTATTTACTGCTCTTAGGAAGAAATCTTACTAAATTCTGAAAAAAATCTGTCACAGTGTGAAAATGAATTTTTGTTGACAAGAACTTGCAATTCCGTTCTGCCGGTATTTCCACAGTTAGGGAATTGCGACAATTTGAGTTTGTGCCAATGACTTGTAAGAAATGTAAAAAGTATTTGTAAGTGTAAAACCAATGCTAAAATTGTAAAATAAATTATTGAATATAGGGTATAGAATATAGGGGTATATACAGGGTGCGCCAAAAAAAATGGACAGAAATAAAAACGGTTGTGTCTCGCCACGAAAACCGTAACGAGTACGGAAAAAGGGGCGATTACGACCGCAAAGGACCCATTTGCAAACCCTTTAAATCTCTTTTTTCCTTTACCACCAGTTTTTGCAACATGGACGAAAAACCAAAGAGGTACCTAGTTGTGCCTTTATTTTCTATAGAATTTTCTCGGAAGAAAATAGTTTGACGTTGCGGTTCTCTCGGTACAACTGTAACCCGAGCTTCGGATAAGTTCGAGGATGTTGATAGCGTCCAGAAGTTTGCTAGGGAGTGATAAGCCCAGGACAGAAAAAACTCCGGCTCGGAAGAAGAGCATCGGAAGTCGGAGTGACCCAGATCCTTGCAGATCTTTGGAACGAATGGCTTCTGAATTGAATATCTCGGAGTTGTCGGTCAGAAGAATTGCAAAAACCGACATGAGGTGTTCCTCATATTTTATTCTACGCGTGCCATGCGTTGATTCTACAGAAAAATGCAAGGCGCGGCTCCAGTGCGTCCAAAACTTGAGAACAGAAGCCCCTGACACGGTCGTTTTCACGGGTATCCACCGTTTCCGCTTTGAGCCCTCGGCTCTCCGCCGAAAACGCAGGTTTAAGCTTGAAACTTTTTGACGCTATAGAAGAGACATAGATTTATTCAGAAGAGGCTGTTTGAGCCAATTGGAGTTAACGGCGGCTTTGCAGCGTAACTTTTGATAAAATCATTCATTTTTTGTCCAAAATTTTGAAATTTTGTCACTACCTCGAAGCATGATGATGTCGGAAAGATAAAAATCGGTGTGTTTAGTACGTACTCGGTCGGGTAACAACCCAAAGCTTAACAGTTATCCAAAGCCTAATCAGTTTCTCACTACAAATTTTTTTCTGGTTTTCGAAGTTTTGAGTTTTATTTTTTTACCTCAGCAACGCAAGTTTGGATGTCCGCGGCATTGAAATGGAAAGTTACTATTACTATTCCTTTGCATATCTGATAGTACTCGTCTTAACGTATTCGGCAACTTTTATTTGAAGTTTTGGTTACGGCTCAAAAAATATTTATGCCTGATTTCCCAAAGGACCCATTTTCGAGAATTGTGATCGGGACATGGTCAACTTGAACCTTCGAGAAAAAAAGTTGCAGTAAAGTTATACCTCCATTCTTAACGTGAATATACTGTTTGAACATCGCTATTTATTGGACCAAAACGTTTCCTCAAATAATCTACCCAAGAGCCAGATATCTGCAAAAAATTTTTGTCCATTTTTTTTGGCGCACCCTGTATAGTTGCGCAATCCGGCTTGCATTAAAAAATGTAGTCCAAGGATGGTTAAGAAGTTATGCTAATTTAAAATTTCTAGAAATTGTTAAATAAATTCCTATTATTTTCATTCACTGCAAAGCCCAAAATTTAGGGGCATTTTATAACAATGGGTATACTTCATAGCTTAGACGTATTTTACAATTTTGATTCTGCCTTTACGTCTTGTATTTTTCTGGCTAAAGAGTTTACCGTTACTCTATTCTGGAATTGTCATTATTCCGACGTTCTGTTGCAGTTAAGGGATTATCACGGTGCGGACATCAACCACCTAGATGACATTTCTGTTGTCGTCTATTTCCCATACGGCCGCGCATTGTCAAGTTGTAAAATTTGTTTGAAGATGCCGCGCGAGGGATTGACGCGTTCAGAACAAACAGGCGATTGAAGGAAGGAGAAGGTCAACTGAGGCCAGTGTCCACTCGGTCTCGCGCTCTCGGTCATTATGTTCACAATAGCGAGTTGCTCATTTGCCTGCCGTTCGAATGGCCTTGAGAGTGACGGAGTTTTGACTGCTTGTCGTCTCCCCTACCTTACCTTCCTCGGCTACCCTTTTTTCCAAAGCTTTCTCCTTTCTTGGAGCTTTCGCATATTCCGGAAGGGGCGATTCCAAAGGACGATCGCGTCCATTTCGGCGTTCTAACTGTGACTTTGGCAAGGGCTGTGGTCAGGCTTTAAATTCGTTGATTTAAAATTACTACTGATCATAGATAGTGCAATGGCAATTTATTTTTTCGTCATCATAAATGGTCAGATATCTTTGTTGATTTCTTTGTAGTTACTTGGTTTTTTAACGGCTCATGTTGTATTTTCACTTTCGCTAACTTTCTCCCTTCCTTCCGTTTTAATCCCGATCCAATCAGTCTGTAATTACGTCGCGATCAGGGCGACGTAATCCAAATCTTGAGCGACTTCTGAGTCATCGGCCTTGGCTCTATTATCGCGCGCAAATCTTTCCTAAACACCTGAAAGTCAGCGCTAAAAGAGGCCTCTTTTAGCGATGCCCTCTTTTCTGCACTGCTGGAGACGGAATCCGCGGAATCTGGAGAAGAAACGCGAGCCCTCCTGTTTTTGAATGCGTGATGTCGATGCGATTATTTATGACTGTTTATTCTTACACCCTCCTTTATTTTCAGGTATTATGCACAACTTTCCTGTGCCGCCGTTAAGGTCGAGCAGTGTAAATGAGGATGGGAGAGTAAGGATTACTGTATTTAAAGGTTATAATTTTTTGAGGCATTATTTTTGACTGAAAACATCGTCTGGTAATATATCTGCAAAGTTGGGCTGAGAAATGTGGGAACGGGGTTGATGCCAGCCTGCAAATTAACCTACTTTCCGGCCCATAAACCTCAAAATAATGCTCCGAAACTTGCAGAAATGGCGAGAACCAATCGGAGTGATCCTGGCTGTTCTCCTGGGCGCAGCCGTTCTTTTCTCTGTAATTTGTCTATTCGTTTATGCCAGAAGGGATTCGAATTTGTATGAAGAATTGGTGGATTATTTGGATAAAACCGTTAGCATCAGCAAAATTAACTTTAATCCCGCGTTGGGAACATACGAAATTAAAGATCGTGAAGTTCAGACATTGTCAGAATCTAGAAAGGTAAGAGCCACCAATCCCATATGACAATCTCCTTTCAGTATAAAACATTGATCTACCTCTTCTTGGGTTGTGATGCGGCTACTTTGTTCTTTGTTAGCGTCTCCATTATGTTGTTCTATACAGCGGATGTAGAGAAAGGGACCCTTCATTTTGTGTTTTGGTTGTTTTTGATAGTTGGATGCGTTTATTCGATCCTGGAGGCCTCTGCCTTCAGTTTCTTTCTGTTTCCATTCAGTGCCAAACTTCCAAATGCGACCGAAGCCTTGTTAGATCATGCTGTTCCCCACAATCCAGGAGGTCTGCTGCAGATGGAACATCGCCTTGGATGCACTTTTGAGCAGAATCTTTATCAGACGTTCCAAAGGAAACAGAATCCCAGGGTAAGTTACAGCAAGAATGGTTGAATGGGACTCCGTAAAATTCAGCTTTAATGAATACCTATTTCAGAACACCTGTGATCCAGCTGTTGTCTCCACCTTCATTCCACAACCGCTGCTTGTTTCTTTTGTTATTCTTCGAGTAGCAGCTCTCCTTACATTCATCATCTTGGCTGCGTGTAGAAGACCAATTGGAGAACCCGTAGCAAATCTGATCAACAAAACGAAACCGAAAGAAGGATACAAGGCCAAGTGAGTCTGCTGAAGAACTGCTACACTCGATCTCATACAAAAATTATATTTTTTGCTCTAGGTACATCAAAAACAAAAAGTCATCGTCAAAGATCGATAGCCTTCACACGCCGAAATCGACAACTTTTGGAACAGGAAAGCTGTAAGTGAATTTATTATCTCTTTGTATACTTTACAGAACTCCACAGATCTCATCTCCGGTCTCAAATACGTCTGTTGTTGACCACAACATCAGGTATACAAAAGCTACCTCTTCTTTGCTTGCTAATCTTTTCTATCGCTGCTTTCCCTACAATATGCATATAACACGCTTATCCGCTGATCCGTTTGCTAAAGCGTTGCTTTAATCTTTCATTTTTTGTATAATTTGAACCTTTTTAGCTATAATAATGCGGCTTACTTTGCGGTAGCCCATGCTACAGTTCCAATTGGGTCTTCAAGGAGTAGCGATATTTCCAAAAGCGACGCCGGTGATCTCTACAAAACGTAGGTTCTCATTTTCCCACGTGTTTATCCAATATTTTCAATGGAATCGTTTTTTTTTCAGAGGAAGTATCCATACTCAAAACAGTCTAGTTTCCGAAGTCTGATCCTCGGAGCTTGATTCTCGCCGCCCATTCAACTTCAGGGATTTTTGTATGTAAACGTTATATTGTAATACTTGTTTGTTTATGCTCAAACTTTGAATAAATTTATCAAAAGTTATCCGTAGCGACCTCTGAATCGGCTATAATAACTTCCTCGACTCCCGTATCTCTGAGCTCCGAAGGCGCCGCGATAAGCAGCGGATCCATTCAGAATAAGACCATCGGATTTACTGCCACACATATAGCTGAAGAACACATTCTTCAGGGACGGATCTAAAAATCATAACGTGATTAGAAAGGACGCATTTCAACCCATATCATTGATTTCTGGAACTTGACATTTCGTTACATTGAGCAGATTTCTTCATGAAAAACTTACTTTCGACCAGCAACATGATCTGGGGGAAAACTTCTCTCAAATTGTCTTTCACCTCAGGTTTTTCGTAGTCGTAGATGGTTCTGATGGTATTTCCTCCCTTTCTGATGATAGTAGCAGCCTTGTCAATGAATTCGTGGGTAGTGTTGGGCAGAGAATCAATACCATCTCCAACTTTCTCGTGAAATAATTCGATTAAATTATCCAGAAGGTAGGTGATCCGGGGACTTTCTTCTTTCATCACATCTTGCAATTTCACAATAGAACGAAACTCCGGCCATCGAAGCGCGATGTTCTTCAATGCCTGGATAGGAAATTATTTATTTGTCTTTTAGATAAAGATACCTTCAAGTCCTGAACACTCAGTTTGTCCAGTTCCTCTACCATTTTCTTGGGCATTTCATTCCTGATTCCATCCGGAATCAGATCCGTAATCCGTTGATACTCGATAGCTGCAAATACCAGGAGTACAGTAGCCAGGCACAACGACTTCCTGAGCATGACTTTACACGAAAAATTTTGAAATGCCAACTGGTTTTAATGTAGATTCATGATTGTCGTTTGATCAAATACGGGGATAACTAACAACGTGAACTCTCTCAGAATGTTTATTTTATCCCAGTTGAACACATTGAACAATGTCCTCCGGTCCGACCAAACATGACCTCCACTGCGCCCTTGAAAAAAATTTGTTGATGATGTCATAGGGATGTAACCTTTTTTAATTCTCATAGTATGCAAAAAGCAAAGAGTTGAAGAAGTGCCAATCAAAAATTTCACGGGTCTTTTCGTCGGACCTGTGGTAACTTGCCCTGTCAATTACATCATCACAATTGTTTACAATAACATGGAAGCGTAGTTTATACGAACAAGGTATTCACTACTGAAGAGAGGTTCAAGTTCACGAACTCATCAAATCTAACAATAAGTTCAAATTTTTGACCTTTTCAGTTCAAAATCGATCGAAGTTCAAATGCCATGTGATTTATTGACGTGAATTTGGAAATTTTCATTCTGTGAAAAACGTCATAACCGGTTTTTTTTTGATGTCGAGAAATTCTTGCCTGGAATCATCTGGGGAAGAAAAGAAATTTTTTTGGTCGCCTTGATGTAATCTTGAAATGTTTTCGAGTGATTTTTTCTCGAATTTCGCTATTCTTATGAGAATTCTCGGAAAATCCGAATTTTCTTTAACAAGGAAAGTACTTCTATGGGGTGTGGAATTACCGGTCGAGATATATATCAAAAAATTCGCAAAAATTTTCTGATTCAGAACATATATAAATTAGCTGCCTAATTTTGGTCTATCAGCGAGTTTTTTCAATAAATCTTTTTCTCGAGGAAAAAAATCTGCGGCAACAAAAGCGCGCTCGGTCTCTTCCTTCGGAAGAGAGCGGTGTGGCCGAGTGGTTAGAGCGCTGGGTTGGAAATCCGAGGGAAACGGGTTCGGTTCTTTTTGCCACATTAGAACCCATTTTTTACGTTGGAACTACTTTTAAGGTGTAGTTGTAATCCAATTTGATATTTTAAGGCTTGTCAAGGCTTCAGAATTTAGTTTAGCACAAAACAAAATTTTTTTATTGGTAAAAACACGGTCAAAAAGACACTTGCATGGTGTCGCGAGAAAACTTCTGAGGACAAAAACATGTCATTAAACCAAAATTAGGCAGCTAATTTATATATATTCTGAATCAGAAAATTTTTGCGAATTTTTTGATATATATCTCGACCGGTAATTCCACACCCCATAGAAGTACTTTCCTTGTAAAACCGGGACGGGCCTGAAAATAAAAGCCCGGGGCCGGGACTTAAAATTAGACGGCCCGGGACGGAAAATTTTGGAAAGCCCGGCCTAGAGCCATGCCTAAGGGGTAACCTGTCAAAACAAGAAGAACCCCTTTACCGTTTTCCCGCTCAAAGATTCCCATTGCTCTTATCACAAACTCCGCGATCCCTTTCCATAATGTTTATTTTAAAGCAGCTGAGATTCATTTAGACTCGATTTCCGTCAGTCTTTTCATCAAAATTGATCGAAATACTGTTAATACAATACCTTTCTCCAGTTTCTGGGACGGGGTCATCGAAAACATGTCCAAGATGGGAATGGCACTGTTTGCACTTGACTTCAGTCCTATTCAAACCAAAGCGAGTGTCTGGAATACGGAGAATATTCTTGTCTTCATCGATCGATTCACTAAAGGAAGGCCATCCACATCCCGCCCAGTATTTGGTGTCCGATCTAAAACGAATGGATAACTTTTGAAGAATAAGATCAGCTCAAATTTAAAGTTTTAATGCTTACACAAAAAGATCAGCTCCGCAACATCTGCATGAATACTTGCCAGGAGCAAAATGTTTAGTTAGAATGCCGCTGAAAGAGGGTTCAGTCCCTGCTTGACGACACACAAAAAACTCTTCAGGGGTCAAAACCTTCTTCCATTCTTCGTCCGGGACGTCTGCAGGGTTGGGGTAAACTTCCAAAAGCTTCTTGACCGCCGCTTCCTTGGAAGTGACGGGAGTTTTGGGCAAGCGGGATTCGTCGGCAACCATAGCGTTAAAGAAAACGACAACTTATCCGCCCCACCATCAGACGGTTTATGTACTAGACAGTTGCATCAGATTTTCGGAGGTTCCACCCCTTTCTTATCAACTTACGATTGATAATTCCCCTTTTCACGTGTCCTTTTGGAGCGATACGATGAAACTGATGCAATTTCTGGCAAGAAAACGTAAAAACAAGATCTCTGGTCGGGAGGTTCCCATCTTCTTTTCAGCGACGTCAACAGAAAAAAACCCGTAAGAAAAATAATGAAAAATAGTTTTTTCGAGATCTCGGCGATTAGAAGTGATGTCAGTTTCTTCCATGATGTCACCTCATCTCATCGAGTTCTCCGCCCTTTCAAAAGACTTCTCAAAGTCGGCATTAATTCTGGACTACAAGGCAACGGTGAAGTGTCAAAGTAGTTGTGCAAAATACATTCTGCAGCGGTTGCTCGTTTCTTGGGATCATAGGCAAACAATTTATATAAAAGATCAAGGCATTGATCTCCGTAAGTTCCAAAATGTCTCTTGAGATTGTTATACGGCTGCTCAACAAATTTGAAGCCCTGCGGGAGTTTTAGCCTGCTCATACCAGGCCATATTTGCTCATTGGGAGTGCCGAACATAGCAATGATTTTAGTTATCTAAAAAATTAAAACAACAGGTAACAACTCACCTGTTCGATCTCGGATTCTCCAGGAAGGAACGGTTTGTGCAAAAGAAGTTCCGCCATTATACAGCCACATGCCCACATGTCAACGCCTGTGCTATGGAACTCACTGTTCAGAAGCAATTCAGGGGCTCGATACCACAGAGTTACAACTTGGTTAGTCATGGCAACAGGTGGGTCGCCGAAAAGACGGGCCAAACCAAAGTCAGCTACCTTCAGGATCCCTTGGCCAGTTATGAGAATGTTAGACAACTAAAAATAAAAATTAACCCATCAAAACACACCTTAATATCTCTGTGAATGAAATGATTGGCATGAAGATATTCCAAGGCCTCAAATAATTGAAGAAGAAGACATTTCGTCTGAGATTCGGTGAATGGAAAACTCATCTTGTTCAACATAAATGCCAAGTCCTGCAAGTACACAATCAAGACTAGTAAAATCATAGGCCTACCATGTCACAGTATTCCATTACCAAGAATATTTTCCGACTTCTTTTCCCCACAGCCACATCAAATAGCTTGACAATGTTATCATGTTTGACCGATTTCAAAGCGAATATCTCTCTGATCACCGATATGTTAACCTCCTCGTTCGGACTTAATCGTAATTTCTTCAGAGCAAACTGAAACAATATATAATTATTTATACGGCGGGTAATTACAAAAAGATTTTAGGTACAGTTGTTACTATCCGACATTCAATTGAAAAATAACCACGTGCAAACATGAAACCACACATAAATGGAAGATTCTTCATCTGCAAAACAAATGTAGAATGCCCTTTTTGTTTTCCAATGTCAGCATGAAGTATTCTTACCTCCTTTCCTGTTTTGATTTCCCTTCCTTTCCATACAATCCCATATGATCCTTCTCCGCATAGATCGACCTTTTCAAACTCATCTACGTTCCTGCAACTTCCATATCCAATCTTTTCCTGAAATCTGAATTTAAGTACTTTGCTGTCTAAAGGCCATCAGTAACGTCTCGTAACTCACTTCAGGTATTCTTACGGTATTCAGCGTGGCGAAAGAACTGAAAACCAACGTGTTGTCCATGTTCCCTATTGTTTAATGACTTGTTTGATCTAGAACACTTAATATGTTCTGGTTCTCTATAAATCTCAACGAACACGAGGACTTGATCGCCTGGCCTTCGCGAAAATTTTATTATTGAAAAATACGAATAAAACGTTATGCCAGAAATATGGCCAATTATGTTTTTGTGACAGGACTCAAAACGGCCAAGTGTGAAAATCGAAAAAATGTCGAGAATCTCGACAGATTTTTCATAACCCGGTTCGAACACGTCAGGGATTTAAATCGTGCCTTAGACGCGGACTAAAAAACCTTGTTCAGGGGAGAGAACGAGTAAAGAGCCGCATGGAAAAATAGCCTCCAAACTCTGTTTTTCAAAACTAAAAAGTATCGAAATTCTTTATTTTTAAACAGCTTTTCGTGAACTCTGGTCAGATGGACATGATTTTGCTAATCTCTGTATTTTCAGATGTCTTTATCCAGGATGTTACCCATCAGATGTCTTGGTTCTAAAAGACTTGCCTCATTTTATGCGTAAGTACATATGTGCCTACAATACCTTTTTAGTGGCCTTACCTCTGCGGATTTCATGAAGAAACCTGCAAATGAACCTGTTCTGACGTACAAAAAAGGTTCTGAGGAAAGAAAAGCCCTGGAGAAAGCTCTAAAAGAATTTGAGAGTAAGAGTGTTGAAGTTCCTTTGAGGATTGGACAGGAAAAGATTACTCGAGGACTTGAACAAAAACAAGTTATGGTAAGTATAGCGATATTCATGCTTTAAATGAATGGTTTTAGCCCACAGATCATCAAAAAGTCGTGGCCAAATTTACCCATGCCACATCGGAAGATATTAAGCATGCCATCGAGGTCGGATTGGCGGCTAGAACTGCCTGGGAACACAGACCTCTGAAAGAAAGAGCTGACATCTTTCTACATGCTGCTGATCTCTGTGCTAGTAAATATCGGATGGCCCTAAATGCGAGTACCATGCTAGGCCAGTCGAAAAACATAGTCCAGGCCGAGATCGACGCCGCTTGTGAGCTGGTCGACTTCTTCCGTTTCAATGCTCTATTTGCATTGGATGTCGTCAAATATAAGCCAATTGACACCCCAGGAAGTGTAAATACTTTAATTTACAGAGGACTAGAAGGATTTGTGGCTGCTGTGGCGCCTTTTAATTTTACAGCCATTGGCGGAAACTTGGCCGGAGCCCCAGCATTGATGGTAAGATATACTTTGCTTAGAGATGCAATACATTCAGGGAAACGTGGTCCTGTGGAAGCCTTCTGACACCGCTGTCCTCTCTAATTACATTATTTACCAAATTATGGAAGAAGCAGGTAATTAGTAACTAGATTGCGGAGTTTATATTGCACGAAAAGATGTTGTGGAGAAATAAAAGTCCGCGATAAAATATAATGGCGTCTTTTTTAATACGCACTTTCAGGTGTTCCCCCCGGAGTGATCTCTTTCCTTCCCTCAGATGGCCCTGTCTTCGGGAATGGCATCACCGACTCCCCTCATCTGGCAGCCATCAACTTCACCGGCTCTGTCCCTACCTTCCAATACCTCTGGAAGAGAGTTGGACAGAATCTGGAGCGTTACATCACTTTCCCCAGACTTATCGGCGGTTCGCTTTCTATTTTTTTATCAAATTTTCGCTTTTAGAGTGCGGCGGTAAGAACTTCCATTTCGTTCACCCATCGGCGGATGTCGAAAGTGTCGCCACTGGGACAATCAGATCTGCTTTCGAATACCAAGGACAGAAATGCAGTGCTTGTTCCAGATTCTTCGTCCCACAGAGTCTTTGGGACGCAATTTCAAAACGAATGACTGAAATTGCTGAGGAAATTAAGGTCGGAGATGTAAGTTGACGCACTTACTGCAAGACATATATATACCGTTTTTAGGTGCGGGATGGTGCTACTTTTGTTGGCGCCGTCATTGATAAAAAATCGTTTGATCGCAATAAGAGTTACATCGACTACGCAAAAACAGGTGCCGATGGGGCCAAGATTATCTTTGGTGGAGAATACGACGAATCAAAGGGTTACTTCATTAAACCCACTCTTATTCAAGTCACGGACATCAACTCGAAATTGTTGAAAGAGGTAAATATGCGTGGATTTTGTTTATAGTTTTCTGTTTAGGAAATATTTGGCCCGATTGTAACTGCATTCGTTTACCCAGATAAGGATGCTGAGGACCTTGTAGGAAGGATTAAAGACATGACACCTTACGGATTGACTGGGGCCGTATTCTCTCAAGATAAGGTCTTCTTAAACAAGGCTAAAGTTATCTTGAAGGATGCTGTTGGTAATCTTTATCTCAATGATAAGTCCACTGGGTCTGTCGTAGGACAACAACCTTTTGGTGGAGCTAGAAAATCAGGTATGTGTGTATTTTTGAGTCTTTATTTGCATTTTAGGTACGAATGACAAGGCTGGCGGTCCTCATTATCCACTTAAATGGGCTTCTCCCCAGACCATCAAGGAAACTTCTGTGCCTTTAAGAGAATGGAGATACCCATCCATGGATTAAATTTGCTTTATTTTAGGTCATATTGATCTTATTGTATTATTCAAGAACGTGGCCTTTATTTAAGGCTGTATTAGTGAATAGTGTATATTTTGTTAGGCTAAATGAGTAATTCGTTACTCCGAAATAACCGGTTATACCTGAAATTTGAATAAACTCGAGGGTGATTTTTCATGTGGTTGTCTTATGAATTCAAGAGAAGTTAATGTCCTTTGTAATATCCATAAAAAGAAAGTTCAGCTTTGTATATAAAATGTTTAGACTTAATAATGGAGGAGGTAGACTGGACTGAATGTTCGTATGAAGGTATGAGCTAAACATCTTGTCGAATTTGTTTTCAGAAGCAAGAGCAGTTCTCAAGAAGTGGAGGGAAGATCATGAACGAAGGTCTGAGGAAACAGTTGAGATCTGGGAGCATATCCTTTCTTCTTACTACAATTCTTTGGGCGATGAACTTTGGGCCATCTTGGAGCAGGTAGCCATAGCTGCTTTGGATTCGAATCGACAAGATCTTGCACTGGAATGTCTTCAGACATTGAATAAACAGTTCCCGAATAGTGCCAGAGTCACCAAGCTACAGGCGTTGAGATTAGAATCCCTTGGAAAATACGAAGATGCTACATATCTTTATGACAGTCTCTTGCGGCTCGATGAAACTAATTTGGTAGGTGTTCAAAAGGGCATGGTGATGCATTGACGATATCATGCAGACAATTTTCGTCTTTAGAGTCTTCGAAAGCGTAAAATAGCCATCGAAGTAGCACAAGGAAATAAGATTGAGGCTATTAAGATGCTGGATGAATATCTGCACTCTTTTGTCAATGATTCCGAAGCATGGGCCGAACTTGGAGAGCTATATCTTCAAGAAACTGATCTCCTCAGGGCAATCTTTTGTTTCGAAGAAGTTTTGTTGGCATCTGTGAGTTTATTTGTATTTTTTTTTTGATACCCCTTTGTTTTAGCCGAACAATAGCGCCTTATATTGTCGATTGGGTGAGCTGAGATATACACTGGCTGGTCAGGATAACCTTGAGATCTCCAGAAATTATTTTGAAAAGTCCGTGAAACTAAATCTGAATGCCCGATCTCTTTATGGTTTAATTTTGGTAAGTTTTTTTTTCTTTATGATTACCTTAAATTTCAATTTTAGACTTGCAATTCCTTATTAAGCAAAGCTACTGGCCAAAAACGTCGGGAGATTGTTCTATCAGGGCAGACTGCAATCGAGAAGTTGATCAATTTATACCAAGAGAAAGGCGAGAATCAGAACTCTTCAAGATGTATCAAAGTCATAGAGTCTTTCAAGACCCAGTTCAACTAAAACTTACTGTAACTTTTAGCAAGATCTGTTTTTTAAAATTATCCAACTAATTGGCTAGTTGTTAATAAATTGAAATTCTGTCGTTCTGTCTTTTAATCTGTCTAATTTTTTCTTTAATTATTTTTTATATTGTAATGTTTGAACTACGTCATAAACTGTGAAAGTCGGAAAAACATTATGCAAAAATTGTGGTATAAATAGTGTTTTGGCGGTGGATCTTCATTCATTCACGTAGGTATAGAGCACTATCCGGTCGTTCTTTTTGGGGTGTTGGTCTGATTTGTCAGAAGAATTTAAGACCTAATAGGATAAGAGGCATCCCTTTACTTCCGTTTGTTTCTGTTCTTGTCATCAAACTATGAAAGGAGGGTAGGCAGCAATTACATATTTTTGTTATATCTGTATTACTTTAGTGTAAAAAGCAAGTCTGGAAAAAGATCCGGTGGAAGTACCGAAGATCCCTTCAGTGGTGGAGGCGTTGCATCCAAGTCAAGGGGAAAGGCAAAGAAATCATTGAGCAATAGCAAAGAGGAGACCCGGCGATTGGCCACGGCCAAATCAGAAAGAGATGGAGCTGCTGAGATGACTGAGATTGCATCCAAACTTACGAGTCACGATTGGTACCATGGAATGATGCCCAGAGAAGAAATCGAGGATTTGCTCAAGAATGATGGAGATTTCCTACTGAGAAAAGTAAGTAATCGAAAGTCGAGATCAAAGTTTTTCTTCAGACAGATGTATCGAAGAAGCCAAGAATCGCGATCAGTGTCTTTTCCAGTAACAGAATCCGTCACATTCTTCTCAATTTCGCGGACCAAAAGTGGTTTATCCGAGATGCAAAGATGGCATCAGTCGGCCAATTGGTGGAGCATCATCTCAAGAACAAGATCCCTGTTCAGAATGATGGGACCTGCATCTCACATCCGATTCCTCGGCCTGATTTTTATATTCTTCATGATCACATTACATTGGGGCAAAGATTGGGTGGAGGAGCTTTTGGAGATGTCCACAAAGGACTTCTAAAGAGGAATAATGAGACCTTGCCTGTGGCAGTTAAGAAACTGAAAGGACAAATGAGAAAGAAACAACGGACCGAGTTCGTAAAAGAAGCCAAGATCATGAAAAGATTCAATCACAAGAATGTGGTCAAGGTCTATGGAGTAGCCCCTCAGGTAATTCAGTTTTGTTTTTGACGACTTAAGATTATTCTATGACGTAAGAATGGGAACATCTTATTTCCAGGAAGAGCCGCTGCTGATTGTTCTGGAGTTCTGCCCTGGAGGAGCCCTCAACAGTCATCTGAAGGGTCATCCAGAAGTCTCGGTGGATCGACTCTGTAATTACGCGAAGGATGCCTGCCGAGGAATGTGTTATTTGTCTTTGCGGAAGGTAATTTGGGTGTCAAGAGAGGGCCGAGTCCTTTGTTTGTCCTTCCTGAGATTTGTAATTGCCGTTTAATCTCATTTAGATCATCCACCGCGACATCGCCGCTCGCAATTGTTTGCTGGGAAAGGATGACGAGGTCAAGATCAGTGACTTTGGCCTTTCTGTGGCCACTAGTGAACTCAAATTGGACAGGTTGAGCAAGATGCCGATTAAATGGCTGGCCCCGGAGACTCTGCGCAGTGGTGTCTTCTCGACGAAAACAGATGTCTGGTCATTTGGAGTGATGATGTGGGAAATATTCAGTCGATGCAAGACTGATCCTTACCCAAACGACAACAATCTGCAAGCCCGAGGCAAGATTTTGAGTGGGAAACAACCAATGGATGCACCCGCGAACACCCCACCCCACATGGCGGCTATTCTCATTCTGTGTTTTACTCAGGTACGGTTACTGTAGTCATCAGAAAAACAAATTATTATAGCAAGCCGACCAACGTCCCAGTTTCGAGGCTTTGTTCAAGATTATGTGCCCTAGAGAGAGTCCTCCGGAACCAGAATCCAACGACGAATTCATGAAGGAGATCGAGAAATTCAAGAAAGAAGCCGAAGCCAACAAAGAGAGCAAGGCCGAAGGGATCTCCAAGAGCACGGGAAACGCTTCGAAGCCTGTCGAATAAATCCTAAGAACTCCTTAATTATCTCGGTTTAATTGCACTTGGCCATGGGAAGGACAAAGGTCCGAAACAACTGACCGATTTGGAGTGGACGGACGGCCAGACGAAACGGCGTCGGTCGTCCCAAACAGCCGCGCAGCCCCGGAATTTAAACTTTTTCACATAAAATCGCTTCAGACTGATCGGCGCCGTTTTTCGGGTCGGTGTTTAGAATGTCGATTTAGCCTGCGAAATGTTTATTTGATTACCGTAACCTGTTCAATTTGTATCTCTAGTTCCAAGCAAACAATTCTTGGTTTCTAAAAAGTAATATTTCTGATTTCTTTTTTATGGAAACATCACGTTCTCCGCCTAAAATACGTGTCTTGTTCCGGTTTACAATCTCGGAGATGTCACAATTCCAACCCCTCAGGCATTATATATTTGTCTCTTATATTTACCTTGTCAGGAGTTGCGTAATTAATTATTTCCGACAAGACTTTCTGGGTCCGGCTCCATACTCGCCCTATCAATCTAAATTAAAATGTTTTGAAAAGAAAATACTTGGTTGTAATGTTTGTACACACATCTTGATAGACTCGACCCAGATCGCAGAGTTATCAGCAGCAAAGAAAACTTCCGAGATATCAGGACTTGTCAGTTCGGATTAGCGCCGTCTGACGTACAGCCCAAGGCTATTAGTCGCCTTGGTTTGTCAGCTTTTTTCACCGGCGATACAACATATTAAAACACGAGGTTGCGTCAGAAAAAGGTGGCAGCGCCCAGGCCAAAACAAGTTGATTGGCATCCGGTGTTTGGCGGCATCACTTAATCGCTCTTTAAGGGAATTCAAGGGCGATTATGATGAGGGGACACTGATATCCAAGATTTCTGAGAATTTCTGGGTTCTTTTATGTGTAATATGGTCTAGGTATTATTACAGCAATCGAGGGATGACTGTCAGAGACTCATTAGTCCCTTAGGTAATCTGTTGTCTATTTCTCGTAGGTGCCATGCAACGAATTATTACCAAATCCAGAACATTTGGTCTTATTTCGACCACTCTTCCTCTTCTCCGGGTACTGTAGAGACCTTGAGTTATAAATTTAGTCGCGCAATGGCAGTCTTCCTTTCCAAATTTCTTTTGAATCCCTCGAATTGCGTAAATTCTCGTTCAGATTATAGGTTTATGTTCTCCTTTATAAGCACATATATTGCCGGTCCCAGTTATCTGGCCAATAATCTCATCCAAACTTTGTCGGCGTCCCTTCTTCTCAACTTAACCCGAGATTTGCCGAGGTCTGAGGTGTAATAAAGCCTTTCAGATTATGTCACCTTGCTTTTTTCCATATTTCCAACCCCAATATTAAACATTACATTAAGTTTTATGTCTTAGTTTCTGTTTTAAAACTTTTACATCCGCGTATTTACCAGTTGTAAACCCATTTCGAATATTAATCCGTATTTTACAGCCCTTCCGAGTGCGCGAACCAATTGGAGACAATATGGGGAGTAAGTTTAGGGTTCCAATTATTAGTTATAGTAGTTTAAACGATCTGAGCAGCGCTCTCTCATTTCGACTTTTCAAAACGAATTAGCGTTTTTTATCAAGAGTCTTGATCAAAAATGTTTGAAGAATGCGCGCAAATGTTTTTGAAAACTTCTGAAAACAAAAGCTGACATTGCGTGATTCCATGGAGGGGAACAGACTCCGAGAGTACTGTAAAAATAGTGTCTGGTGTGTCTGTTTTGCGAGAAATTGCTGTGGAATCTGTTAACCTACAGTGAATTCAGCATAAATGATTAATTAATTTCGTTTTGTTTTAAGGAAAAGCAGCCAGAACGGTGGTCTATAATAAAATTGTTTTTTACCATTAGAATAAGTTTTCTCCCCGCCTACCGTATTTCTGTTTTTGCATCAAAATGTCCGTTTTCTCGGTGATCTCTTCAGATTCCGATCGAGCATCCCATTCCCCAGATATTCATATCGCGATCATTTCCGATTAGTGCGATTAAATATCTGATTGACACATTCTTTGAACGCAACAAACAAGGTGTTCAAGTGCAAGATTAGGATGCCCCTTTTTTAGAGATTCAGATTTATAAAATAGTAAACAAATTTGCATATTAGTGATGAATAGGCTGGGAAAATAAGTTCAAGGACAAAGTAAAGGAACCCAAGGGATCATCTGAACATTGACTTTAAGCATTCTTTGCAGGAAAGCAGTACGAAATGTGTAGTCGGTAACTGTGTTAGTCTTCGCACAAAACAATACTATTCGATTACCGTATTCATTCAACACGTTCATAACAGTCTCCTTTACTGTAGTCTAATTGTCGCAACTCTCCATCCCTTAATTATATTATACTTGACCTTTTTGTAACTGACCATTTAAATTATTATTTCCGTTTCAATCTGGCGTCCATTCAGTCGCATACTGTAATTATTATGAGTCCATTCGTAAATATTTTTTATTTGGGCCAAACCCAATTTGATTTATTCATTTAAATCAATAACTTCTTTACACCCTGGGAGCCGAAAACAATTCCGATTTTATTTTTATTCTTTCGGCATATTTATGAAAACTGTTATGACTCCAGAAGGCGGTACGGTAGCACTGGAAGAGAGGACCTTCAGGATTTATGTATTTTATGACTCGGCCTGGGATCTTAAAGAGGTCGGAGAAGCGGGAAAAGTGGGTATTAAACTGGAGGGAAGAACTTCCTTTATAATTGGACTAGATTTTTCTGATATTTTTTTTATATTTACTAGTCCGTCTGGAATGTCATTGGAGTAATTTTTGGCGTCCGCACGGTGCAAAAAAAGTCAGGGTGCGAACGATATCCGAAAAAAGCGAATCGCACTGTGCAAATCGAACTTTTGTTTTCTCACAGTGCATGTCGCCGAAACCGCCCCAGCGACGGGCTAATATATATACTTTCGAAAATTAGAAATGCAGGTGAAATCTGGCGTTGTTTTTGAAACCCCAATGCCTCGGGATATCTGATTTTCTTTACGCCGTTTATCAAATATTTGTTTATGTAGTAATTTGAGATGTTTATGAAAATATTTTCGCTTTTCTGGATCTCAGGGAATACGGTAATCGTGAGTCGTCAAAGATTTAATCGGTGAATTCGACCGTTAAAAAACTTAAAATTAAAAAAAAATAATCGAAGAAGGAAGCTCAAGGCCCTTCAGCTCACTTCAGTATCACCTCAGAGATCGTTTCTAAAGTCCCCATCTCTTTTTTGTATCCATTATTTAAGCTTGCCGGGTATAATCGACCAAATAATTAGCGATTCGCGGATTACCGATCATTACATAAAAAGCATTTAAGTGGAAAGATCGCCATTCAATGGCCAAAACATATTGAATGCCCGGGATTATCCCCCTTTTGGTGGTGTTAATTGTCCGAATACGGTATTCCAAAAAAGACCTGCACTTATCACCGACTTAATCGTGCTTTCTTCTCGCCAACTTACAACACTATTAATTTAGTTTCTCGTTTTTTAAGTCGACCAATTATTTATTTGCCTTATCAGCGTCAAAATTTCCAAAAAACTGGCGCCGATTCTGTCCGACCGCACTCCACCAGCTACTCCAATAATATTATTCTTGGCCTTATCAGCCCCGGTTCCTGTGAGTGCACCGTTGATTGAAGGGCTCATAAATCTTGTCTTTCTGGCTGGCCTTTTTTCGGCTAAATATATTTTTTGTTTCTTTGGATATTTGAAATACCTCAGATTCCGTCTTTTTCAATCCATTGGTCCGTTTACTAGAAGGGGGCGGAGCTTAACAGGTTTCAACCAATCAGCGAAGAGAACGGGAAAAGGGGCGGAGTGGGTACCTTTGAGCTACGAAAAGAAGAGTAACATCAGGCTTCCCAAATATTTCCTTTTGGTTTGTAAACTTTTATTTTTCGGTCATTTTGATTTACATATCTCGGGGTTACTGTAATGTCGGATATCAGATTCTGTGTAATTGTCACGAGGGTTTGATTAATGGGTTCTAATTTTCGCCTTGGGCTCTCTCTTAATTGTCCGCGTTACTTTTATTTGTATTAGAAAAGATTTGTTTTTTCTTTATCACTGAAGTCGCCGACGATGTATAATCAGACGTCAACACTTTTTACCGCGTCAAATAATCAAGTTTCTGGTCTGCGTAGATCCAAAATATTAAGAGTACTAATCAGCTGAATAACGGAAATAACACGAAACGGTTTTTGAATTCTTGGTAGCCGTTAAGAGTAGTCTTATTGTTAGACTTTGTCAAAACATTTCCCCCTCAATCTCAACAATTTTCTTTGGATGTTTTCAAGTTATGGAAACGAAAAAAACTTTGGAAATTGGAGCGATTCACCGTGTTTTGAATGGTTTTTGTTAAAGTCAAAGAAGTTTTGTCGGGTGCAAATTGGCGACGTCGCAAAGGTCGCTCCAATTGGCAGTGCAATTCTTTCTCATTTTACGGTATTCGGCAGAGTGAAGTGGCTGGGTCATTGATTTATGCAAATCTCAGAGTTTAGTATTTTATTTTTTATTTTTTTCGTCCAGATTTATTAGATTTCTCATTGATTGATCCCAATTTCAACATGTTTTAATTTTCGATCGTTGATTTGTAAAGAAAACTTTTGTCTCTTCTTGGCTTTGTTTGATTCGAAATGTGGCCAAACGGCCAATGGCGGCCCATCCCAACTGCACTTTCTCTTTTCGGCTTGTCAAAATGTTTGCCTTCGATTTGTCTTTCTCAATGTCATTCCCCTTAGAGAGGGGCCGGGGGTGGGGGTGATGAGCCCTCAGGCTCTCTTATCACTAATCACTGCTCTCCGCTTCTCGCCTCAAGGGAAAGACGAATTGCGCAGTTTAAGCAAACAAAGGTTACGGTAACTTATTACAAGCCATTCAACGTCTCTTACAATTATAAAATTTTGCGAGAAAGCTTGATGATTACCATTTGACATTTTCAGAGGTACTTCCGGAGTCAATTCGAATACAAAATGCACTTCTCAATGGAAGAAATACTCCGAGATGCCTCGATAAAGATGGCCCCACCCTCCAGAAAACGAGCCCATCCCATCGAAACCTCTCCTCAATCATCCACGACCAGTGATCCCAAGCCTAGTCCTAGCGCTTCTGTCGAAAGAGACAACTCTCACAGTCCAGACCCTGAGGCTAAAAAACCAAAATTGGTCATGAAAGAGTCAGAATGGACAAAGAATGGAGCCAAACACGTTGAAGAAGTGCCCAAGGAGACCAGTCAATCACCCGCTCCAGATTCCTCGACCAAAGATCTATCCCTGGAACGGCCAAGCACATCGTCCTCATTGGGTTCGGAAGATGAGGAAGAAGGGTAAGACGGACTTTTATTTATAAAGGAGACCGCGGTTATTAAGTCTTTGTCGCGATTGGAGGAGCGACGAAACAGGAGAAGTGGATCCAGGGAAACATTATTTTAATTGCTTTAAATGGGATTAGAGCTCCCAGGAGAAGAAAAGGGACTGAAAACACTGATAATGATGATTGACAAACGCTTAAAATAGAATCCCAACTGTGCAGTCAATACTAATCAGATCTTATCTGTTGCAGAGGAAAGAACAATTCGGCGATGAGATCGAAATCCCGCCATCAGAAGCCGGCCATGAGTTACATCGCTTTGATCACCATGGCCATTATGAACTCCCCTGATAAGAAAATGACCTTGTCCCAGATCTGCGAATTCATAATGGGCAAGTTCGAATACTATAGAGAGAAGTTCCCTCATTGGCAGAACTCCATCCGACATAATCTTTCCCTCAACGATTGCTTTGTAAAAATGCCACGGGAACCGGGGAATCCCGGAAAAGGAAACTACTGGACACTAGACCCCAATGCCCAAGATATGTTCGACAATGGAAGTTTTCTGAGGAGAAGGAAGAGGTAAGTCTATTTTTGAGAGTTATTTATTAAAAGGATATTGATTAATGTAATTCGTATTTTAGATTCAAAAGAGAGCCAGTCCAGCCAAGTATGATGGGTTTCCCCTTTCCGCCATCCCCGTTCTTCCCTCCAATTCAGATGAATCCGTTCTCTCTTCCTCAACCAAATCCAGCTGCAATGATTTTAGATCATCAGATGAGAGCAGCGATGTCAGCCATGCAATCTCAGATGTCCGGCTATCCTTATCCCAATCTTCTTATGAATCCGGAGTTCCAATCTCAATTCCAATCCAATCAGAAGGCGTTGTCAATGATGGCCAATGTCCTTGGCCAGAAGCAGGTCTCTTCGCCGGCCTCTCCTGCTCCGAGTAAATGATCTCATCCTCTCTCTAGTATAATATTTAACTTATTCGAGCTTCCTATTTATAAGTCTCCGGTACGTATTACTGTACAAAAGCATTTTAATTCATGTTTTTTTATTATTTCGAATCTCAATCTAAATAAAACAAGTGTTCTAATTGAGTACGGGGAAAGAGGCAAAAGGGCTATGCAAATAGAAGGAAATCGTTTTATGATTATTGGGTGATTTATTGGCGGCCCTTTAAACCCTTGGATTGTAAGATCAGATCCATCAATCGGCGACTAATTGGGGACTTTTCTCTTTTTTCGAATAACCAAATTATCGAGCGTAAGGAGACTGATAACAGATATGATTGTAGCCATTCTCGGGCAATAAAATGCTCATAAATCTGCGAAAACATGAGAGTAAACATTGATGCTTTATAATAAGTAATTACGGTGTCAGGAAGACACTTGGTATTGTAAACTACGCTTCTTTGGGAAACAATTATCGATCATTCGCTGTTAAAACAGATTATTTCCTGGCCGTGAAAACAGTTGGCCAAACAATTAAAACACGATTTTTGAGCCACTGAATCAGCCGCCAGTTAGGCCCGGACATAGAAAAAAATGGATTTTGGGTTTTTGATCTTAAATTGACTGTAGGCATCCTATAAACATATGACCAAAATATTTTTGCCTAATTCTCCCATTAACCTACTGTAATTTACAATTTAATGTTTTTACAGTAATCGACTATTACTCCAAAACTACGCATCGTAAATAGTTGAAATTAAGAATACTTATGTTTTAGCACATGCTCGTCAAAGTGAATACAAAATTTTGGCACTCAGGTTACTGTAACATACCGCAATATAGGTTCGGCCGCACAAAATCGGCCGTAAAAAAATTGTTTCTGAAAACCCGCAGCTGATTTTTACATATGTTGTTCAGCGTAAAATTCTGCCCTAGAAACATTTTAAAAAAGTTTAAAAAGTCGTGCCCCGATTTTCGTGGTGTAGTGGATTTTGGTCAAGTTTAGTAATCCGAAGGTCGCGGGTTCGATCCCGGTGGAACCAAAATCTGTAAAACCGCACAAAACTTCAAAAAATCGTGTCGAGGGGAATTGATAATATACATGCAGAGTACCAAAAACTGTATCATGGGTTATTCGCAAATTAGAAGGCATTTTTCGGAGTTAAAATTATTATTTTGGTCTTCGCGGATTCTGGCCCAAATTTAGTTAAGCAAAATGGCTAAAAATGATAATATATACCTTTTCTAGCCTTCTGAGTTCAATGCACCCAATTTTTCGGACCTAGGATTACTGTAACATGGCGAAAACGGATTTCGGCCGCTAAAATCGGCCGTAAAACTGTTCATTGCGAGTATACGCAGCTAATTCTTCGATTTTTCGAATCAGCGTGAAATTTTGCCCCAGAATCATTATATAATATTTCTTAGCTGACCATTTTTATTTCGCAGAAATTTTGCACTGAAGATTACATACAAATTTTTTGGTTGAAAAAAAAATTTAAAAATTTGGGTTTTTGGTCTATAAATGTGTGGATCCATCGTTTAAATTCAGATTTGAAGTATTTTTGGCTTAATCCAGAACTAATGCAGTTTTATTTACAATTTTCAAACTTGAAAGTAATTCACCACAGTGAAAAAAGTGTTTAACTGAGAAAGTCAACTTTGAGTGTCACTAGTGTGGAATTTCATGCTGATTCGAAAAATCGAAGAATTAGCTGCGTATACTCGCAATGAACAGTTTTACGGCCGATTTTAGCGGCCGAAATCCGTTTTCGCCATGTTACAGTAATCCTAGGTCCGAAAAATTGGGTGCATTGAACTCAGAAGGCTAGAAAAGGTATATATTATCATTTTTAGCCATTTTGCTTAACTAAATTTGGGCCAGAATCCGCGAAGACCAAAATAATAATTTTAACTCCGAAAAATGCCTTCTAATTTGCGAATAACCCATGATACAGTTTTTGGTACTCTGCATGTATATTATCAATTCCCCTCGACACGATTTTTTGAAGTTTTGTGCGGTTTTACAGATTTTGGTTCCACCGGGATCGAACCCGCGACCTTCGGATTACTAAACTTGACCAAAATCCACTACACCACGAAAATCGGGGCACGACTTTTTAAACTTTTTTAAAATGTTTCTAAGGCAGAATTTTACGCTGAACAACATATGTAAAAATCAGCTGCGGGTTTTCAGAAACAATTTTTTTACGGCCGATTTTGTGCGGCCGAACCTATATTGCGGTATGTTACAGTAACCTGAGTGCCAAAATTTTGTATTCACTTTGACGAGCATGTGCTAAAACATAAGTATTCTTAATTTCAACTATTTACGATGCGTAGTTTTGGAGTAATAGTCGATTACTGTAAAAACATTAAATTGTAAATTACAGTAGGTTAATGGGAGAATTAGACAAAAATATTTCAGTCATATGTTTATTGGAAGCCTACGGTCATTTTAAAACAAAAAACTCAAAATCGATTTTTTTCTATGTCCACGGCTAATTCAGTGACTCAGAAATCGTGTTTTAATTAATCACTCTTGGGCCTCTCTTGCGTTAAATCAAATCCAAATAATCGATTTAAGACGAGTAAATAAAGATTTGGCTTATCAAATACTAGTTACCGTACTCTTCCAGTAATTGTAAAAATGTTTTTTTCGTTTTAAACCGGAAATATGAAAAGAAAAAAGGGAGCGTTTACCGTAGTAAAATGATCTAATTCGGCAGGTAGAGTGGGCCATAAAAATGTCGGATTCGGGGCCACCGAATGGGGCCTTTACTTTGACACCTTGCCGCCAACAGTTGTCAGAACAAATTGGATTAGACCAGATCAAAGAAAGGAGCATATCCGATCAACAAACATGACCTTTCACTCTCCAATCTGCCCTGTTTTTTATGGCTTTGCGGTAAATCAAAAGAAAAACAGGAGTTGATATGATAAGCAGACTCTTGTATGTACATAATCTATGCAAATATTGTATTTGGTATCTGTGCATTTTTTATGTCATCCCATCTCATCACTGAAGAAAGATTACATTTGTAGGCACTTGGTTACAATTATTGCCATGTTTTCTGTTCCTTTCTGTTATTTTATGTTCGATTTTCTGTCTGATTAATTAAAAATAATTTTTCTCGGATAAACAGAAGCCAAAAATATACCGGAAATGTGTTATAATATAAGGTCAGAAATACTAGAGGACATTGTTTTCGGGCATTTCTGATGCCGTATTACATCTGATTATGCAATTTTTCCACGTCATTGCTACAAATTTAAATAAATACGCGCTTATTTCCTCATACATTTCCTTACAATTGTTATTACACCAAAGAATCAAAAGTATATTTATTACACTTTATTATCATTTGATACCCGAAATGAATGTATAACCCAGATTAGTACCTGTATATAATATATTGGCAAAGTGTTGAGATCAGAGGAACCAGTTACAACCATTGAACAAAGCAAAAGACCATTCACATACATACAAGTATTACAAAAGGACATCCCGATCATCCTGGAACCTGATGGCCGAGTTCTCAGACTTGATGAAAGTCGCCGTCCTGGAACGATATTTCTCTTGGAAACACCGCAGAAAACACTTGAGAGTATGCCGATATTGGGATGAGATCAGAGGATACAAGATGAAACAGGTATTGCAATTTATCAAGGACAATAAGTCCAGGACATCTCCAAGCGAAAGATATACGAATTGATGGATATCATTTGGGAAAAGGCCATTCAAAATTGCCAGGATACCTGCAAATATCATGAGTAAATATGCATACCAAAATGTCATCATTTACTAACAATAAGTACTGCTTTATAATAAATTCCTAGACAAAAAAACTTACCTTGAGGGAATTCGGTGCACATAAACACCATCAGCAAGATGACAAGTAGCTTGGTGGTCCTGTCCGAATGCACTTCACTTCTTTTTGAAGCCAGAGAAGTCCCAGAAGTGATCAATCGTCTTCTTCTTCGACTCATATCCAGCTTATAGAGTAAAGCCAAGGTGAAAAACATCAAAAATATACATGGGATCACTTTGAATGCAATGCCCGTCAACCAGAGATTGAATTTGAATATAAAACATGTATTAAATTGACTGAATTCTGCCAGTCCAACCGTATAAAGAGAACCTTCTTCTGAGTCAATTCGGACGATGGAATGAACAAGGAAAGTAGGGATGCATAACAAGATCACAGTAATCGAAATCAGCACGAAGAGTGGGCTAAAATACGGTAATTAATACGGAAAAAGTGCGCGGGGGAGCTTTAAGTAAAGCATATCAAATTTGATATTACACTTGAGTTCAGATTCATTATCTGTTTACGTGGATAAAGGTGTTTAGCAAAGTTCTTTAATTCCATTGTACCACTATGTACAAAGTATTAATTAGAGACTGACGTGGCCTCCTTCCGTTCGAGAAAGGGAAGTTTTTCAGCCATTTATTAACCGCTAATTACTAATTATAAACAAAATCCAATTAATTCTATTTGCCCGGATCTAATTCTTCCTGAATAAACTTGATTCCTGATATAAGAGAGGCCATTATAATATGATATTCTAATAAAAATATAAACAAATGATGCGAGGAGTGATGACATAAATTATATTATCCATGTCTCCCTTACCCAGCAATGTTCTCGTGCATCCATTTAGACCCGATCTTGTCCAAAACTTTGTAGCGAATGTACGCAGTGGCCACAGAAAGGTAGAGGGTAATGGTATGCAAAGCAATCGAACACACAACATGACCCAGCAGAAATATAATCCACGGAAAATCATAGCCGACAGGGGGTTTGTGGACATCAATCATGAAGGAGAAACGGACAGTAAATATTAAATACGAAGTCATCGTGATTATATCACAGATCGCCATGAAGCTGAGCTAAAAAGGAGGGATTATGAAGGCGAAATAACTCTTACCAATCGATTTATGGCGCTTTTATACATGGCTGGGCGTGTTAGAACAAGAACATGGAGGATATTCATCGTGATCCCGACAATGCAAATACATAAGGCAAGATATTTATGGACTGATCCGTAGCGACTGAAAAGTAACTTTGATTACCTTACAGTCAAAGTAAAATCGGGTGTAAAGAAAGGACGTACTTGCTGATCGTAATCAACGTCTCCAAGAAGGTCAAGGTGGCATTGTCTGTGAGATCAAACAGTTCCAACTCTTCGTCGCATATCATTCCCTGTAAGGCCATTTCGATTATCTTTCATAAATGAGTAAATATCTCTTCGCGACAAAAATGGTTATAATTGGCTTAAGAAGCGGCCGGTGGGCGGCCCTAATCTTCATTGTGTCATCGTGGTGACAGTTTCAGATGTAATTTGACTTCGATTAATCCCATCGAAACCTGTGAGAGATGTACTTCCACTTTATTTATGACCCCGCCCCTTATCTCCAATTTCAGTAAGTTAAAGTATCGAAAGAGGAAACCGGATTTTGTGGTCAGTTACGTGGGCAACAGAGTCCAAGAAATTGTGGATCACAGATGACCATTAATTGGGAGGAATTAATTCTGATCTGTGCAGTGACTTAAACTGTGATGCAACCAAAAAGGCGGGATGAACATATCAAACTGTAAAGTAGGGAAGGAGACATTTAAAACTGGACAAACAATGGCAGGACATGTGACTAAAAAGGGACAACAAAAGAGCAAGGTATCTCACCCTCTTAGACAATGGAAAATATCACAATTATATCATCAATATTTACTATACTCCCGGACATAAATTTCTGACCATCCATATCTCAAGTCAATATAACGCAACCGCTTTGAAACTTGGCATGTATACTAGTCATGACAGACAGAATGTGCCACATAAAATTGTTTTTTGTGTCTCTGTCCTTAGGCGAGTTATGCAGGTTTTTTCAAAAATCGGTGGACAAAACTTTCTGATCACCTAAAATAACTAAAATTTTCTCAGTCTCCTTGAGTAAGCGACATGGTTCAGTTATCTTTGAACACTGTTAAGGGACCTACAAGGACGATGGGTATGCTTTTTACCACCAAATTCGGCGTGTGCCCTCAAGCAACTCGTATTCTTGCAGCGCTCTTTTTCTCGTTAAAATCACGCCCTATGCGGCAAGGACGACTCACAGCATTCCGAACTTTTTTCGCCGCCGATCGGTGTCGAAAAAAAATGGAAAAATCGAGAGAGGGGTATGCATTTTTTTGTGTTGCCGGCTAGCAAAAGCAGGTATTGAAAAATTCGAAAAAGTGTTTGATACTCTGAAGATTACTCATTCTAATTATACAAACATTGCCACCGGGCACTTTGCAACCCCCGAGAAAATCGCATTCAAAAAAATGAAAATTTCAAATTTAAATGCAATGAAAATGCACTTTCCAGTTGACTACTGAAGAAAAAAAAGATGCTATCGTGTAGAGAATTTTGAGTACTTCCTAATACGTATATCTTTTTGCGTTGTTTTCTAACCGTTTTAGAGCTACCGTGCAAAAACGCCTTTTTTTGCACTTTTTCCGACTTATCTGCACTTTAAATGCAAAAATGCAAAATCTTCCGAGCAATTATCATTCTTGGCATCCTTGTGGATATATATGCCAAATTTCAAATTTCTACGACGCTCCAATCTCATGTTATATCGATATAATTACGAAACTTTAACAACTTAAGTTCTCGTATTAGCGCGTCTTGAAATATAAATTTTGTGACATTTTCAACAAAAAGTATCGTTATATGTACCCTATTTGTGAATTTGAAGGTATTAGCTTGCGTTTGGACTGCATTAACGGGAATAGAAAACGCTGCACTTGTGAGCCAGCTGTATGAAATCAACCTTTTTCATGATGACATGAAGCTGTCTCATAAATGTAGGAATAACATTCCAGGGGTTGGTAAGACACACTTTAGGAAGAAATAAGGCTATCCTAGAGTAAAAACGGTAGGCTTTCTATGTTTTTCTTCGGGAACTTAGGTTGTTAAAGTTTCGTAATTATATCGATATAACAGGAGACTGGAGCGTCGTAGAAATTTGAAATTTGGCATGTATATCCACAAGGATGCCAAGAATGATAATTGCTCGGAAGATTTTGCATTTTTGCATTTAAAGTGCAGATAAGTCGGAAAAAGTGCAAAAAAAGGCGTTTTTGCACGGTAGCTCTAAAACGGTTAGAAAACAACGCAAAAAGATATACGTATTAGGAAGTACTCAAAATTCTCTACACGATAGCATCTTTTTTTTCTTCAGTAGTCAACTAGAAAGTGCATTTTCATTGCATTTAAATTTGAAATTTTCATTTTTTTGAATGCGATTTTCTCGGGGGTTACAAAGTGCCCGGTGGCAATGTTTGTATAATTAGAATGAGTAATCTTCAGAGTATCAAACACTTTTTCAAATTTTGCAATACCTGCTTTTGCTAGCCGGCAACACAAAAAAATGCATACCCCTCTCTCGATTTTTCCATTTTTTTTCGACACCGATCGGCGGCGAAAAAAGTTCGGAATGCTGTGCGACTTTTTTGTTTCAGAAAAAGTAATAAGGAACTCATTGGAGGTTGTGATGCAAGATCTTACTACCTTGCAATGTGAAATATGATATTAACGCCTTAAGAAAATCACATAGGAGTAGCCCATCTATGAATAATTGATCATAACCGCAGGCGTTTTTATTAAATCCGTCTAGAAATCCCCTACAGTACTCTTTGGTGAATACTGAAGAACGTGGGATAGTAATCTCCCGTTATCTTTGCATTTCGTGCGCGCACTACCGCAAAAGTCCAAAAAAACGCAACTTTTCCGATTTTGTAATTATACAAAATGGTCAGAATTTGCCAAAAAATCCTCAAGTTTGCGTTATCGCGTAATTTCAGTCCGAAATTTCATGAGGCCGGGTCAGCACTAATATAACTTTATTCTTCATTGTGTAGTGCTAAGCCATGTTTAATTTCAACCAGTTTGGGCTGATTCTGAAAAAGTTACAGGCCGCTAAAGTCCGGCCGGCTAGTCAGTTTTGCAATGATTTTGCACATGCTTGATGAAATCCTTAATATCCCTCGGTATGATGGACGGAGATTGACCATGTGTGATCAATTACATAATCCTGTGCGTTTTTTATCCTTCTAGCCCACCTCTAGCCGTCGTATACTAACAAAATCGCGTAATGCGCAGAATGCACAAGCCCTTGCGACGTATGTTACTACTCCTCGATTTTTTGCCGTAAATATATGCGGTACGTCTGTGCTATGCAGTATAAGCAGTTTTAGCCCCGTGGCAAACATTTTTCGGCAGTTGCGAACAATTTACCTAAGTGATCAGAAAATTTTGTCCACCCTTTTTTTGAAAATGTCGAAAAAACTGCCGTTAAAGTGCAAGGATGGAAAATTCCGTTTTACCAAATGTTTTGCACCTCTTCTTGAAAGGGCAGTTAAAATTTGGAACATGTAGCTCAATTAACAGCCCAGCTAAAGGGTGGGCAGAGAGATATGTCCGGGAGTATATCATTTCCCGACAGAAAGTAAGCAGATTTGTGGAACAGACGGAGATGGCCAAATTAATATGGCCATGGTTCTCTTGTCTTTCCCATCTCTGCTCATCCTGTTCTACGTACTCTCTCATTCTAAGACGTCACATTTCCTTCAATTTTATGTCATTATCACGCAACCCTGAATTATTGCCATTCCCTGACGTCCCCTTTGTAGTATATGTATCTAGATGGAAGCGAAGACTGTCAACCCACTCGTTGTCACGATCTCTTTGATTGACGTGTTTCCTTAGGCAGTCTAAACAAGATTTCTTTTAATCTCAGCTGTCAGAACATTGGATATAAGGAAATAAAAAAATCCAAACGGATTATACCTCCAATCCCGTGTTTGGGGTCATTAAATGTCTTTTGACAACTACAGTAGGCCCGTTACAATATAAGGGCCTTCTGTGTGGGCTTCCTTTTGTAATTAAAGCAACTAGGAAGGCCAAAGAGTATCAAATAGAAGAATTTTAAGAGAGCGACATCTGAGAAGAGCCCAAAAAAATAAAATTAAACTTGACAAGTAACACACTTGAAACTAAAAAGTACGCAATAAGTAGTGTTTACTTACATAAACAAATAAATTAAAAGAATCGGATTTAATTTCCAATTTATTTCCTTAAATCTGATGTTTACCCTAATTATCATCCGAAGGAAATGGTCAATTTATTTGGTTTATGCCCTCAGGGAAACAGATAAATTCTGGGGAAGTACAATTAATTAGAAGATGTTTGCTGTCTCCAGTTTTAAATACAGCCTAATTACATATTTTCAACCAATTAAACATGGATAAGGGAAACAAAGTTGAGCAATTAAGAGATAAGTGTGTATACAACATCACAAATTGTTATAAAAACATTACTGAATTGAACAGAAAATGTTGTCGAAAAGTATCTATTGCTAATTAAACCAGTGGGAAAATATTATAGTCCAACGTAATAAGCCACGCAGAACTACGTATGTTGACCTTATTTACCATCCTTTCAGAGTAAATTAAATGTTCATCCAGATTATAATATTTTGAAGTTAAATATTCTAGTAATTGGGAGTGTTTTTATAGTTTTGAAGGCAAAATACGAATCTTTACAAGTCTAAATGAAGTGTAGCTAGCGCCCACATTTCAGTGTTATCGGCCTGAAGAGATAATTAAAACAGAAAAAACAATCCTAAAAACAGAAAATGAGTAATTTAGAATATTATTGAACGTCTCAAGGACCAGGCATTAAATTTATTACAAATGAGAGTAAATCTGAAGCAAAAAAAATAATATACGGTAGGAATTCGAGGATCCGAGCAACTTTAATGAAAAATGTAAGGATAATGACCAAGAAAAAATAAGCCCGGAAGGAAGTTCGGAGTTGCATAAATGACTTTGGCCAATTATTATGTCCCGAACCGAGAATGTCAGATGCAGCATTCTTTGTTCTTGCCACTCCAATATTCACGAAAACCAATATCTCGTGCCTGGGTGTTGTAAATTGGTTGCAAAAAAATAAAAATTACTAGAAAAAGAGAGAAATCAGCAGTGTAATAATTGTCATTTTATTAGCTGTTTATGTGTCACAAATCATTTAAGAAATGGACATTAGATTACCAAGAGTTATGGGGGACAACGATAATGTTGTGCAGCAAGAAAATTCAACCGAACAAGGCTTTACAGCCATACTGAAAAAGCATTTTGTGGTTTGTAAAAAGTAAAAGAGTTTCGTTTGGCCATTACTTTAATCAAAATAACAATCATAGTAAGCTTTGAAGTCTGGAAAAAATGAAAACAATTCCCTCGACAGGTGGAAACTTGTATAAAAATAACTCTATTGTAAATAACAACTTAAAAAAAACAGTTCCGGTTGGCATTTCCAAATTTGTGAGGCCCAAAGTAATGCGATCAGTTATTCTGACGTTGGAGATAAAAAATAAATCTTTAAGAATTGACTATAATATAAGCAAATAAAGTGTAATTGTGAGAACCAATTCGCTAAGATAGTTTGAAGTTGTCTAAAACACTGTGATCATCCGAATCCAAGCCCACCAGTCTCTGAATGGAAGTAATTCCATCTCTGTCTACCACTTTGTTACTCGAGATTTCCTTAAATTCGATTACTCTTACTTTCTATCTTCGTTTCAACTTGAGTAACCCGAGTTGGACCCAATGAAGTTAATTAATTAATTATCCATTTAAAGCTCTTTTAACGGAACGGAAGGAAGAGCGAGATTAATTTAGATTATCCCGAGTAAACAGAGTTATCCCAAAATAAATGCAGGTCGGAAATTGCGTATTGTATTTGTAAAACAACTTTCCTTCCTGTTTCATTTATATCACAAGTTCGAGAGTCTTCAGAAAAGCTTACTTAACGTCATAATCCTCTTCACAGACGGTATCAGAAATAACCTTGTTTTCGGTCAGAACTCAAACACTCCGGATGCAAAAAGAACATGTCATCCATATGGAGATGTAATAAAATCTGTGATTATGATTAATATAATTAAATAGCCATCATATTCGGACTATAAAATCTGGCCAAATCGGGACCGGAAGTCGGATAAATTTATAATATTTAGAAGTGGGCGACGAAGAGACGACGTTAATTACATAATCATCACAGCATCCCCTTAATCCCATAGCACGGCCTAGAGAACGTTTCAGAAAAGGGACGTTCGAGTTCACAATGTTCCGAATTCTTGTCTCAACTCAACTGGAGATTTGGCTATTTAAATTGGCCATGCTTTGAAAAGAGGCTGACATCACAAAAAAAGGAACAGGTCTTTCCATTAGGGTTTAGTCACTCGCAATGGGACGTCAAATAATTCATAAAAAACATATTTAGCGACCAGTACAAAAGAACAGAACGAGACGGCGCTCAGCCGAACGGAAACCCCTTTCGCTAAATTAGTTATGAAAACTGGATGGAGATGGTAGAGTAAGAATGATATAAATTATGTTGATTTAATAAGGAGACTGCTAGTTATTTGTATAATATAAGGACTTTGCAGAACACAAAGCCATCTACTGTATGAAATGATTTACTAGACTTGATGATGTTTATGACACTTTATAGTTATTTGAGTAATAAGCTAACAAAAAGGACGAGTTTCCCATCAGCTGACACCCCTTCGGAAAACATTTTGTACCCGAAAGGGAGTATCATGGCCCATGCCATGTCCCTTGTGTCTGGTCATTTATTTATTTAATTTGCCGATTTCCTCCAAAACAAAATTGAATTCAAATTCATGTTTGGTCCATTTAATGTGTTTACATCAAAAACCCTTCATGGATAACATGAACTCTTCTGGAAGTTATTTCTTGATATGCTGAGAGAAAGAATACAATTACATCTAATAAAATAAGGCTGTTATCACGAATGGTTGGGACGACCAAACGATTGTTTTCGGTCGGTTATAACAACTGGAATGACTACTGATAACAAGGTCGTCTTGAACATTTCCAAAACGTTTAAAAGGGCGCCCGCGGAACAGCGAACATACCAGAGCTCTCTGCATTATCAGCATGCGGGCAGAAGTTTCTTTCCTTTTGTTGGTCGCCCTGACCACTGTTTCTGGAGATCGATTCGAAGACAATACAGGCCAGATCAAGAACAAGAGACTCAAGATATTCGTAGATTCCCCTTCTATCGGGTACTCTCACATGCAATTCCAAGGCAGATTGGCCGATCTTTTGGTGGACAGAGGCCATCTTGTAGTAGGTTTATAAAACCTTAGAACCCAAATTTCTCAAAATGACTAATAAATAAACAACCATTTCAGGACGTTTACATCTCCAATTTTAACCCAAATGAAAGAAGGACTGGGACGTCAAAGGCCAGGGTCTTCAGAATAAATGCGACAACCGAGACCAGATATGGGGAAATGGATCTATTTACAGATCCCTTTAATGCTGGAAGCATCTTGTTCCAGATGAAGAGAGCTGACCCCTACAGAAATACTACGGCTCAATTATGTTACGGTAAGCAATAAAGGAGTCACCCATAATTTCTCAACGCCAAAAAAACCTGTGTTCAAAATCGTGTTTTAGACATTGTTAATCACCCAAGCCTCATTGACCAGATCAGAGCCGAGAATTATGATGTGATAATAGCCGAGATGTTCGATCCCTGTATCTTTTATCTCGCCGAATATCTTCAAATCCGGACTCGGATTCTAAGCAGTGCCATGCCGACTCCAGATCTCGTGGCCCAAGCTCTGGGAATCCCCGTTCCTCGTTCCTATATTCCATGTGAGTCGTCGACTATTCAACATAGCAGACAGATCAGGTTGTCACAGTTTGTTTGTGAAAAACGTAGCATTCTTTGTGTTTGTTGGCTTACAATTTGAATACTAATTGTTGCTTCCAGCTGTGTTTTCTTCAAGTGCAGATGTCCCGAATCTTGGCTGGATGGAGCGATTGTTCAACGTGATCACAGATTTTTATCATCCAATTGTTCTTAATGAACTCACAGAGAGAATGGTGAGTTCCAAATTAAATGAGATTTACTCGTCATTTCAGAGAAACATGTATAAAGATCGGTTTGGAGTGGACATGGCAGAGTTCAAAGACCTGTTGAGAAAGAGTTCTTATCTGTTTGTAAACGTCCATGATCAGCTAGACCATCCACGTCCAATAACACGTAAAGTGCAATACATCGGAGGAATCGCTGTTAAGAAGCCGCAAAAAAAACATACTCAGGTCAGTTTACAGGTATTTTTTGTGTAAAATTATTGCAGGAGATCGAGGAAATATTCTCAAGACCAAGTAAAGGAGTTATTCTGTTCTCTATGGGAAGTGTGATCGACAGCACTTTAATGCCCGTATCCATGAAAAATGCCTTTGTGGACACTTTTGATCACTTTAAAGACTACACCTTCTTATGGAGAATTAAATTCAGCGTCAATGATACTCATCGGTTTCGAAACATCAGCAATCTCTTTACGATTGATTGGATGGATCAGCCGACCATCTTAGGTAAATAAATAATATTTCTGAACTTAATCACCAAAGATCACTTTTAGCTGACCCAAGAACAAAACTTTTCATCACCCACTGCGGTCAAAATAGTATGATGGAAGCGGCATATAATGGTAAGTCTACCAGAAAAAAATAATAAAATTACTTTAAAGGAGTCCCGGTCCTCGGGTTTCCACTCTGGGCAGACCAGCATTACAACAACGCGCTACTGATTAACAGAGGTGTCGCTTTACACCAAGATACCCATACAACGACATCAGAATCTTTGATTCGGAAAATTTCGACCATTTTGAACGATGAAAGCTACTATCGGAATGCCCAGATACTTAAGAGAAAGTTAGAAGATGAGCCTTTTAAACCGGAAGACCGTTTTATTGGCTTGATCGAATATGCGGCTCGACATGAGGATAAAGGAGAACTCAACCTCTATGTCAATGAATTAACGTTCGTTCGCAGAAATAATCTGGATATTTACATTCCTATGGTTCTCATCGCTTACCTTACTTTTTATACAGCCAAAGTCATGTTATTCAGGATTTGGAATCAACTCTCAAACTCGGTGATCTACAAGCAGAAAGTCGCCTAAATTATTTTCTTGTACATATATCCGAATGGTCTCATTTTTGTATGATAATGTGGAAAAATAAAAATTACTCTTTTGACCTTTGACTCCAAGAATTTAATAAATAGAAAAACAAAAAACAGTCTCTTAATCCTCTTAATCAGCAAAATAAAAGTTGCTTCATGTTTGCTTTTATGAATTTTAATTTTTAAAAATATAAGCTACTTGAAACGATTGATTTGATCTCGGACATGTTGCTAGTCTTATTACTGTTGAGTCTTTTTTGTTACAGTAAGACCGAAGAAATTACTTGTCCAGAAGAAGAGGGCGTTGCCAGTAAGTGCTGCAAAAACGTTAAAATAATTACTTTTATACATTATTGTCTTAGTATGTGGCCAACCAGATAACAAATGTCCCTTAGGGTCTGTTTGCTACGTCAAAAAGAATTGGTGTTGTGTGCCTGAGGCAAAGAAATCTCCGAGGCCAATTGTTCGATGAATTAGAATAACTTTTTTTACATCATCTTCTATATTTAAAAAAAGTTGTTTTTGTCAAGAATTCCACTTTTTTATAGCCTTGCACTATGAACCCTGACTTTTTCTACTTTCACTTCCTCAAATAAGATAAAAACAATTCTGTTCGTATAATAAAGATAATCAAACAGCTAATTGCAAACATGAATTATGATACAGTCAACCTGTACAAAGAATTGCAGGACACCGAAAAATTAATTTGTTATAGAAGGGGTTCGTTTAAAGAGATACACTTCGTTTGCTACAAGAATATTCGTAAAACAAATGTTTAACAGAGGTTCCACAGTAATTATAAGAGAATCTCAGAATGTACTGTAAATTTAAATTTTCGAAATTTAAAAATTTAATAAAAAAAAACTAGACAATGATGATTTTAACAAAGGACCAAGAAATAATCCACGTAGACTGGATTAAAACAGCGATTCCTAATCGAAAGTTAAATGATAAGAACAAAAAAGTAACATATTAACTCATTCCTCAGCACCAGAAGAGGTCGTTATCAATCAAATTCGCCGAGTTTCCCACAGAAACGAACCTCGGAATGGGTAACAAAACGGTCAAATATGGATTCTACGGACTTGTAGTACTTGTTTTGAGTGGAATTCTGGGAGTTGGAATAGTCATCCTAACAAAGATTGACAAAGAAGAATCGTATGTAAAGCCAGAAGAAACTAAGACAACGTCACGACCAGACCTTGCACCGACAACACCCCCAATAAGTAAGTTCAATTCAACCTTTTCTATCCTTTTTAGTTCCTGACAACCCCCAGAACCAATTAAATATACTTCCACCATTGCCAGTAGATCCACGAACGGATCCACATAGATATAAAGAGTTCAAACAATACGCAGACCTGCTTAAAAACAGTTTGAACTACTCTTTTGACCCTTGCAACAACTTCTATGAGTACGTTTGTAAGTCTTATGAACCCACAGAAGAAGAAGATCCATACTCCGTCTTAATTAACGTCCTTAAACAAAAGGGGGTAAGTAAAAAATAGATTAAGGTTATGTTTAGAATGAGAAATACCATGAAAAGGCAAGAGAAATATTCGAAAAATGCAAGAGTAAGGATGTAGAGTTTAACAAGACCGAGTATTGGCACGAACTGTTCGAATATCTGGGGAGAAATGAGTTTGGCCTTGCCTCTTTCCCTCTGATCAGCAAGAATAAAAGGAACGATGCTGACAGTATTGGGAAAACAATCGGATTATTCGCTCAAGAATTTGACCTTCAGACTTTGTTGCCTCTTAAAATACGACCAAATTGGAAACACACTCACATTCTGGAAGGATCACACAAGACACCTTACCTTTTATATATTCAACCGGTCGAATTAGAAAAGGAATATGATCTTCTGAACACGTCCAAGGGAGATTTTATATCTGGGAACATCAGAAAAATGCTGAATATACTGGGAAAGGGTAAGGTAAAGGATAAAAACATAAAAAAGGCGGTGGAAGAATACAACCAGTTCGAAGAATTCTCAGCAAAACTTTTGAAGGATATCAGAAAAACGTAGGTACTTCTACAAAATTATAATATGTCCTCAGGCCAAAGCAATACAATCTATTCAACATCACCGCAGCAAAAAAGTGGAGATTTATCAGCTTTTCTGGATTTTTTGAACGATTTCTAAAATTTAAATACCATCGTCGCTTGGAAGATTCAGAATTCGAATTCGCAATAGAATACCCAGAAATAGTCGACAAAATAGAAGTGTATTTTAAATCCAAAGCACCAGAAGTACTCCCCAATTACTTGTATACCCGTTTGATTCTGAAGCTGCGTAAGTACCTCGATGATAATATCGCCTCAGGCCAATCTGAGAGAGAATGTGCGCGACTCGTGGCTGACGTTCTGCCCGACGTTACTAATAGGCTTTATTTGGATTCCACATTTCCAAGATTGAATGTTCGAAAAACATTACTGGATAAATTGGATTGGCTCGTCAGTGGTACAGTAAATACTCTAAAGGTACAATCTTGTTACCTATAAACATATAAGACGATTTAGAGACGTGTGGAGACCTTGGATTGGATGGAACGAGCTGCAAAAGATAAAGCCCTGAGGAAATTAAATTATTTAAATAAAATAATTGGATACCCTCGACGCATATTAGACGACAACGAATTAAATAATCAAGTCAAAGAGCTTCATCTTCAACGTAAGTCATCGTTTGATTTAATTTATACAAAACAAATGTTCAGCTAATCTAACAATCGCCCAATTTGAGGAAGAATTAAGATTATATAAATTAAGTCAGGAATACAAAGCGCTCGATATAAAAGATGCTGTCGATGTAAACAGAATGGATAGTATGTTGGACTCATCTAAACCTGTATATGATCCCGAGTTAAACCGTCTCTCATTACCAATCAGTTTGATTAAAACTATAAAATACGATGAATATAAACCAACTTCTATTAATATTGGACAACTCGGAACAGAGATTGCAACAGAATTAATGAAGATATTCGATGATCAAGGGATTCAACATGATGAGTTTGGAGAATTGAATGATTGGATGGATCTAAACTCTAAGAAAGGGTATGAGAAGACAAAGAAATGCCTGAAAGATCAATTGGAAAACATCGAAACGGAGAGCGGCATCTATTTTGATACAAACGAAGTCGTCGAAGAATCGCTAAGGATCAATGGAGGTAACTTATCACAAGCTAATGAACTCTTTTTAGGAACACAAATTGCTTATGAAACTCTAAATAACATTCAATCTCTGTATGGAGCAGATCCCCGATTGCCTGGAGACCTATTACAACACTTCACTCATCCGCAATTATTCTTCATTTCATATACGCAAAAGCACTGTAAAATTAACGGAGAAAAGCCCGTTAATGGAAAGTTAAAATCCCTCACAAACTTCCATAGGGTTCTTGAAGTTCTTCAGAATTCTCCGTCCTTTGCCAGCGCGTTCAATTGCCAGACTGGAAGTGATTATTCTCCTCCGAAAACATGTACTGTTTGGAACAGTGGACCCGATCGAAACTCCCAAAGCTATCCAGAAAACCCAGAACTGATTACAAACATCAGAAAGGGAAGAACCATGGAATCAGAAGAGTACAAAGAGATCAGTAGAAGAGTTTTACAAAACATAAATGTCGACAAGGAACCTTGCAATGATTTCCTTAACTATGCCTGTGATCATAATTCAAAAGATACCATCGACGATAACGCAGAAGAATTCATGGAGATTGCTGCGCTGGCATCGCTTAAAAGACGTTATGGAAGTAACGTAAGTAGAGCTAACCAAGTAATGAAAAAAAAATTAGGACGTCTTAAGAATCGGGATTTCCCATTTCGAAGGATGCCAGGTCAATCGATTTATAACAAATAACCCTATCGACGAATTATTGGAATACATCAACAAGACCTCAGACAACTGGCCAAATTTCGTGGATCCAATATCCGGGTACTCCACTCTGAAGCCAGATTCAATTTCCAAAGTTTCCCATTATTTGGCTAACAGTCTGGACATTGATACTTTCTATAGAATCCAGGTAAAATTAGATCCAAACAGGGCTTACAACAATGCCTATGTTATCCATTTACTGGAACCAAGATTTATTTTCGACCCTACGATTACAACATTATTAGATGGGCCAAGATTTACTCAGGAATATATTCAAATTGCATTAGAAGTAGTGGCAACTTATTTCAAAGACCAAATCGAGGACAGAGATAGAAAAGAGATGAAGATAGCATTGCAACAAAATATAATTAGAGTGATCGAATACGAACGGAAAATGATGACTCAAGTGATGGAATTGAGGAAGGAAAAGGAAATAAAATACTTTACATTAGATGAGTTGGATAAAAAATATCCGACATTCAATGTGAAAGGATACATTAGACAGATGGAATTGGTGGAGGCCAAGGATAATCAAGCTCTCAAAGCTATTTTAAGAAATCCTAATCTGAAGATCGTCGTTGACAATCTGAAAGTTATCGACTTTCTATACAAAAGCCTAGAGAAGGCCAACAGAAATGGGGTTTCGATACAAGACCCGCTCAACTATATATACTTGAAGATCTTCCATCGATTACAATATCATCTGGAGGCATCTCTGAGACCTTATTCAAGATTAATGGACAACTTCCTAAGCATTCCATTGGCACCAGCAATCTCAAGAAATTCTGATGTGGACACTAAGGATTACTATTGCATGAGACAAGTTCAGGCTCTTTATCCCGAGAGTTATGCAGCAGCTGTAATAAGAGGGATTTACAGAACAGAAGATGAGTTTTTAAAGGCCAAAATGAGCGTTGGCCAAATTACGGAATATATTGTTGACGGCTTTTTACAAGATATTGATTCAATTACATGGTTTTCTACTGAAATCAAACAGAATGCGGCCAAAAAGTTGCAAAATTTAATCAAGAGTATCGGCGGATCGGATGACTTAATGAAGAACATAGCTACCCCCAGAGAAAGGAACTGGAAGAATGAAATAAGACGAGTAAGGCAGCAGGAAGTAAGTCTTCTCTCATTCGTCGGCGATCCTCATCGACTGCCTTACAATGACATTTCATTCGTTTACTCAACCATCCATTCACTGGCAGATGTCGATAGAAACTCAATATTTCTCCCTATAAAATTCATGACGCCCCCATATTACAATCCCGGATATCCAACTGAATGGACATTTGCCCAAATGGGATCTGAAATCGGTAACCTTATCAGTCAAAACTTTGGAATCGAGGGAATAAAAAGAGACCGAGTGGGCAATTTGGACAACTGGATGAATGAAGAGGGATGGAATCACATCAAAAACATGACAACTCAGATAGAAAAACAAATACTCAGTAATGGAATGTACGCAACCTCCCTGGACCGGGTATTCGGGCGGTCACTTGGACTGAGAATGGCCCTCAAGGGATTTGAATTGTGGAAAAGTAAACACGGAAGTCCGGGAATATGGCCCGATAGATTACTGTATAAGTACACCTCAAATCAATTACTGTATCTGTCTTATGCCCAGCGGCATTGCAGACTGGCGAAAGATCCGATCTTCACATTCAACGAGTTGTTACTTATATTACAGAATAATCTAGGATTCAAAGACGCTTTCAATTGCCCGAATTCATTGTATGCCCCAGAGAATGCAATCGAAATTTGGGACAGTGAAATAAAAGGGCAAGTGGAAACAACAGGCTTGCCATATCCACCACCACAACTAAACATCCCGGAAAATAACAAATCCGAGTCAAAGAAATACAAGGAATGCGGAAAGATATTTGAAGATTCAATTGATACATCCGTCAATCCATGCGAGGACTTTTATCAATACTCTTGCGGGAATTACAAAGAGACAAGCCCGTTTAATGTACTTGAAGCCAATAATAAGGTCGGGCTGATTAAAGAACTGAGGAGTTCCGTACAAAATGAGCCCGTAAAAGCTCTAAAATACGAGAAACAAATCTTCCAGCAATGTGTCAAACATCTAATCGATTTTGAATATTTGAATAAGGACGGAAAAATTATGACAGAAATTATTGAAAAGTTAGAAAAAGCGGTAGACATTAGATTCCCATTGAAATATAAGGAAGATTACAAGATAGAGATTACACCAGAAAAGATAGGAAAGGCACTTGGATATCTGGCGGGAACAGAGAGTATCAATGTTCTCGTAACTCCACAGATTTACACAAATATGAGATTTCCAGATAAAGGGTATACGGTATATCTACTAGCCGATCGATTACTTCTCAGTTATTATATAGCAAATGGAGATCCGGAAGATGAAATTGCTGGGAGAGTGAGTGATGACATCATAAGATATCTGAACGTTGTAAGGACTGACACCGAAGGAATCAGAGAGAAAATTATGGAGCAGGCAAAAAGTTTTATTCAAATTGAAAAAATAATTATGGAATCCAAAATTAATGAACCGATTGATCAAAGGAACATGGCTAACAAGTATGCGACTATAACTCTACGAGAGTACAAAGAGAAATACGCTAATTCAATCAATATAGCCAGTTACTTGGAAGGATTTGTAAATCATTCCCCGGAGGCAATTCCGAAGGTAACGTCTGACGACTTTGAAATCGGACTTCTTCAACCGAACGACTTCCTAAACTTTACAAAAGCATTTGAAACGATCCTGTCCAATCCTACTATAACATCCGACAACATTGCCAATTACATTTTCTATTCTGTCCTTGTATTTAACAGCAAAGCATATCTACCACCAGCCACGAATGTCCTGCACATAACATCAAGACACCCAACAGAAATAGTCAACAAGATTGCTTGGAAGAGGAAAGATCCAGAAGAAGAAAATATTGTAAATACAGAGTGCGGAGACGAATGGATAAACAATATCGCATCTGAAGATGAGATCAGTCAAATTGAAGATGCCTGCTTTACATTTACCATCGATATGTTTGTGGAAGCAACCAATAAAATGTTTGTAAAAACAGTCAAAAAAGATGATAACACTATAGAAAAAGAGAGATTAGAAGTGGCCAAGATGACTGATTCTATTGTCATCGGGTTCAAGAACATGTTGAATCAGTTGGAATGGTTGGATAAACAATCGAAATCGGTAGGAATACAGATAGATAGTCCAACTTTATTTTCAGGAAGCTTTAAGCAAGACTGATCTACTAGTCAAGAATTATATGTTTGCCAATCTAACTGGCGATGACAAACTTTTTGAAGAATACTATAAAGCACTCGAGTTTAAAGATGATGACAGTTTTCCGGTAATCGTAAGGAAAACTGTAAGATTTAATTCGGACAAAGTGGCGGCTGATCTCGGTAAAGATGTCTACGATCGTTATCTGACCGGGCTTATTCATCGAGCAAATGCCTGGTACAAGGGACCTTCAAATTCAATTACACTTCCTCTTGGTATTCTCCAGCAACCTTTTTATGATCCGGAATGGCCAAGCTCTGTCAATTTTGGAGCTATTGGAGTAATCGCAGGTCACGAATTGACTCATGGATTTGGTAAAACCAGGCCATTAATCGAAAGCATATAAATTTAGATGACAAGGGAGTCCAAACTGATTCAATTGGTCGTCTTCGCACTTGGATGACCAAAAAAACACAAGAATCCTTCAATGACATGGCCAAATGTGTTATCGACCAGTATGGTAAATACTGTTTTGATAAAGATAATTGTGTCAATGGAACAAAAACTCAAGGAGAGAACATTGCTGACAATGGAGGGATTCGGGCGGCTTATGATGCATATCAGAGAGAGGTCGAGATGAATGGCCAAGACCCCTCTCTTCCCAGTCCTATGATCGGACAGTTCAGTCATGATCAACTCTTCTTCTTGTCTTTTGCCAGAATGTGGTGTCATAAACCCTATAATGGAAGAGAAATCCCGAGTAAACTAAAAGATGTGCATTCCCCTGGAGAGTTCAGAACTCTGGGAACTTTACAGAATTTCCCGGCCTTCAAAAAAGCCTTTTCTTGTCCAGCAACATCCACTTATGCTCCATCCGAGTTTTGCAGTGTTTGGATAACAGATATAACGCCGAGTAAGTCGTTATATTCATAACAACCCCAATTTTAGCGCTGAAGCAACCAACGCCTATCCCATCGTATGAACCGTAGAATCTGGTCATCACAATAAATAACTGAGATAATAAAGGTTGTATATAACTGTTTATAATTAGTATTCCTATGCTTTAAAACATAATTGAGACCATTCGACATGCAGCCTTGATTCTCTCAATTTGGCCGACCATATGTCACCAAGTTTAGTTGCAATTGAGCTGTGTTCATCATGACTTGATCATGATTCATTCCATGTTGCTGCAAGAGAGTAAAAACTTCCTCAAAACTTACTGGAAACGCGGCATCTTGCCCTGGAACATTACTTGTTACCGTGCCACAGGCCTGATATCCAACTTTGTCATCGCTCGTAGAATAAATAGAAAAGATTCGTTCTCCTTCGTATCTTTGTCTGAATAATTAATTAAAAATCGTGAAGAAGAGATTACCGTGAGTTAATATCATTCAAGAACCGAGATCCACAGCCCAGTCCATTATTTGTATTACAGCTTCCAAATGGCAAGACGCACAAAAAGGATCCAAAATTGGCCCCCGCCACAGAAACAAAAGTATGGACAAGATGGGAAAGGGGCCCTCCCAACTGCTCTCCAGTATCCACACAAACTCCACCCATGATGGCCTTTCTGGCAACAGGAGATCCCATAGAATATCCAATTATATTCACCTTGGAGCTAGTGTAATCAGCAACTACTTGTATAAAGGATCGAAGCTAGAAGTTGGATTCATGAAGACACAGACCTACAATCTTCATATGATGGCAGTCCATTGTAAACATCAAAGCATTTGTTCGGCCTCCATCTCCATATGTAGTTCCGTACACTTCGAAGTCTCGATAACCATGATTATTAAAGAATTCACGAACTTGTGCAAAGTTGGAGGCTGTATTCGTGATCCCATGGACAAGAATTACGGGCCGATGACTGGAGAGAAGACAGTTGTTTAAAGTTGTAAACAAGACTTACGGGGTGGGTGTCCGAGGTGTATGGCGATCTCCCCCACCGCCAAAACTGGCATGGGGACCTATGTCAGTTCTCGCCATGTTATCTTCCATCGCTTTTCCATAATTATCTCTCAGAAATTTTCTAAATTGATCCGACAAAAATGCATTACAACTCGAAAATAGAAATACCAGAAAGATGGACCTGCTCATCTTACAATCAGCTACAAAATGGTTACAGAGAGGAGCTAAATTGACCTGGTAGAGAAAAGGGGACTGATTACGTAAAGGAAGAGACCAGGTTTTAATGTGTCTTACTATTTTGTTTTGTTCCGCTCTTACCTAACAATAAGAAAAATAAGGAAAAGTGACATGTAGTTGATGGATGGAGGGATCGCGCAAGGAATTACATTGTTCCATGACCGGCGAATCATCAACCAAGCAGGAGTTAGAAAACGACTGCGAAGTAGCTGTAAATCATTTATTGCAAAGAAAAATTGGAATTTGATTTGAATTAAGGTTTTGTAATTCTTGTACGTAGCGAGGCAAGCATTATACGAGGTATCCAACGAAAACTCAAGCTGCAGAATCGTCCTCTACTTCCGAGATTTCCTTCACGGAATTCAGGACCCTTAAATACCATTAAAATCATCTCACAATTAATTACCAAAAAACTGCTGCTCCTACTAAGGGGGTCATTATGGCTGCAGCAATGACCGCGTCCATATGTCTGAACGGGTGTTCCTTTGACCAGATAGCTGCGATCACACTCTGAGCCAGACTTCTAGCCAGATTTCCATTGGCCCGGACAGTATTTCCAGCTTCGCAACTCAATGACATTGTGATTATCTAATATTTTTTACGAAGATGCCGTTTTTACTTACCGTAACCGCACTCATACAGTAAAAACTGCCGGTGGTTAAGAAAACGATGACAAAAAGAAAAGTAGAAGTAATTTCCAAAGCAAGAGTTGACTCAAATGAGAGAACACTTGACTCTTGCACAGTCGTATTCAAAATTTTTGCTGAAGGAATGATGGCCTGGCCAAGAGATGCAAATAAAACTTGGCCGATAAAAGCACCAAACAATTGCCCACTGATGATTGAGAGACTTAGGAATATTGGACGTCGAAGACAAAACAATTGCCCTAGGGAAATGGCTGGAAACGTGGAAGGAGAAGAAAATAAACTCACCTGGATTGAACTCGGCATCGCAAACCTCACCAAATAAATACATTAGCACAAATCTAACACATCCCATTGATAATACGGATACAGTAGAATTATGGGAGTAAAACAAAAGGAAATATGCTCCTTTAAGCAACAATTCAGAATTGAGTATTGTAAAACCCACCTAAAAAAGTTAGCAGTAATGTCCCGAAGAATTCTCCAAACATATATCTGAAAAAAAAATCACACGGCTCAATGGCTCTGGGTCTGGACACATCTGAATTTAAAACTCAGATAGAATCTTACAATATCTTTTGGTACCTTTTTCTGTAGCTCCGGTAATTTCCACCTGAGTAGGCTTGGAGGCCGCTAACTTATGAACCTTCATTCTGACCTAATCATCCAAAAGGAATTGGATTTCTGCAGATTAAGTGCAAACTCGGGCACTTCCTTCCGTTGCGACCATTGTGTAAGTCCAGGATATATCCTTTCTTTCCATATTTCGTGGCCGAAACCGGACATTTCCATGGAAACGGAAAAATTTGCGGTATTTCGGTTATGTAATTGCGTGTGCATCGGGAATTATCATCATAGCAATGAATTGTAAATCATCCCAGCAAATTTTACATTTCCATAAGTAAAAAATCAAATGTATGCATGTAACACACAAGCAGAAACTCCTTATAAATTATTCACATAGTTCCTGGGTTTCCAATTTGCACAAGTTTATAACAAGATACAAAGTACTGCAATAGGATTCTCGGTTTATCAGGGCGCTAAACATGTATATCATCACTCAGTCACACACCACAGGTCTGCTCAGTGTGGCCCGCCACGGTTTCGCAAGAGTTGGGAATTAGACTAAACTTCAGTCAGCATTTTTTTTTTTTGAGTTCTCTAGTTTGTGTTTTCGAGTCCCGTTCTGTATTATAATATTGTCCAAGCGCTTTCTCTGTCCCCTTCCGCTTAAAACACTCTTTTTATTTGAAGTTTGCACAATCTTTCGAAAGCCCTTTTCTCTTCTCCTTGGCCACCGCCCTTTTCTTTTTCTGCCGTCTCTGTAGAAAAGCTTTCTCTATCCAAGAAATGCCGAATGAGAAGGGAATGAAGCCGTTGTTTCTAATTTTGTGCATTAATCCACCTGTTTAATCTCTAGTTTATGCCTTTTTTGGGGAATATAAAGACAAGTTTGTTGTTGGAAGGAAAGAATACGTACGTGGCCAAGGCCAGTCATTATTTAACCCAACTTTTTTTTTGAAATGCTTTAAAAATAAAAGATTTTTTTATATTTTTCATCACTTCTGTCCCAATAACGGACTCTAAACCACAGAAATTGATCGCTTAAATTCGTAATTTTGAATGCAAATCCGTTTCTGCGGGCGACGTTATCAAGTCGCGACAGCGTCATTATTTTGGATGCTCTAGAGCTTGAAGGTATGTGACTTATAAAACCCGATAATTTATGACAAAAAATGAAGCCACGCTCGAACAAATTTCGAAGAAGGCGATCCCTTGCCTTATTTTCTCCTGATTGTTTCTTATCTCATGTTGTTATATCATCAGTCGACCAGCACAATTTGTGTCCATCTTTTAGGAAACTTTTATTTCTGGCGTATCAAAACAAACTTGTCAACTGAACTCCGCGAATTTTTAAAAGTCATTTCACGAACTCGACAAAAATTTATATTTGTAGTAATTACTAGGATATGTGACGTTGTCAACTTGACGCGTAGTCACGTTGTCAGATTTCCGTCATTTTTGTTCGTCATGTCAAATTGTTTGTTTTTTTTTTTTGCTTTTCAAATTGAACTTTTTTGGAAATTTTTTGTTGGTTTCCAAAAAAAATCACGTGTGAATATTTTTTTCTAGAATATATGCGAGAATCCTAGCTCGCACTTAGCAGAAACAGCAGAGATTTATAGATCGAAAATCGTCAAAAAATTGACAACGGCTGCGCCTGTAAAGCGCGAGCTAAAACTATTAGGAATTGATATCTAGTCTATGCCAGACGTGCGTGCAAAATTTTTACAAAATTTTGTTAAAAAATCTGAGAGTCGCACATGGAGTACTTCCCTTGCAAGCCCCCCTTCATTTTGAAGCTACATGTTATCGGATGAAAACTTTTTTTGTAAAATGTTGCAATAAATTGGAATAATTATTCGATGAAAATTTTCCTGTATTATAAATGCAAATGATAGAAATTTTATTCAAACAAATCACCATTCATTTTGCATTTTTTTCATCGTATAACATGTCACCCTTCATTTTGAAAATCTTTTTTTTTTTGTTTTTTCGAAAAAGGGCTTCTTCGGCCAAGGGCCCCCCTAGGGGTTTTCTAGGTCAAGCGGCATCTTCGCCTGCAACGAGCTTGTCTCAACTTGGTCGACGCAAATTTTTTGGCTCGCGGAAGGAAATAGCACAGTGAAAAATTTTTCGGAAAGGATCGCGTCGCGCGGAGAAAACGCAATATGCGCTGTGCGGTGCGAACAAAGTCCACGCACTTTATGGAAAGACTAGTATTTATAAAAACATCAGGTAAATATAAGTCAAAAAGCGTATTAATAAGTCAATCCGTGTTCCCTGTCTTCAATAATCTGAGCGTAATAAATATTCCTCGTGTTCATCTCCATTTATTCACCTGTTTCTAACTGACGCCATTTCAGAACTCCCGACACCAACTTTTGTTGGCTTAATTTTTATTCTAATTTTTACGATTTCCTGATACTTGTCAATAAGAAAAGTCCTGCCAAGAAGTGGAGTACATCAAACTGCCGTCAGGTCTTTCGACCTATTGGATTTGAAGAATGGAGTCCAAAGCAATGGACGAATTTTGTGGAGATCCGTTTTGGGTACGTCTAGTTTTAAAGATGATAAAAGACTGAAGATTTATGAAAAAGGTCAAGAAATCTTTCTTTGTTTACTTTTTGTTAAAAAAAGTAAACGAGGGCCAAGTGCAACGTACATTTTTTGTAAAACTTGCCGTTTCTGGTTTTAAATTGACATTATAATATAAAGTTTTTATCGTAGCTAAAAGCCTACTCTACCATTCGTTATAACTAGGTAGTTCGAACTGGCCGTTTTTCAGAAATGTTGCATCGGCGCTCTTATACAGGGTGGGCCTCTCGGCAATGTACAGGGTGTTTCAAGAAATTTAGAACAAATAATTTGCTTATATCTTTGTGTTTGCAGCTATCAACGAATTTCTTTTTGGTTCTGAAAATTGACGTCGTGCGTTTTTAGAATCTCTAAAATTTTTTTTTTTCGTCGGCGGAGGAACCATTTCTCGGCGGAGACAATTAGGGCCTTTTTTAAAAATCACATCGTATTACGTGGCGGAAACGCCGTTGCAACGGCTAAAATCAAGTTTACGTTACACCTCCGTGGATTTTACGGTGTGCTTTTTCGATTTTACGCACATCCGCGGAGGCGCGGCGGAGTCCTCAGATGTCGGCGGGCGTTGTTTTGGGCCTTCGCCTTTTGCAAATTCATGTTGGAAAAGAGGTTGGGGCGATTTTTTGTTGCCATCCGATGCACAGATGGCAAAAATTTCGTACTTTATTTCCCCGGCGGAGGATTCGGCGGAAGCTTTATCAAAGGGTCAAAACAGTCTTAGGAGTCCGGGAAAAATTTGTTCTACTACTTATGAAAGTTTCATTTAACCAAAGATCCGAGAAACTCAATCATTGCAAAATTTTCTAATTTCCACCGACTGCAGGCAACAAAATTTGAAACGAAAATGTCATTGGCCCAGGTCAGGTGCCCTCCGTAAACGTAGACCCGTCATATTTTGGTGGACAAAAATGGTGTGTCTCAACTTCAATTTGATATGAATTTTATAAAAATTGGTGTATGATTGTAATATCTGAAACAAGGTTGGCAGTTCCGAGTGGCCTAATCTGAATAAATTAACTTGCAGGATCCCGCTCAAATGAACACTTCTAAAATACCTACTTTGACGCCTTGTTTTCATTATACTTTGCTGGTATGGGTTCCGACTTTGTTTTTCTGGATTTTATTTCCTGTTCTACTTGCTCAGCTTTATATTACACATAAGAAGAAGAGGTTTGAACGACTACCTTGGTCCAAACTGTTGATCACAAAAATGGTAAGGGAACCAATTAGTAAATTGAGCCTTGTTTAGGCATTAACGTTAGTCAGTGTTCTTGCATCGTTTGTGTGCATATTCCAATACTTCAACTCGAACGCGTCTCAAGTTTACCTCTGGTATCCATTCCTGAGGGCAGTTACTTTTCTAGGAATCTTTGTTTCTCAGACTTTATGCAAGCTTACTGGCATTGTCTCGAGTGGGATTATCTTCAACACCTTACTGATCCATGTCGCTGCTGGGTTGCCTGAGGCTTATGCCTGGCTGGATCGCCTGTTGGGTGGTCAGGTAATAAATTATGTCAGTTTAAACGGACGTTTTTAGCAGTTTGATGAAATTCAAAGTGGATATCGTTGTGTGCTTTTTGCCTTGTTTTATGGAGCCACATTCCTTCAATTAATCATCCAGTTCTGGGCTGATCCTCGAGATCATGTCAAGGAGAAGGTTCCGCTGGAAGAAGGAGTTTATTGTCCCGAATTGGAGTCTTCATACTTCTCTCGATTGATCTTATGGTGGTTCAATCGAATCCCGATCATTGGGTCGAAGCAGGATCTCAAGATGGAAGACCTTTTTGCAGCCAATGAGGAAATGAAGAGCGATCATCTGGCCGGACTCTTCGAAAGTTATTGGAAACCAAAACTTGATTGTAAGAGCGATTTACTTTTTACTATATTTTTAGCGTATAATGAAAAGAAAAGAAAGTTGTTAATGGAGGGTACTACTACAAAGTTGTTGAATGGAGATGCGAAGAATGGACAAGCTAATGGGCAAGTTTAGTTTGTTCAATTTAGGATAACTTTAATTTTTTCAGCAACATCTCAAAACCAACGTCCAAAAAAGAAGCAGCTGTCACCCAACCTTCCGTTATCTTCACCCTTTTCTGCATGTTTAAATTCGAATTCTTGGCTGCAGCTGGGGTCAAGGCAATGGCTGATGTTCTCCAGTTTGCGAACCCCTTTTTGTTGTCCCGTCTTATCCAATTTGTGTCCGCTTCTGAAGGATATCTTTGGCAAGGCGTTGGTTATGCTCTTCTGATGTTTGTGGCGTCAGAAATCCGATCTCTGATGGTTAATTGGTACTTCTACATTATGTTCAGAATGGGAGCCAAGATTCAAGCATCACTTACTGGAGCTGTATACCGAAAAGTAGGTGTTCTGGGAGAGTTTAATCTGAAACGTTACAGACCCTGAGGCTCTCTAGCGCTGCTCGGCGTGACAGAACGGTGGGAGAGATTGTGAATGTTATGGCCATCGATTGCGATCGTTTTCAAATGATTACCTCACAGATTCAGCAATATTGGAGCAGTCCTTTCCAAGTTACCTTGGCCTTGATTTTCCTCTTCAACACTTTGGGAGTGTCGGCCATGACTGGAGTCATCATCATGGTCATCTTCTTGCCTTTATCCATTTATTCTTCTGTTTTATCAAGGAAATTTATGACCAAACAGATGAAGTTGAAGGACCAAAGGACCAAAATGATCAGCGAAATTCTCAACGGCATTAAAGTGATTAAACTTTATGCGTGGGAAGTGCCCATGATCGAGTCGATCGAAGCCACCAGGAAGAAAGAATTGAAATGTATTTTATATTCCGGCTTCATCAGATTGGTGGTGGATGCTTTCAACTTTGCCTCTCCTTTCCTCGTCGCCCTTGGATCCTTTGCTACCTACACTTTGACGAGTTCTGATAACGTCCTGACTCCACAAATTGCTTTTGTTTCCTTGACGTTATTTAATCAACTGAGATCCCCTATGACGATGATTGGGCTCTTGATTAACATGACGGTGGGAGCGATTGTATCCAACAAGAGAATCAAGGATCTTTTGACTGCCGAAGAAATCGATTCCAATGCCGTTTCACGCACCAATGATGAGAAACCGGAAGTAATCAGTATTGAAGACGGTGAATTCTCATGGGATATTCAACCTGGAGCTGATCCAACCCTCACTGATATCAATGTCAAGGCAAAGAAGGGCCAATTAATTGCCGTTGTTGGAAAAGTGGGCGCTGGAAAGTCGAGTTTGTTATCGGCATTACTTGGAGAAATGGAAAAACTAAAGGGGATTGTTGGTGTCAATGGAAAGGTCGCTTATGTCCCTCAACAAGCTTGGATTCAAAATATGAATCTCCAGGATAACATCACGTTTGGAAGGCCTTACAGCAAATATTATTACAGTCGGGTAATTGATGCTTGTGCTTTAAAGTCGGATTTGGAAATGTTACCTCAAGGTGACAGTACGGAGATCGGCGAAAAGGCAAGTTATTTGTTAGAATTCAGAAAAATATTCAAAGCATGGTTTTGTGGGGTCCCGAACACGAACCGCTACCCGACAGTTCGGGTAGCGACTTTACATGGCCCTCGTGCCAGGGCTCGTTTCAAATTTTTATTTGGCTCGGCCCTGTTAGGTCTGCTAATTTTTTCTGATGTAACAAAAATTGGTAGGAGCTCAAAGAAATTTAAAACTGTAAACACGGATCTAAATCCAACCCACGAACTTATTTATTAATACATTCACAATACTCCCGACTTGTCTGGTCAAGAAATTGATATAAAAGACCAAAACTTGCGGCAAAAACGAAGATCCGTAACGTTTATCTGATCCGACCGTATTGCCATTTTTATGATTGCTTTCCAGGGAATCAACTTGTCTGGAGGCCAGAAAGCTCGTGTTTCTCTAGCTAGGGCCGTTTACCAGAATTCGGATGTTTATCTCCTTGATGATCCGTTAAGTGCAGTCGACTCTCACGTTGGAAAACACATTTTTGAAAAGGTCATTGGACCCAATGGACTTCTGCGAAATAAAACAAGAATTCTGGTGACCCACGGTGTTACTTTCTTAAAGGATGCGGATCTGGTCATTAATATTGAAGGTAAATCTTGATTAAGACTTCAAAGTTATGTTGTTATAGATGGACAGATAATCGAGATGGGAAATTATTACGAATTGATGGCTCTGAATGGACATCTGACCAAGCTAATTGCCGAGTTCCAAAAAGGACACGATGCTCAATCAACTAGTTCAGTTGATACGACGTTGGCCAAGACTGGAAGAACTGTCGATGAGATCGGGGACTTTGACGACTCACATCTTTCGATCGCTGAAGATGACCTTGACAATTCCGTTGGGCTCGATCGACAAATGTCGACCATATCTGCCTTATATCGCAGAAATATTGGAACTGTTACATCGCGCATTCGAAAAAGGATATCCGAGAGTGAGAATAACGAAAAACTGATTAAATCCGAGAATCTGGAAACTGGGAGAGTCAAGTCCGTCGTTTATTGGGTGTATATAAAAGCAGCTTCGATTGCTTTCTCTAGTCTTTTCATCGGTGGTTTTTTCTTATTTTCGGCCCTTCAATTAGTCCGGTCCTTGTGGTTGTCAGCGTGGTCTGATGATAACGATGTCATATTGCGCGATCCCAATGCAACGATCTTACCTCTGGAGGTCAGGTTGGGAGTTTACGCTGGAATTGGAGTCCTTGAAAGTATGTTTTGTGCTGATGATATTGATAGACATAACTTTTAGCCGTTTGTTACACTCTCGCGGTATGCAGTCTTTTGTTTGGAGCGCTTAAGGCCTCCAAGAATCTTCATTCTCCAGTCCTGACCAGGATTCTTCATGCTCCAATGTCCTTCTTTGATACCACTCCCATCGGCCGAATTCTAAATAGATTTGGTAAAGACGTGGATGTTGTGGACATAATGTTGCCCATGAATTGCCGATACTTTTTGCTTACCATCTCTCAAGTAGCCACCACATTTGTTGCCATTTCTATCAGCACTCCGATCTTCGTCGCCGTTGTGATCCCCTTGACTATCGTCTATCTTTATGCCCTCAAGTTTTATGTTCCAACTTCAAGACAACTGAAGAGATTGGAGAGTAACAACAGATCTCCTATCTATAGTCACTTCAGTGAATCCATCCAAGGCGTCAGCACAATACGCGCCTTTGACAAGACAAACGACTTTATTCTGGTCAACAACAATCTGGTCGACACTCATCTGAGAGTCAAAAATTTGAGTTTCGTAGCTAATAGATGGCTTGGAATCAGACTGGAACTAATTGGCAACTGCATTACTTTTTCTGCCGCCTTATTTGCTGCGCTGAGCTTTGAATGGGGATTTGTGAGATCAGCTGGTTTGGTTGGTGTCTCCGTTTCTTATGCCCTGAATGTAAGTTTTATATCTTTAACGACGATACGTGCTATTTGTGTAGATTACTGAAGTCCTCAACTTTGCCGTTCGGCAAATTAGTGAATTGGAAACTAATATTGTGTCTGTTGAGCGTCTGAAAGAGTATTCTGAAGTTGACACTGAGGTAAGTTGATGATAGGAAATAGTTTTATTCCCTTAGGCGCCATGGATAAATGAAGACAATAGACCTCCCAAAGGATGGCCAGACACCGGAAGGGTTGTTTTCAAGGACTATGCTACCAGGTATCGTCCAGGGCTCGACCTTGTAATCAAAAACATCAATGCCAACATCGATACTACCCAGAAAATTGGAATTGTTGGACGAACTGGTGCTGGAAAATCATCGCTGACCTTAGCCTTGTTCAGGATGATTGAAGCCGTCGAAGGACAGATTGAAATAGATAAGATTAGAATATCAGACATCGGACTGCATGACCTCAGGTCAAATATCACCATCATCCCGCAAGACCCGGTTCTCTTCAGTGGAACTCTTCGTTTTAATTTGGACCCGTTTCAAATGTAAGCGACATAGAAACTGGATGTAATATTTTCAATGTTATAGGTATGCTGATGAACAACTTTGGCGGGCCCTTGAACTCGCTCACCTCAAAGCGTTTGCCAGCTCATTAAATGATGGACTAGAACATCAGATAACCGAAGGCGGAGACAATATCTCCGTAGGCCAACGCCAGCTTGTTTGTTTGGCCAGAGCTCTGTTGAGGAGGTCTAAGATTCTTGTCTTGGATGAAGCTACAGCCGCCGTAGATTTGGCTACAGATTCTTTGATTCAAGAGACCATCAGAAGAGAGTTTGCTGATTCGACAGTCCTCACAATTGCGCATCGTCTGAATACAATCATGGATTATGATCGGGTGATGGTGCTGGATAGAGGGGAGATCAAAGAGTTCGACGCACCACATACTCTCCTTGCCGACAAAAGCTCCATCTTTTATAATATGGTGGCTGATGCCAATATCGGACAACAGTCTTCCAGTTAATTTTTTGTTTTTATTTTGTTGACAATCTTGTATCGCAAGATTCTTCATTGTTCACTTTCTATTGTGTTCTCAAACACAAATAATCTCCTTCAATCTCGAGTTTCGACCATAATTAATATCGATACCGGTAATAACTTTACTTCACATCTTCTTAACGCCGTATCTTCGCTTCAACCGAAGTCTTATCAATACCACACGTGTTGTTTATCCTGGGCACGGGTAACTGATAAATAAGATGATAATTTTGAAAGGATCTAATATTTATTTGTTTTATACAGACAAAAAATAACTTTAGTTTATCAATGATTGATAAGATCACTGTTCATCCTCCTCTTTGATTGTACGTTTTGATTTGACGGGTAATGGAGCTGGATAGGCAGCAGGGATTGGAGCTGGGTGTGGAGGAGCTAGGGCTGGGGCAGCAAACCCAACTGGAGGTGGAGGTGGGGGGCCTGGACCCCAATTATAAGGTTTAGGAGGGACGTAGTCAAAGAAGGGGGTGGCTGGTCTCCATGCGGCTCCATAAGTGGACCCTGTAGACAAGGTAATGTTATGTCACCGTTATAATTTTAACCGCAAATATTTTTTTTACTTACAAACTGGACAACAGAAGTAGGGCCCAATGTCAACACTGTTGGTGGCATAACAATAAGATTGAGGTGGGCATTGAGGCCAGGGTCGTTTTGGATCACATTCAATTGGCAGAGACGGACCCCCAGGGCATTGGCCAGTGGGGCCAACTGGTGGAGGCGGAGCAGGAGCAAGTAGTTCTCCTGGAGGAGGGGGAAGAGGAGCTCCTACGTACTGACGGCGCTTGCCCGGCTGATTTACAATTTCTGGAGTCGATGAAGGAGCTTCTGGTTGTGTAGTTGGTTCCACTAAGCGGATATTTCTTCGTTATGTTTACTTACCTTGCTGGCCATGCATAATAGGCATTAGAGTTAGTAAAATCGCTACCCGCATGTACATGATACGCATATTGGCACCCTGAAAAAGAGTCTTAAGAATACGATTACTCCCACGAAATTAATTACTGTAACGTAAAGTCGTAAAACAGTTGAACACTGTATAAAACTGCCAACAAGTTAGGGGATGTAAGGCCGCAGAAATGGCTGTAACAATAAAAGAGACCACTACACCCAAAAAAGATGGACCCTTTTGCGGAAACCAGTCCAGTCCATTCATTGGCCACCTTCCTCTTTGCTCGCGGGGTGTTGAAGTGCGCGGAAAGAATAGAATAACAATAAAAAATTGTTGGACAAACAGGGGCTCTCCACACGTCCAAAATGACGTTAAGAAGGCTGACAGTTAACGCTTGTTTGCCAAGTTGGCCTTTACTGAGTTTAGAGTAAAGTTATTGGAGTAATCATTAATAAAAGTCATAATTTGATAAAAGAGAAGATGATACAAAAGAAGGAGCAGATCAATGACTGCGCTCCGTTCCCACCTGTTGTTATAACACCTCGGAAACCTGGTAAAAACTTAATCTCCGGCTGTGACGTCGTCATCTTCTGCAAAAAAATGGCCGACCCACGCACGAGGGATCAATAAAATCGAGGAGAGTCCGGCGAAATAACCCGAAGTTAAGCACATTGCGCAACGGGCGGTAAACTTTTTGTTTGTGAAAATGAATGGACGCAAGCGGATCCATAGAATTTAAGCTTAAATAAACTTGATTGAAAAAAGTTGGGGACAGTTGTGGGAGAAAGTTGCAAATTAATTGCCCCGCCCATTACCGAGCATCTCTCCGAAATCCGATGCTTTTAACGTAACTCGGACATCAGTTACAGTTTGGAGACTAGAAAAGAGAATCGGATCGTCATGGATCAAATTACGGAAAGCGAGATTGGGGAGAAAGGAATCAAGATCAACGAGATTGCAACAATTATGCCGCGTCGAGATGCTGTCTTCGTATATACATACCATTTTCTGCATCGAATGGAAATTATATGTGGTTGTTACACGTACCGGTCTACTGTAATTTTTGTTCCTTGAAATTGCAAACTTGAAAAAAACCTAATTCATTTTTGAAGCTTCTTTGAAGGGTGGTGTTAGCACTAGTGAAAAAGATATTTCATCCACTGATGTACTATTTATTAATCGTGGTTAGAAGTCAACCCATTTCAAAGAAATGAGCGATAAAGTGAAAAGTTATCCAAAAAACAGGCAAAAACAGTGCATTTTTTGGCAAGATCAGGGTAAAAGTTAGTTGATTTTTCTAGAAAAGAGAGTTTCGTAGCTAATAGATGCTACGACCTAATTTTTTACTCAGTGAAACGGGTTGGCTTCGAAACACTCTTCCTATTCCAAAATTTAGGATAAACGTTTTACTGACTGAATACAGGCAAAATAAATATTAAATAATTAGGCCGACAAAAAACTGCCAAGACAATTTTTTGCGAAGAAATTTTTTTCTGAAACTGCGATCTTGAACCGCTTCAACCTCTGAAATTGTAGCTCCAGAAAATGTTTTACTAGGTGGGATAAAGTCAGGGTTAGGTTGACTTTCGACTGCCGTAAAATATGGCTTTTTGAGTGTTAAGACAGTGTTGAAATATCATCACAATTGTGCATCTTAATTGTTTTCGTACAACTACTTCTAGTGTTCACAGAAGGTGTAAAACGACAAGAGGACAAAATAATGGACGGCGATCAAAGCGGATTAAATCTCGTGAATCCGAGTGTTTGAATAGGTAAACATTCTGAAGAAATAACAAAAAACATTGCAAATAATGGAGAGAGTCTAGAGAAAACGAACAAAAAATGGTTTGGACGATTATAATTCATAATCCAAGTAGACATCCAACGTCCGAAGAACCGGAAATAAACAGATATAAGAGCCCGGACCCTCACTCAGGGAATGGGCATTCCGGCCAACGACCTAGACGTGCTGATATTGCAGGGAATTTAAAACATTTTCTTATCGTTTTAGAGAGTCTTTTCTCGATGTAAAATTGTTTCGTTGCAATGACGCAGCTCCTTTTACCTATATTTGGATGTTTTGAGAGCCCCGAAAATCACTTCAAATTTGCGTGAATTCGTTCCAAAGTTGTGTCGCGTCCTCAGTTGGATCGTATCTTCTCTCTCTGTTATGTCCACACTACGTTTTTTAAGTAAATACCGGAAGTGGAGAGAGTAGTGTAAGTGAGACGAGATCAAACAGATCCCTGCAAATACTCGTCTTGTCGCTTTTATGAGGTCATCAGGAAGTGAAGGACTTGATTATTCAGTCATGGAGGAGCCATTGTTGGCAGTGCTGATTCATTTATTACTTGCCGCTTACTCACTATCGCGTTGAGGTCTTCATTACTCGTCGAAGCTATTTATGTTATGTCTTACATTATTTTAGACGTCATACGAAAATGGTTGCCCCTCCCATGCATCGAACGAATCATCAACGAGATTTCAACATTCAACGACTTCTTCTCGGCTTGTTTATTTCAAACATGATAGAAATAAGTGAGTTTTCGAGTTCTCCGGGATTTCTTTCGCTTTTCCAAATTTGCGTTTGGTCCTGACTGGAAAACTTGGATATTCGCAATTTTTGGAAAATTGAGTTTTGCGTCAACCGGGATTCGAACCCGGGTCTCCGGCTTGGGGGGCCGGCATCCTATACCACTGGACTATTGACGCCTCGCAACAGCCGTGGCCAAGAGATTATAAATATCAGAAGACCGCAATTCTCAGGCTCATGGGAACGGTGGCCGAAAAGGCGAAAATTTAGTGGGAAAATCAAAGAACCCGCCGTAAAACGACTTTTAATGCAAAACGAATTCGGGAACGCCGAAGTCATCCAAGTCATCGTGAACAATTTGTAATCAGGCATTATTTTAGCTAGAAGTGATGTTTTCACAGTCATTGGTCCACAGAATTTGGTTGAGCCAACAGGAGTCCGGCACGAAAGAAGTAAGCGTTGACAATTTGCTGTGATAAAAAATGACGGCGATCCCAATCCATGGAGCTTAATTTTTTCGGTTGTAAATTTATACAACGGTTTAGATGTTGACTCCTCAGCTATGATGGATGCCGAATTTGTACCCCAACCCGATCTCGCGCCCGTAAATGTGAATACGAAAAGGCGCCAGTATGTCCCAATTGCTCCAGTGTTATCACCAGCCCTGCCCCCTCCTCCTCCGCCCCCACCAGCTGCTGGTGTTTGCCCTGGAGGCCCTTCTCTGCCAATTGAATGTGACCCTAAACGACCTTGGCCTCAATGTCCCCCTCAATCTTATTGCTATGCCACCAACAGTGTTGACATTGGGCCTTACTTCTGTTGTCCAGTTTGTAAGCAAGTTAACATTAGTAATACGAGAAGTATAAGATAATAAACGCTGAAGATAATATTCTTCAGGGTCCACCTACGGTGCCGCATGGAGACCGGCCACTCCCTTTTACAACTACGCACCACCTCCTCCCCCCAATTGGCCCCCAGTCCTCCGGTCGGCAATCGCTCATTGGCCGGCATCTGCTGTCGGTCTTCCACCCATGCACCGTGCAAGACGTCCGGCTAGGCTCGCAGCCGAATCCACCCCAGCTCCAGAAGAGTTAAAACGAATGATCGGAGCCATGAACGATTGGGTGGCGCGGGAACAAAAAGAACATGACGAAATAACCGCCTCAGGTACAGAACCAGAAGAAAAGGTTTAAATATTTTTAAATATTGAAGAGATCAGATATAAGCGCTTAATATATTATATTACCCGTTGTGTTATTAATACAGAGTAAACATCAGAATAAAAGAAATCAATAGAGTAGTTGAGGACTGGAGGGGTGCGTAGTCGTTGAATTCATCGACGAATTTGAGTAAATTGGGATCTGAGAGCATTTCGTCCACTTCGGGGACCAGATGAAACAGAATTAGACGGTCATCTTCGGGAAGATCCTTGTACTTCTTGATGAAACCACCGAAAACTTTGGCCGCTTCGTGTGAATAGGTGTCATAATCCCCTCTGGCACGACTCTCCAACGCCTTGATCATGTTTGGAGAATTGCGGTGAAACTGGAAAAATAACAATTACTTGAAACACTTCAACTATCGCAATAAATTGGTTTGTAACCAATTAACTAACTACTTTTACAAACCTCAAAGTAAATTTGCATAATTCCATGATCCCGGACTGGTTTCCTATGACACTACGCGGTAAACTTGGCTCGAATCCATCTTTTGTGGATGTATGGCGAAACTTTATAAAGAAAAAGAACACTAAATTTAAAGTTCTAACAATTGAAAAATTCAAAAAGTGGGTCCGAAAATTATAAAAATGTTATTTTTACAAATCCGTATATATGGCTCGGGACTTCTAAATCTCTCCGCAAGAGTCCATCCGAACCCTGCAAATTTAGTACAAAGTTAAAAGTTGCGCAATCTGACATAACATTGCGCAATTTCTCTCTTTGTAAGAATTTCTGCCTTTCTCTGTCGTCTCCTCCTTTTTTGTCAACTTTTAACTTTGGACTAAATTTCCAGGGTTCGGATGGACTCTCTCGGAGAGATTTAGAAGTCCCGAGCCATATATGTAGGTATACGACAAGTGATATTTCAACCCTCTATATGGTACGTTATGCCAACCATCACTGATTGATTATACTTGCCTCTTTCAGGAAATCGATGAGTGTTTCGCTGACATTGTGATCGTGGAAATGTTGTTCAATATCTTTCAAACTGGGACTCTCCAACGTATCGTTGAGCAGTTCGTCCTCGATTCGTCTTGTTAAATTAGAGTCTAAAGGACAAAAAAAATATCAAAACACGTTAAAATAAAACCTAACAAGGGAAGTACTTGAAGTGTGACGCTCAGATTTTGATGAAACTTGGCATAAATTTAGAATAATTTTTTCTAAGATATATGCGAGAATCCTAGCTCGCGCTTTACAGAAACAACCGAGATTTTTAGATCAAAAGTCGGCGAAAATTTAGGACTTTTTGCCGAATTTCGGCACGAAAAGTTTCATGCCTATTTCAACTGTAAAGGATAATGTTTCTACAAAAAATCAAATTTTTCCGCACGAAACTGCCAAAGTTATGGCCAAAAAGCGCTTTTCTCTCTGACCGCTCTCCACGTTTAGCGTGCTCTCTCGGCGGCAAAAATCGTTCGATATCTCGGCGGCGCCCGCAAAGCGCGAGCTAAAACTTTCAGGAATTGATATTTAGTCCATACCCGATGTGTGTGCAAAATTTAAAGAAAATCTGAGCGTCACACTTGAAGTACTTCCCCTGTAAGATAAAAAAAATAATAATTTAAAATCAAGTCTCAAAAATGATTTACCAGAATCCTGACAGTATGATTGATAAAATAACAAGGAAATGAGGGTGAGTAGAAGTAAATGACTATAATTACTCATATCAAAACAGCGTCAGTTCAGGGAAATAAAATATTTTCTCCAAAAAAATAATTTCCGAACCGGTAGAGCGAATTAATTGCCCTGGGGAAAGAAACGACGCGCGAACATCACACTCACAAATAACACGGAGATGACTGAAGAAACCGTCGCTAATGTTACCTTCATTGATGTTACAGTCATTATCCGCGAGCTTCAAAAAAATTACAATTGATGCAATATTTTCCCCAATTTCTTTGAATGAAAGCGACCCATTGCTTAAAATAATTAATTAATTAAAGAGGTATATATAATTGCTAGCCAACAGGTTGAAGTGGCCATTATGTAGATCTACAAAAGAGTTGTCCGATTAACCTGGATTGAGACCGAAGAAGCCCCCAACCAAAGAGGCCCCAGAACCAAGAGGCATTCAAAACGAAGGGTCCTCAACATGAAGAGGCCCCTTTTAAAAAATTTTAAAAATTCAAAATGAGGTGTGAAAAAAAATTGTAAAGTAAAAAAATATTGTGTGACATAATACGTCGTTTTTATCGTATTATTACTTCAATTGATTAAAATCAATAAATTAAATTCAAAAAATACATCGTATATACGCAACATTTCACAACCTATTTTTTCATTTTGCAATTTTTTCCCCATTTTTGGGGCCTCTTCGCCTGCAACGGTTAGCCTGAAGTTGGGATTGGTACCCCAGAAGGTTCAAATGGCTTATCCGTTGCCCATAATTTAGTACCCAAAACTTCTAAATTCCTACGATTTTTGACAAAAACTCACAAAAGAACCGTTCAATATGACAATCAAAATGAAAAAAATCAATTTTACATGACGAAACCCATCCCAATTTGACAATGAGATTGACGCGTCAAATTGACCCTAATGTTGTGTAATGAGACAACCTGTACGAATAGTCTGCTCTTTTTTGTGACTATAACTTTGAACCTCCGCTGGATAAGAGCGGATCATTTTTTCTGTTATCTCTCGTTCCTTCCCTACACTCTTTGTAGTCTCTTCTCTCTACTAATTGATTCACTCCGACATTTAAACTGTCAGGTATTTATTCCTTTTAAGAATACATTACTCTCTTCTTAACCACAGCTTAATAGCAAAATTCTGTAATATAATTGTTAATAATGTCCAATCCTCCGGGAAATCCACCCCCGCTTCCCGCCCGACCCCCACCAAGCATGATTCCGTCTACAGCATTTGGATCTCCTTATAATATGGGGATGGATTCTTACGGGTATAACGGGGGATATATGGGGAATTCATTTGGATCACCTTATGGAATGGGAGGTTATGGAGGATATAATAATATGTATGGCGGTGGAATGTAAGTCGCAAGATAAACATTCCCACCTCACTGTATCCTTCCAGGTACAATTCTTATGGCGGAATGTATCAGCCATCCGCTGAGAGTAATTTCATTCGAGTTGCCGAAGGTAAGCCACCAAATTTCGAGTATTACTCGTGAGATTAGAATCTTCTAGAAATGCCTTTCAATCGATAGAATCTGTAGTCGGAGCAGTGACTTCGGTGGCCAACATGCTCAACTCCACTCATAATGCAGTATTCAGTTCATTTCGTGCAGTGATTGGAGTAGTTGAACAATTCGGAGTAATGAAAAGACAAGTCAGTTTAATGATCACGGTGCTGCAGCCTTTTTTTACGTTGTCAACGTTTGGTTATGTATATCCTTTAGATAGCTGCAGTCATCTCATTTACACTACTGCGATGGCTCCGGATCTTTTGGCGGAAGCTTCTCGTATTTTTGAAGCTCAAACCCGCCAACTACGCTTCAGTAGACTCAGCTTGGACTGATATTCAAGCAGGACGTAAGCTGGCTTTTGTCATCGTATCTCGTATTTTAGCTCCCCAATCTATTGGAATCAGTTGGCCAGCCATTCTTTTCTGGCTTGTAGCGCTTGGAGGCCCTTATTTGATCTATAAATGTGTTTCCCAAATGGTGAAAACGATCGAAGAGAAGCAGAAATGGGCGACTGGGGCTGCTGAACATTATACTGCCGAGGCCCTCTTTGACTTTGCTCCTCAAACGCAACAGGAACTCGGCTTTCAAAAGGGAGATCGCCTAAGAGTTGCACCTAAGAGCGAACAGCCAAGGATCAGCGGCTGGATCATGGCAGCCACTGAAGATGGACAGCGAATTGGACTGGTCCCTATCAATTATGTTAAGGTAATATTACATGGAATCTAGCTAATCCATACTCCAGGTGACTAAAAAGACATCGGAAACTCCACCACGAAGCTCATCCCCGCAAGTCCCGACCATGGCCAATACCTCCGGGTTCCCCTCAATCGCTCCAGAGCGTCATCCCGATCTTACATTCAATCAAACTTACGAGAGCCTTTTTAATGGTCAAAGAAACTTTTAATTTAAATAAATTTTGCGAAACATTACTTGTTATATTAGAGATCTGCGAAGACTGATCTGAATTCCTTGAGGAAGACAATCACATTTCTGTAAGGGGTCAGCTTGTTTATATGGTTCCCATCAAGTCTTATATTGCTTATCATCTTCCTCTTAGCTTGCACGGTTGCACAAACATCCTTTCCTTGAAGGCATGTAACCTTCGAAGAGATTAAATGGACCATCAGATGCTGTTTGGAGATCAATGAGGCAATATTGATAAAGCAGATTTCCAAATATTCACATAGTCGAAGGAAAGATCGTATCTTCTGAACAACATTTTATGATTACACTTCAACTTACCTTATCATCAAAGATTTCGTAACAAATCTGAAGCGATAAAAGGATGAGGGATGCCGCAATATGCTTGATTTTATCTAATGTAGCGTGTTTTACTAAAACGAGGAATACTGTATGCATGAACATAATCACAATGTACGTGTACATTAGGTCCTGGGGCAACAGAATCAAGTGGTTCTCCTAAATCATGAAAAAAATCAATTTCTGCTCTTACCTCCAAAAAGACATCAGGGAATATCGAAGATGAACCCTCCAGAACCTTCGTGACCTCAGCCTCGTCCTCAAACAAATCCACAAACAATTTAAAAGCACTTGTGTATCTTTTCAAAGAAACGTATACCTAAAAATAAAAATAAAAAATTAGATGCTTACCTGTAACAACTGAATATCCAGTCTTTTCTGTTCATCTTGGTCCTTGGTGGTTTGAATGGCTAATTTTATAAATTGAGAGGCGGTTTCCATATCTCCATTAGTCAGCAATGATTGTGCGATTACAGAAAACCCATTCTTGAGTCCTGGGTTCGACAAGACTGACCTCAATGTCGGCTCAACCTGCAAGTCTGAACTACAAACTGCAAATAATCATTACCTGAGCGTCGGGAAGACTATTATGTCGTTGGCAAGCCTTGAACACATTCCGGACAACAGCCATCGCATCATCATATTGCCTGTGTATATGTCCCAAAGCAGACTTTGTCATTATCGGTTCATAAGACCTCGAGCCAACCACTGACTTCCAATACGTTTCCATTCCTCGCTGAGACATATCTCTCACATTACCAGGCAAAACCACCAGAAGATTGCCTCCTAAAAAGTTTTGGAACGAAAAAATTACTGTCTCACCTTCACAGACATTGCTCATGGTGATCGCGTAGCTTAACAAGAACTTGCATATCTCAGCATCTAACTTCGTGTCCATATGATGCACCAAATTTTCGCTTATCTGAAGATAACTGCACGATTCAATGTTCTTCTCAATAAACTTGGTAACCTCCGACGGATTAGGTTGTTCTTGGGAAATGAGTATTGTTATAATTCGCAATGGTGCACTCCAAAAATCTCGTGGTCTGGCAACAGTCAGTCCAAGTTCACTTAAAACATCAAAGAAAGAATCTCTCAGTAAACCCAGCGAATCAGCGATGCAACAGTCCATCATGATCTTAACAATGAAAGCGCCATCTTTTGAAGTCAACTCTCCCATTCTTTGATCCACAATATGGTGTTGTAAGTAAACTAAAACAGAAACATAAATAAATTTCTCAACGTCTTAGCCTTACACCAAATCAAGTCCACCGGAGAAAGATTTAACGGGGACCATGTTGGTCGACTGGATCTTTCGCTTTTATATTGTTCCATTATTTGTCTCTAAAAAGACAAACTCTTTAAAATTAGCATTGTAATACATACCCCGACTTTTTTGAGGCCCATCGACGGATTTACAGCCAAAAGCAACAACTTCTTCATCCGTAAAAGAGGCGAATCTCGGGATGCTGAGAGAGGATCCAGAAATATTTGCGGATTCAACGAGTTATGCAGTTTCTCAGCGAAGTCGGATCCCTTCCACGCCTCGATGGCCTCGTTTATCTTCTGAGAACAAATCTTTCTGAAGTCCTCATCTTGGCCGTGGTTCTTATAAAAATAATCAGCTAGTGAAATTACATCTTTAGCCGACTTGTACTTCAATGCCATTTCTAATTCCAACCCCTAAACAAGTAATCACATATACTGAATAATGTAAACCAACCCTAACCAACTTCAACGGAATTTGTTTAGAGGCTTGTGCTGTGATAATATGCGCTTTTACAGCCCAGTAACTACTCTCACTTCCAACTGTGTTTCGCAGGGCCTGATAGGCTTCTCGGACCCTCCTGTTCTCGATTTTTGACCTTATCTGATCTATTAGAAGTCCGTTATCCATGATCGTCATTTCTGAAAGCTAATGACGATCACTCTTGTAAAATCAACAAAGAAGTCAATTATACATGTTGAACTATACATGCATTGCATAGCATTCGTTCAATTGTTGATCAACTCCAACTTGTTTAAAAAATATCTCCAATAATTATATAAAAATATAGAAAATCGGCCGCGAGCTGCCAATCAATTGGACATTTAGCGTTTTTCCAATATAAAAAGTTGAGACGGGTTACAAAATGTTTATGATACAAACTTTTTTCTATTTACATGTAATAAATGATATGACCAGTATAAATTTGAGAATCAAAACTGTTGTCTACTGCGTGTCCTACTAGTCCGAAGAGGAAGAAATGGTTAGGGTAAGCTGGGCATATTGTTGACCAGGTCCAGAAGGACGAAAGAACCGATGAAATTGACGATTTGCTCAAAGTGCCTGTAGACCTTTGGTGGATCCGGTATAACAATATCCTTGGAGGTATCCTTGATCAGCAAGAATAGCTGTAGCTTTGGTATTGCTGCGGTTTCCATGATCATTAAAGCCGATTCCTCCTCCTCACCGGGCGTTAGGAATACTATAATTCGCTTGTTCGTATGATCAAAGTACCGGCATCTATGTACTAATTCGTTGCTGGATTTCATGAACTTGATGAATCTCGTGAAATTAAGATCTTTTAGGAGGGATTCGACCTGCGGCTGTTCTGTTCCGATCTCTTGAACTTTCACAACTTTAAGCATAGCTTCAAGGTCTTCAAAAGACATTTCTGGCACTACCGACTTTGCGGAGTTTGAGTCTCCCCCAGAATCATTTTTGGTAGCAAATAAAGTTGTTCCATGTGGTCTCCTAGATCCACTGGTCGTCTTCGTGGCATGCATTCTCTTCCAAAGGGAGTTGATATAACAAATTTTGTCAGCTTCCTCATGGACGAAAGCTTTTAACTCTTCTTTCTTCACTTTCGCACTTTCTTCTAGCAAGTGTTGTAAACGACGTTGTTGATTCGACAAGTAATGGACATAGGTAACCTGAAGATACAAAATAGAGAAGGTGGCATTGTTCTTACCTGTTCAGGAGGCAATACTGCATCACTCTGACGTTTTAGGAGCCCATCTAGATAAGCTTGATGATGTCTTCTCATCGGGGACTTCTGGATAGACAGTCTTTCTTTGTCGCCGCTGGAGATATCAAAGGATACAAAAGAGTTGTCCGTGTCTTCCGGTTGTTTCCACACTTCATCCATTCGATCAGAGAAGTTGAGTTTTGTCAAGGATCCTCCCATTCTCCTCGAAGAAGCGGCGGTTTGAGGAATGGCTTCACTGTTTCTTCGGGTCTCTGTCTTCCTGGTTTCTGCCGAAGCTGATCGGATTGTCATCCTAGACCCAATCTGAGAGCAATTCTTTTGAGATCCCGTGAGATATCCGTGTTCAACCGGAGGAGCTGATCCATTCTTGTCGTTTCGATCGTTTCCAGATTCGCTTTTCCTTCGCAACGTGTTTATATCTCCTCCACTGTAATGTCTCCGTTGTTTGGAAGTGGAGGCTGGTTGGCGTGGTGGCCGGATTCCAATGTCATACATGAGTTCATCAGTCGACATTGCGATCAGCTCGTCCAGAGCTTTGATCTCCTTTTCTTTCAACATCTGGTTTCGAAAAGAATCCATTCTAAACAAAGATTTATGTATCTTTTGTTACCCTTACCTGCTAACATGGGCTTCTGAATAACTTTGAGAGATTTCGTTCTGTCGAAGTATGTCCGGTCTCTCAACTCGAGTAAATTCACCTCCAGTTCCGCTAGCGTTTGAACTATTAGATCCAGAATACGTTGGCTCTCTGAGATATATCAGCGAATGGGCGGTCGATAAGCTTTCAGTGGATGTCGCCTTCCGAGCAAACTCGCCACTTCCCGCTCTTCGTCGCATTGAGCCTGTTGCATCGGACAGAGAAAATTCTAAGAAATAATTTGATTATCGTTTTATAACTTACTAAATTCTTCAGCCACCATGATCACATATAACTTTAGGTCAATATGATGAGCATTCGTATGCCCCGCCCTGGTGTCGTTGAGCACAACGCTTATTAATGTGTATTTGTGTCCGGATATTTCTCTGAGCTCTTTGGAAACTAGCATATATTCATTGGCTTCTACATTCTTGATTCTGACCACTTCCCATCCAAATTGGGCCTCGTTGTTCAAGAAGTACTCCCAAACAACATGGGAAGTTACTTTCAGAGATTCAAAAGTCGCCCGTTCTTCGTAAATGCAATTCTGTGCAAACGGAGGACGGCATCCATAGTACTGTAAGAAATCGATGAGGAAGGCATTAGTGTTATATCCCCTGTTGAACAGCACTTGTTGTCCGCCCGTTAGATACTTTGAAACCATACGAAGATGGAAGTCGTATGTAAACGAATGGACGTGGCAACGAGAAATCAGATCATTCTTTATCAGCTCAATCTGTCTCATGTCATCAAGATCCTTCTGAGGCACTGCTTGATCCGGATGGAAATAATCCCCGAGTTGAGAGGCATTCCAAAACAAGAAGCTCACCTAGAAATTAAGTAGTTTTGGTTACGTTAAATCTAAATATAAGTACAACGATAAGTTTTAAGATGACGTACCGCAAAATAGGGCTCTACAAAGGTGACGTGGGCAAATATTATACCGCCAGGTTTAGCCAGATATAGCCATACATTCGGTGCCTGTGTGCAATCAGCGGTGTATTGCAGGTTGAATGCTTGACTTTGATTTTCCGAATGAATTTTTAAAAGATTCAACCCGATCAATTGAAGATAATGAACATAGTCTTCCACAAGCATGTACTGTATCTTTAATATACAGAACTCATCTTCGATTTTCGGATGGCTGAGAACTGAGTGCAAAGGTGCGGAGTTGATCATATTCGACGGCTTTCTGTGAGCTTCAACTTCTTCACCTAATTCCGGCTTCTTTTGATTTTGAATGAAGCTGTAAGGATAATATTATGATGGGATACATATTATTAATACTTACGTCATTGTTTTCGACCGATTTTTTGTTGACGGTCCACTTGAATTCTTGGGTCTCAATGATGACTTCAATCCCCCGGCACCCTGTTTCTCATCAGGTATTGATGCCTTCTTTTGGGTGTTTCCGGTGAGGCTGGGAAAATTGGAACGGACCCCGCCATCGGCCGCCCTTCCAGAAATTCCGACATGAGAGGCGAGATTCTTTCGGATCTGGGCTATCTGGTATCGCCAACTTGTAAACAGCAATAAAGGAGACTGGACAAAGTGAGCGTGATGAGATCTAGATGTAATTCGGACCAGCCCATCTTCTCGTAATTCGGAATGCCCGTTAATTAAACTTCTATGGATTTCATCAAATAATCTGTGGTCGTTCAGTTTAGCTCTCACGTCATCCCTTAGTGTTAACATTTGTTGAGTTTGATCTTCGAATGGATCAGCAGAAAAGTTCTTGGCCACAAACGCAGAATCTGAAAAATAAACATTGTACCTATCTCCAATGCGATGCTTACCGGAGAATCGGTACAATTTTAGTAAGAGTTGAGCATATTTTCTCGGTATCTTTGAGAAATCTGGTGTCTTTAGGTCATCTGGTGGGTACTCATTTCGGACAAGAGTCTCCGGATCTAGCCATGTAAGCAACAGGTACGAGTTGTATTTGGTTTCATTCGTCTTTAACGTACTTAGATGAGTCACCCCCATTTTGTGAAGTCCAATCTCCCTAAGAAGACGGCTTCTTGCATTATGCCAAAGAACTGTCCTCTTCACAATCTCTCTGGCCTTGTCGCATAAGTCTTTGGTGTAATTGTATAAGAACATTGTGATCGTCTCGCCTCTGGCAACAAGATAGAATACCCGTTTTCGCGGAATGAACGGGTCGTACAGTGGAGCAAAACGCTGGATCCTTCCTACAATTTTAATGCGGTTAAGTAACTAAACAGACGGCACTAACCTCCATCGTCGACCGATTTATCAAATGATGACTTGGAGTCCTTGCCTTTGGGAGACGGGTTCGTTTGTTTGTCGTAAAATCCAAACAACACCAACTCAATCTCTTCGTCCTCGTCAATAGTTATTGCTCTTCCGAGGTCTACTTCAATTGGTTCCAATAGAGTGTTAATAGAATTCAATGTCTGAAGCTTCCTTCCGGATGGCATACAGTAATCAGTGGATGGCATTCCAGGACTGGGAGACACGCATTTGCAGATTGTAAGCCTCTCACTTTTAAAAGTTGGTTTTAGTCGATCAAACACCACCTGGAACAAAATTCTGACAATTATATACTATAGCTACCTGCATAATCTTTCTAGCCGAGCCATCGCAATCCAACATAAAAGTACATCTTTTTACAGAGTTATCCACATTCACGGCATTCTTCGTCCCATGCGCACAGTACTCCAACCAATCCGCGGCAGTCTGTGCGAAATCGACTCTCATCCATTCCAATGCCACAGGGGATCCTGCTGGCGATTGTCTGGACGAGGACTGCGGAGGTGGAGTACTAATTGCGTTGTCTTTATGAGAAGCCTGACGGGGTCGAGTTGGAGAATGATCGGACTTTGTGATGTTCGCAACAGCATTAATTGCTGCTGCTACAACCCCTGAGGGAGGATTGGCACCCATAGAAGCTAGCCGCGGAGGCAATTGAACTTGTGCCTGGAATTGAGACTCGTCCATCGATTTGCCGAGAGCTGCAGCAACCGATGCATGGAGAGCGGGTGACGCCTGTCTAACATTGTCACCTCCACCGCTTCCGCTTGAACTCCTATTCATATTGTTAAGCCCTACAACACTCCCATAGGGACTCTGTAAACCGCCTTGGGGGTTTGAATTTCCACCACTGTGGTTGCCGTGGTGTCTGCTTATTGAAGACGGCGGAGTCATGTTGTCCTCGTGTTGGTAAAAACCGTATATTCCCATCGCTGTAGAACTCAGTGCGGGTGTCGAGTTTTGGGGTGGGGTTGGATGAGATCCATCCGCCTTCGAATCGTTAGAACCACCTAAAAATTAACAATCATCATGAACAACCCTACCGGAAGATGGATTTGGCGAGCCAGGGACATCATACTTGTAGTCCGCCATAGCGGCCGCAGTAACCTTGCTCATAAAGTCATCGTCAAGTTGCAACGCCATTCTGTTTAAAGGATTTGGCTGACTTTGTGGATGCAGTTGGTGGACAGGTGATGGAGGGCACTGAGGTTGGTGGAATGGTTGAAGACCAGGGTTGGAACTCACGTCCGACCCTAATCGTCGTCTGTCTCCAAGTACAGTATGTCGTCGATGAGTAGGCCCTTGGTCCTGACGAGACTGTGCAATCTGTTGAGCTCGATATGCCGCTATCTCCTTCGGATCCATGGTACCTGTTATTGCCTTGGGGTTTGAAGTAGGAAGAGTAAAGGATCCAGAATGCGATTGAACACCGGCCGATTCAAACATTGACATGGCCAGGAGACCATATTCAGTAAGTATATCACAAACAGCTTGCTGAGTTGTGACCATAAACTTGTGATCCAGTTCCTCAAGATTTACGTTTCCATTCTGCCAAACGTTAAACTCTATTAACGCAGGGTACTCTCCTCTCTGTTTTCTGACTGGATCGAAGATCTTCTCACAACATGCAAGGCTTTGCATGTAGACCATCCTTTGATGGAAAGTTAACTGCGACTTCTGGACGAAACCGGATAAAGGATTGGCCAAGTCACTTGGTTCTGCATGACTCGGATGAGAAATCCATTCCATATTGGAATTGAGAAGCTTTACTTCAATGCAAGCCAATCCCACATCCCTTCGGCCTTCTCCTGAAAATATTTTCAAAATGAATTTCAATATTCCCTCACCTGGCGGCTTGTTTATGAGATAAAATTTTGGATTGTAATCGGGCGGATTCTTGGGAGCGCCTTCGGGTACGAATGGACAGAACGCCCAAGCCACGGAATGATGATGCGTTCGATGAATAGCTGAGGGATTTGGGGATCTTGGAGTGACAGGACTAAAGGCGCCACTTTGCTCACGAACATGAGGTGGGGTACAAAACGTTTCCAGTTGTTGTTCCAAGAATCCAAGGAATGCACGATGGAACGGGGCAACAGCTTTTGGAATAGAATAGAAGTAGACTTCAGCTGGTTGGTGAGGATCTCGTTGAATGAACTTTGCATCACTGTAATCAAGACGAACTTGAGCATTCTTCAAAAGAACGTTCTGGATTTCCTCCAGAGTTTTCATGTCCAACTTTTTTTGTAACATTTCTCTCATTTGTTCGGTGACTTCTGGTGACGGTTCTTTAATACCATAAATCGCCCACAAAACGTGACTTCCTGGTCTGCTCCGTCCGGGCATCTTTGGCTGTTTATCACCAGGTGTGTCTTTAAATTCCTGTCCAAGCTGTTGTTCATCACAAGAGAAAATCCTCATATAAATGACGTTCCCATTGGCTTCCTTGAAGACATAAAGATTGGGCCGATTCCGGACGGCAAAGAGTTCTAACCCCATTCTGATTGCTTTAATCCCCATATCTGCACCGCCGCTGTGCAGTCGGTTAGTCGGCTGGAGCCTAGGATGGATTTCGAACCAGTGATGCCATACAATATCACAGGCGAAGTACCCAGGTGGGTATTTACATCTAGCATAGTGCATCCATTCGGTGTCCAGACCTCCTTCAAGCTCGACATCAGAGGTGTGTGAGTCTTCATCATCAGAACCACGGTCATTGTCAGTTTCCGATGGGAGGCGCATAAAATTACGGACATGATTTCCAATCCGTTCGTGAGTAAAGAAAGTGACTTGTCGACGTTGTTGGGGTTGGTTGGAAGCACTGTTATGTTTATCCAACTTATCAGGGCTATCGAGGAGCAACTGGTCGCACTCTTCAGTTTGATGGAGTTGATCAAGTAAGAGTTGTTGGTTAACTACCTTTATCTGCTTCTCTACTGCGAAGACTGCTTTGTGGAATAGGGCTTTATGCGGGGAGTTATAACGACAGAAGAAGTAAACTGAGGTCTTGTATTGGTCACCTCTTCGGACGTGTATCATTATCCAAAAGTCATGTCGATATGCCTCAGTCTTATCATGACATGTTTTTTGTGACGATTCATCGGAGCTGACGTCTGAACTTTCATCGTAGATGCCAGACTTTTGAAGCCATTCCAGTGGAAACCCATTTTTCATTTTAGCAGATCCCGCTTCAATTGCAGGCTTCAAAGGCGACAGTGGAGCAATACCACCTGTAAACAACTTCGTCACACGAACAACAACGTAATATTACCTGAACAGACTTGTTCTTCAGCAATCAACGTTCCGCAATCACTTCCAACCACAAATCCATCGGTCTGACTGATTCTTCCTTCGGATCCAGAAGATAAAACACGAATGTCATCGTCGTCATCACCAGAGGTCTCTCCTTCTGTCTTCGATGCTAATGAAGAAGCTCTTGAGAAGCTGCTGGATGAGTGATATCTGCTAGCCTGACGTTTTAAACGGCTTCTTCTGCCAGCGAGCTCACCATTTGGATTGTCCAAACACACATCATTATCAGCTTTATCATTGAGCGGTTGCACTAAGTCGATCGTTTCTGTCTCACTCTCCGAAACTTCAGAGGAGAATTCACTGGATGATTTCTGGTCAGGAACATTCCGAACTACGGTCTCCAACACCAATCCACAAGACGAAGCTCTGCGCTTCTGGGTTACTGACGAAGCTGCCGACCTTTCCTGAAGCGTTTCTTCGAGACGCAGAGGGTCATCCACCGAGCTTGCATAGAACACAAACGGGTCTGGATCATCATCAAATAACTGTTGCGCGGAAAAATATTCCTCTGGGATTTCGAAGTCAGATACCGTCGGATTCTTGAGGTCCATTCGTCTTAAATTTACATACTCAATGGGCAAACCATCAAGACGTTCTCCAAGACGCTTCACTCCATCCTCGACATCCCCGATGAGCACCAGCCTCTGCTCGTAAGCCATAAATGTAGCCTCCGGGTAGTTGACCACAGAGTATGGATCGGATTCAGTTGGTCTGGAGATCTGACGAACAAAACAAAACATTGAAGACAACATTCTCCAAGTCGGTTGAGGCGATGGTGGAGGAAGTTCACAAAGTCGCCCATAATCAAAAAACAATTCCGTTGAAATTAATCTCTTCACAGCCAAATGAAGCTGAGTAATCGTGGCATGTTCAACTTTTGGTAATTGATTTAGAAATTCGTTGGCTCTTCTGAGACCTTCCTGCCGATGCGGAACGGATTTGTAGTCGGCATCTTGGATGACGACACTGCACTCTCCTTTCTCGTCCCTGTCGTCTTGGTGTTTACTAGAATGCCGGCTCTTGCTGGCATATTTTTCCTCTTCCATCTCTGCCAGATATTGCTGATTCTCCTGATATCTAGCGTAAATTAAATGTGGGTCGGTAAGTTGAAAAGGAGAATTCGAGGGAAGTGGCCATGTCAAAATATACATGTCAACAATGATCTTTAACTCCGTATGACACCCTATTCCTTCACAGACCGGATGCAAAACTCTGTTGGCACATTTGGACGAGATTTCAGTCAAGCAATTCGGGATGTTGGCCATTGGAAAGCTGTCCATTTCACCTTCGGGACCAATAACTCCAATCGAGAATTGAATAAACAAAGGCCAAATATCAGTTGAAGAAAGCTGGATAATATCATCATCATCGTATTGATTTCCTGGAGGTATTCCATGCGGGTCCTGATGGCTTCCACTTAAATTGTCTCCTTTCGTATTTTCATCAACGGCTCGGAAAACATCTTTGAAATAACCTAAGCCACCAACATATTGTTTATTTCATTCTACTTACTCGAGACATCATCGACATTCTGGAATCTTATTACGGGCTTTCCATGAGGCCAAAAGTAATAAAAATCATCCAATCCAGGCACTTTCTTGAAGTGATACGAAGTCAGAAGTCTTTGAAAGCATTCTTTCCATTCATTATACTTTGAAAGACAACCATTGAAAAGTCGAAAGAACTTCTTGGAATCCGATTTTCTCATAGTCTCAGGTGATGGCAGGGGTTTCAAAGTCAGAGGATCCAGATCAATTTCAGAATTGGTAAATTTGTTGGGGACATTTTCGTAGAGTTCCAGATGGATACATTTATTTCTCATCATGGAATGGACTTGACCCACCTCTAACGACACGTGCTCTGACCTGTACTCTGTAGTCTCTTGAAGAACTGACTTCGGCACAAGGACCTGCTGTCCAATAGCAACAAAGGTAGCAGCGACGTATGCTTTTGTGAACATATACTCTTCAAAAACTTGTTCCGCGTAACTTTTAAGGTCAAATGATGACAATGTGAATTCGGGGTGTTGAGAAAGCGCCCGTCCATCCGTTTCCAATCCTCGGAGATAAAATTCATCCAACGAGCAGGCTAAATACACATAAATTAAAAAATCACGTTAATATTTTGTTGACAAAACTGTAAGCCACTTACATTCCCCAACAAAGCCCTCCCGGATTTGTTGATTTAAGGAAGCCAGCGTGCTTATTCTTGCTTTCTCCGTGAAATCTTCGACTATAATCTCGACATTTTGCACCTCTCCAAAGCCGCTCTCCACAAATCTCTGGGCCATTCTTAGTTTGTCAACATAATAAACCATAACCGGAAATCCACTTGTACAATGTGGCATTAATAAGCGGACCGTCTTTGCGTTCTTGGGGACGGCGAAAAATACCAAACGATGGGGGTTTAACCTACGGGCGTAAATCCCGAATCCACCCAACGGACTTTTAGGAAACTGTCTCATCACAGCGAGATGTTGCTTCTCCAGATCCTCTAGTGTCCGCTTCGGTCTGGGCAATCTAAAAAAACCAAAAAATATACGCAAACGGCCATAATCTGCGTAGAAGTTTTGAAAATTTACATTTTGTGAACGGGTGATCCGGACAGCTTTCTGTCCCTCTTTTCTTCTTTGTTTCTCTGTCCTGAGGCATGTCGAGATTTCTCTCCAGTTCCACTCGGTTTCCTCGATGGACTTCCTTCATCGTAACCGCCTGAAGAACCCGATCCAATCTCATTTAACGAACTGGAAGAGTAAGCAATCGCTTCATCAAAGGCATCCAACAAACTTTTATTTACAGTAGGGGAATCGAGGGTGTCTTTGATCGGATCGGGGAAGGTTGGGACAGATGTTGACCGCAGTTTCTGGGAAATCTCACTCTGAAGACTAGAAATGGTCTGATTTCGTGTAAAAGTTGAATCATGGCTCGGATCATTGGCCACAGCTGACAGAGATCGGTTGAGAGGAGAATCCACAAAAGGATCAGTCTTATCTTCATCAAGGACAGCCTCGGAGTCATTGGGATCGTGGTCGTTCGTGTATCCGTCGGTCGAACACTAAGATTTTAAATCATAATTCGATTAAAAAATGATATTGCATAATTTTTTAAATCAAAAAATTTGATATATAGTTTTAAACTGCTAATTCTGTACAGCAATTGGCCCAACTAGCGAAACACATACATCTGAACTAGCAGATGATGACGGCATTGGGCTCATGAATCTCCCGTTACATTTCCTAGACAATTTGAGTGTGTTTTCTACATTAACGACAGCATCAAAACTCGTGTCTTCAGGTGAGTAAAATCTGTTGATCCCAAAGTGTTGCTGGCAATCTTCAACAAAGTTCCATAGAAAGGCGTCATCCAATGCGTCCACACAGCATTCGGCATATGCTGTCAGTTCTGACTGAACATATTTCAGAAGACTTTCCAGACGAGCATCAGCTAACTTTCGATCCTCATTATCTTCTTCAGCTAAATATAACTCCACTCAAATAAACTGTTAGTTTTACTTACTAAACCCGAGCGATGGCATCAACATGAACTCTCTCTGATCTGCATGATCCATCAGTGACTTCGGATCGAATACATCTTGATACAAATCAACAGCTGCTGATAACTGTTCCTTCGAAGCGGGACTAGCCACCTTATCCAAATTATGAGCTTCTTCAGCGTAAAGGCCTGATTCTGTAGCGTGCATAAGTTGGTCAAATGTGAACAGGGCTCTAACAATTGCGTCATCTTCTTTGAGGAGCTTAAGAAAATAATAAGTGTATAAGTCTTCAAATTAATTGCTTATTACTTGCTGAATAAATCAGTTCAAATGAAGAAAAAGAATCTCACTTGTAGAATACGCCTCAAAGGCACAGCGAAATTCTTTTCTTCACTTAGACCAACTCATTTGCATTACAGTTCAGATATGGTAGCAATTAGAAAGGAGAGGAAGTTCAGCCTTCTAATTAGGCGGTTTTTAAAGGGTAGGTAGCTATACTTCACGTTTTTCCGAGTCTTAACTTGATCGCGAAAATAAAATTTCATTTTGGTTTAAAAAGAATTTAAAACAACTCTCAATACACCGAAACCAGAAATCACCGATGGTAGGTGAAATGAAACAGAGAACCTTGCCATCTGATTTCGTATTTTTTTAAGGTAAGGAATAACTTCCAATAGGGCATATTAAATGCTTTCTTTGCCAAACCGAAAAGGCCAAAAACGGTGAGCTGACTCATAAGGTCATCAAGCCGATGCATAACCTTCGTTGATTGAATATTTCTAGGGTTACTGTACCAAAACCAGTTATAATAACCATGTTACACATGTTACCATAATCGGCTACCGGTCACAGACATAATACAAATAACTTTTAAAGCCATCGAGAAAATAGGACATCGGCAGAGTAAATATTCAGCTTATCTAAATAAACTCCGCCGATTCTCGGAATGGAATGAGGCTTTAAAATGGAAACTCGAACCGATCAAACAAAAATTTGAATCAGCGCTTATTTTCCTCTTTTTTCGCCGCTCTTCCTCCATTTTTGTAAAGCCTCCTCCCCATTCTGCCTCCACGAATTGGCCCCTTTTCGAGAATGGAGCCCAAATTCTCCCATCACAATATTTTTTAAGTGTTTTAAAACAACATAAACTCATATCCCTAACACACAAACCATATTGCACATCTCCGAGCGGATAAATCCCCAGGCTTTACAGGGATATAGAATGCAAGGATGGATGATTCCACTGGAATGACTGGCAAACAGTGCTTCTCCGTAATCCGGCTGTATGTAGAGAAACCAAAACTAGACTCCGTTCATGAGAATGAGTCACTTCCGGGTGTTTTCGAGCAGCCAATCACTCTCAAACTCGATCAAACTTAAGCCTACAACTATAAGTGCACTAGAACCTTATCGGCGGTATCACCAATCTCTCATATTCAAACAGTAAGGGTCATTCCTACCGATCCCGGACCGACTCCCTCCCACACACACATTCTCTGCACACTGTAGTTTTGGCAAAGAGCAACGGCCAAATAATAATAGGTCGTTTTGTATCAGACACAATATTTCCCGTCCCTCACTGATCACCGATAAAGACTCGGGAATGGTTTGAAATGGGAGTGCAGCTATTCAATTTCAGAGTCGTTTTCATACACACGGGCAAGACCCCGCCCAGCAATTTGCATGGCCAACATCGAGATCAACGCACTGGGATACTGACAGAGACATCAGTCGCTGTTTAAACAATCTTCCAGAAATCTTTTGGAAGGTGGAGTTGCGTCCTTTCAGAAAATAGTACTTAAAAGCTCCAAAAATAATTCGAATCGATAAGAAACGTTCAAGAAAAACCCGAGTCTCAAAACAATAGCAGACGTGTTATAAAGGAGGAAAAATCAACCATTGCTTTTAGAAATTTGACGACACCTTTCCTTAACTAATTCAGAAAGCGCAGATGATACAAGATATCTCGAACTGTAATGCAACGTTGGAAACGTAAATTAAAACGCCAAAAAACGTACCTCTTCTCTCTTAACCCGATCAATATCATTTGGATTAACAACTCCGGGGTCTGAGTTGTCATCGCCCGTCTCTTCCAAGCAACTTCTTGGCTCCAACCACACTTCTGTAGCAATTCTGGGCCAACCTTTCGAGGCTTTGTTTCGGGGTTTTTTAACCGTTGGGATACCCAAATCATCGTCGACATTCGGCCGTTTTCTGTAAAAATTTAGGTTTTTTTTCTTAAATTTGACAAGTCATTTTCATGCTGCTTACAGTAACCAAAAGTTAATTAAAATTCCGTTTTTTAGTTTAAAACGGTGAGAAAAAACAATTATTCCTTAGCCATTTTTTATGTAAATTTTATGGTCAAAAAAGAGGTCTCCCTGTATCTCATTTCTTATCGAGACTCTTGTCTTGATTATAAATGCAGTTCTTACGTTTCGTTTGTGAGTTCGGTGTCAGTGTAAACCGGACCAAAAAGGACACATTGTTCGACTCGCGGAAGGCTATCTGAAGTGCCCTGATTGAGTTGACGAGTGAGGTTCACAATTCCATTACATCCATAAGCAATACTGAATCCTTGTTTCAATCGCCGCCTGAGGATAATCTCCAAAATGAATTCCATCGAATTTCGCGAAACCTTGTCCAAGCGCGGGAAAACAGGCTTCAATTCCCAGACAAACCTCCTAAAATATTAATAAACAAGCCAATGGCACCTCACCTGCAACTCATATACTTGGCAATGGCATTGTGCATTATCATTTCCCTGATCTCCCAGCTGTCACTTGAATCCTCCAGTCTGACGATATTCGAAATGTCTGTGGGAACCTTGCTGTATCTAACCAATATTCTCTCCAGAGGTCTATTAACAACCCGAGCCAGTGAAGTTTCAAACGTTTTCTTAGTCTTACTGTATACGAGTTTGTTTCTTTCTTCTTGCATCCAAAGTTCGGCCGATTTAGTCATGAGATTATAACTTTTTTGACCTTTAATTGCGCAGATCCGCGAACACAATTCATGCACAATCTATTTGTAAAAAGTATGTTAAAGGCGGACAAAAAGACAAACTAACCGCTGATCTCTTCTTACTGCTTAGCCCACCAAGGAAGGCCATCTTCAAGATGACACAAGGAATATCAAATACCGCGCGGATGATGTAAAAGTATTGAGGGGGTTGTTCGCAATCACTAAAGGAATAAACATCATAAGATGCCACTTACATTTTAACAAATTTAACAAAACAAGAATCCTTCACCAAGGTAAAGCTGGCTTCCTGATTCAGCAATTGGATTACTTTTTGGCTAGAAGTCTGGCAAGTGATTTCATCCATAGTCTTCATTCTATCGTGCTTGGTGAACAATTGTCGTGGTAGATAATCATCTTCGGTTAATAATAACCTCACGGTATGCATATGAACAAGTTTCTGCCTAAACAAACTAAAAAAAATTTACAAAGCGTACCAGAGAGACTCATCGATGTTACATGCAGGTGCCCAAAACTTGGTAAACGTTCTATTAGAAAGTCGTTTTGACTTCTCTGTGATGACAAACTTTCCGGCCTTTTGTTCGAAAAGTGCGGAATTTTCAGCCTGTAACTCCTTGGGAACTTGATAAAATGCCGGCTGACGACAAAAAGAATGAAGATGGACCAGAAGACCGTCAACTTGTAAAAGTCTAAATCGTATATATTTATAAGTACCTATAAATTCAACTGTTTTACCTTGTTACAGTGTCCTTTAAAGGATCAGCCCCATCGATGTCAGTGAACAACTCCATTTGGCTATCGACTGAACCCTCGATAAACAGTTCAACATAAATATGGGACCTAAAAATAAAACAATGACCAATAAGTAATCTTACAGCTCCTGGAAGTCTTCAATCCACGGAGAAGATACAATGTAATCAATGGTCGCTCTTGTCTCCCAGAGAAGCGACAGTTGAACTCTAATCATCTCCACATTATCTCGGACAAAAGTTGACACTGATTTTATGGTATAACCTTCTCGTAGTCGAACGTACAACAACTTATATAAGGAAGTGTAGTATGAATGCGAAAACCGTCGATTTCGAGTAATCCTAAATTCCAGTCAATAAGAAAAAAAAGAAGAATTTACTCATTATTCAAACCGAGAATATCCAAAGTCTTCGATTCATCGTCCAAATCATAAGCCCGTTGGAAGTTCCAAGACAAAAAAGCTCGATGATAAAAACTCAACTGTCTATCGGGGACATCGACCAAATCCTTTTCATACAAAAATTTGCCAAATGTTGCTTTCGCCAGGAATCTAAATGCATACAGTAAAAAATTAGCGCCTCGCCTTTGGCAAAATACTTCCCTACAAAAGTTTCTGAGGACCCTGTGCAAAAGGAAAGGGAAAACTCACTTAAAAAGTTCTGTAAACCCAACATGTCCAAGAGAAGGTCCTTTCAGAGAAGATTGTTCCAACTGAATAAAACTGCACGTAATCGTAAGACTCCTCAACTGGCTGATTAAATTTTGCAGGGCGTCTCCATCTGGGATCGCACAGATTCCGTCAGTCACAATAACAAGATTGGACTGAGTGTGCTCGGGTAACATTTGAACCGCCATCAATCCAAGTCTGACCATGAAGACTAAAGCCCAGTCGGGTTGGATAAATCCCACCGCCGAATTTTCCTTGAAGTCTGGCTGGAAAAACAACGTGATGACACTGCCAAATAATTTACGCCCTTACAAATGACTTCGGAAATCCTCGAAGTTCTTTGGAGTCTATGTTTTCCCCATTTTCATTCACAACATCATATAAGGCTGACGCCACTTTATCCGCAAACTTCCTGAACTTCCTCCGTTCAACCTGCCATTCACTCAAATAAGGCTGACAATAACTGCATAAATCGTTTACATAAGAGTGGAACTTTCGAATGAGATTGGCCACAACAAGATCGATGGTCTCCTCATTTAACAAAACACCTTGTAACAAGACCTGCTAATGATTACGGACAAATATAAACTTACACTTTCGTGCGTAAAACAAAGAAAAGGAGAAAAGGCACAGAATGTAATGTATATCTGAGGCCGGAATTGAATTTTTGAACCTGGGAAATCAAACTGAAAGGAAAACTGCTGATGACAGAATATTGACTTACACTTTTAACAACGTTCTCCAAACAAGATTTGACGACCTTTAAAATCCGTGTATAGAAAACACTTCCTGATCCACTTTCGTCAGTAGAAAAAGCGGAAGGAGACAAGTCCATAACAAAAATAAGACGGTAGCAGTTTGAAAAGTAAGTGACTACTGTAGTTGGAGATACCCGGAGTTCGTCTCCGACATTCTGGGATGATTTAGGAATTCCACCAACCAATCTAATCCCATCTGCATTTGGCGGCAAATTGTCGTCCTTGTAATTGAGTTTTCTCCCAAGGTTCTGGAAGAACCACTTCGCTCTGACATTCCTGGATACCCTCAGACTCCCCTCCATCAACATGAATAACTCTTCTGCATCATCCTCTTCCTCTTCTAACGCGTGCTCCATCGTTTTCACGGGACTTTTTTTAAAAGTTGTCATGTTTTGTTAATTCATCTACAACAAAATCCAAATAAAGAAGCATATAAACACTCCAAAGTATTTACATATCGCTAATGACAACTCTTGGCAACTGCTACCTATTTTAAATACACATTCACAATCATTATTTATTTTATAAAATGGGTTAAGAAAATTCGACTTAGTGATTTGCCACAAAATAAATAAAAATCCGAGTATAGAGATGAAATTATCCAAGACCATTGTCCTCGAAAAGGCCTTGTTCTGTCTCCTCGTCTTGGAGAAGATCTTGAGCACTTATTGCCTTCAGAACCTGTTTCTTACTACTTTCCTGCATTTCCCCAGCCAACAAGAATTCATCCAAAATAAAATACGCTTTCTCGAAGTTGAAAATTATATCCAATTCACATACCTAAAAAAGCAGTTACCAAAATAAAATTAATTTACCGATCCGAAATAACGATCCAGCAATTCAACGTAGCGATGGATTATTTCGAGACACAGCAGTTCGTTGTCTGACTGTTCCACCGCACAACAGAAATAAAGGGAGGCATACCTAAAAATATAAAGCCAAATCTGACAAACACTTACCTTTTATACACCACCTTCAGGTCTTTGTACTCCAAAAACGAACACATCTTCGGTTTTCTCGCTAATATTAAGGCGACCAGTTCTCGTGTGATCTTCTTCTTTACCTGAATTACCCGAATAATTTGTATTTATATTTTCTCAGCCTTACCTTATCTGGATGAGCTACGTACCACTTCTGCAACCGTAATTTGCCTTGTCGACTAAATAACAACATGTAGTGCATCATTTTTGAGAACAACTCAGTGTTTCTTTTTGCTTTTAGATAGCAATCGTAGAATTTCCAACAATAATTTATCCGAACCAGGGCGCAGCCTGCAACACCTTAAGCCCCCGGCGACATTTTATACAAACAAAAAATGAAGTTTTGAAACAGTCGGAAACTTTTATTCGGGTTTACTAGTCGCGACATAAAGTCCGTAGAATTTTTCGCGGCCCCCAAATTCCGTCGCGCTCCGAAATGTTGATTTGTCGCTGCGAAAAACGGGAATCGCGCGCGACAATAAGGCAAAATCAACAAAATTGCACAGTGCAAAATGTGTTTTCGGGTGAATGCACAGTGCAAAATGCTTTTTCGGGTTTATGCACAGTGCAGAAAATTCTACGGACTTTATGTCGCGACTAGTAAAAGAGAGTTTTTTACAACTCGAAGGATGGCCCGGACATTTCGAAAAAACGACCGACCCAGAATCTTTTGATATTTTGCATAGTTGTTGTACCATGATAGCTGAACGTCAGCACGAATTTTTAGTTTCAGAAATTACCGTATACGGGGGTTACGGTAGGTACAATTTTTAGAAAGATTGGGTTCGTATGTAAAACCTTCAAGGAGTAAAGGCACAAAACCTCGCCGTTTTACGTTTTTGACCACGGGGAAGATTTTCATAATTGACAACTTTGCCGTAGGATGTTGCCTTCGACTACTTTGAAAAATACCAAGGTACCATATTGAATGTAACTTTTTTGCAGAGAAGTTGTCTCAACTTTTGAAACCTCTTAAAAACACTTTGACATGTATGTAACAACATATCAAAAAGGCGCGAAAATAAAAGGGGGGGTTTTGGAGTTACGGTACTTTGAATGTTGCCGGTACGGTATATCAAAAAATAATTTTTTTCAAAATCGGTGTAGAAGACCCGCAAAAATTGCCAAAAAACGTTTTCGACCATGGCGAACATTTTTGTAATTGACACTTTTTCTGTAGGATGTAGTCTTCGCCTACTTCGAAAATGACCCAGATACCATGTGTAATGTAACTCTTCGGCATTCTACTTGTCTCAACTTTTGAAACCTCTCAAAAATACGTTGACATATATGGAACAACATATCAAAAATTTAGAAAAATAAAGGGGGGGGTTTTGGAGTTACGGTACTTTTAATGTTGCCGGTACGGTACATCAAAATTTTATTTTTTTCAAAATCGGTGTAGGACAACCAAAAACCTTGTCAATATACGTTTTCGACCATGGGAAACATTTTTGTAATTAACGGTTTTCTTCTAGGATGTAGCCTTCGACCGGTTTGAGAAACGTCAAGATACCATGGTCAATATAACTTTCCGGCATTCAATTTGTCTCAACTTTTGAAACCTTTCAAAAACACCTTGACATATGTGTTACAACATATCAAAAATTTAGGAAAATAAAAGGGGGGGTTTTGGAGTTACGGTACTTTTAATGTTGGACATACAGTACACCTCGATTTATTCTCGGCTTAACTTTACGTAGATTATTTTAAAAACAAAATGTAATGTTTTATCTATGTTGCACGACCCTCACAACCTATTTTCACAAAAAAATTCAAAAAAACTAGACCTAAGCATACTGTAACATATCGTGCGCAGATGACTGGTTACTGTAACAGCAAGATCAGTGATTTCTTAATTTTTTTGTAACAATTGACACGGTTTAGAGACGTGTGTGCCATACGACGGTGGAATCTATCAAAATCAGACGTCAGCATCACAGAAAAAGTTCGGTGTACTGTATGTCCAACATACAAAGTACCATAACTCCAAAACCCCCCCTTTTATTTTCCTAAATTTTTGATATGTTGTTACACATATGTCAAGGTGTTTTTGAAAGGTTTCAAAAGTTGAGACAAGTTGAATGCCGGAAAGTTATATTGACCATGGTATCTTGACGTTTCTCAAACCGGTCGAAGGCTACATCCTAGAAGAAAACCGTTAATTACAAAAATGTTTCCCATGGTCGAAAACGTATATTGACAAGGTTTTTGGTTGTCCTACACCGATTTTGAAAAAAATAAAATTTTGATGTACCGTACCGGCAACATTAAAAGTACCGTAACTCCAAAACCCCCTTTTATTTTTCTAAATTTTTGATATGTTGTTCCATACATGTCAACGTATTTTTGGGAGGTTTCAAAAGTTGAGACAAGTAGAATGCCGAAGAGTTACATTACACATGGTATCTGGGTCATTTTCGAAGTAGGCGAAGACTACATCCTACAGAAAAAGTGTCAATTACAAAAATGTTCGCCATGGTCGAAAACGTTTTTTGGCAATTTTTGCGGGTCTTCTACACCGATTTTGAAAAAAATTATTTTTTGATATACCGTACCGGCAACATTCAAAGTACCGTAACTCCAAAACCCCCCTTTATTTTCGCGCATTTTTGATATGTTGTTACATACATGTCAAAGTGTTTTTAAGAGGTTTCAAAAGTTGAGACAACTTCTCTGCAAAAAAGTTACATTCAATATGGTACCTTGGTATTTTTCAAAGTAGTCGAAGGCAACATCCTACGGCAAAGTTGTCAATTATGAAAATGTTCCCCGTGGTCAAAAACGTAAAACGGCGAGGTTTTGTGCCTTTACTCCTTGAGGGTTTTACATACGACCCCAATCTTTCTAAAAATTGTACCTACCGTAACCCCCGTATACGGTAATTTCTGAAACTAAAAATTCGTGCTGACGTTCAGCTATCATGCTACAACAACTATGCAAAAAATCAAAAGATTCTGGGTCGGTCGTTTTTTCGAAATGTCCGGCCCTTGTTATGAGAAGCTTCAATCTGTAAAAAACTCTCTTTTAAAACTCTTGGTAACTTTTATTATTGTAGAAATTAGAGTATTAATATCTCAGCCGAGTCCATTATCCTCGATAATTCCGTGTTTGAGCTCAGCCTAAAAGCATCACAAATATGTATTTTCATCTTACATCTTGTTTCTCGTCTTGTGTTCGCATTGCTGTTAATATCTGACGTTTGCTGCTTTCCTGGACTTCTCCAGCTATCAAAAACTCGTCAAGAATGAAATAAGCTTTCTCAAAATTGAATATAATATCTAATTCACATACCTGAAATTATTGATGACTTACGAAAAAATAACCTACACTGCCGAAATATCCGTCCAGCAATTCCACATACCGATGAATAGTTTCTAGGTACAGCAATTCGTTGTCCAACGTTTCGATAGCGCAACAAAAATACAACGACGCATACCTGGGATGAAAAATTAGAATCAATCCTTGATCCACCGCTTTAAATAATTTGCTGCTTTAAAGTCTATTATAATCGCTATTAAAAAGGAGGCACCATTCTTTTGGGCAACCATTTACGGGCAGGGCAGTTTGCGACAGTTGCGGGCAGGAAATTGCGCATATACGCACCGCGATCAAAAGATTGTTTGGGCAAAAATATAATCGACGGCTTGTCAAAAAAAAGTTTGATTAGAAAAAAATCACACACAACGTTCTTCCAGTAGATTTATAGCTCATTTAAATTCTTTGTTTAGCGATTATAACTCTTGAATAAATTACTTCAAACTGATCACCGGTTTGCCAAAATCGCTTTCTATATAAAAACTGTGAAGAGTATACGTACCTTTTGTAAACTATCTTCATGTCTTTGTATTCGAGGAATGAGCACATCTTTGCTTTTCTGGCTAATACAAGTCCCATTAGTTCCCTGGTTAACTTCTTCTTAGTCTGAAAACCCTTATTGCATTTACATTTAGCACGGAGTGTGTATAATAAAGCCCTTGGGTGACATACCTTATCATTATGAGCAACATACCACTTTTGTAACCTTAGCTTGCCTTGCCGACTGAACAGCAGCATGAAGTGCATCATCTTGAAGACTTTTATTTAAGGAAACAACTCATTTCTAGCGGAATGGACAACAAACGAACTCGTTCATGTTTTTGTGCGGTAGTCTCATTTTTCCTTCTTCTCACTTTTAGAATTAAATCTTTTTCGTTACCATGGGAAAACGAAGCTTTATTACTGCACACAACCCGAGTACAAACTAAAGTATTGCACCATTTCTAAAAACAAAACCATAGAAGAGTGGGATCGTCAGAACCGATATAAAACATTCCATAAAAATTTACACATTCGATGATAAAACAGTTGAATATTCACAACGGCTTCGACCCAAATGTTGACTTCGAACCCTAAAAAAGCAACGATTACATAAGCGAGAAACGCATATAAAGTTTCGATAATCCGCCTTACCGAAAGCTTTATTATCCGTCTTTTGGGCAAGTTTTGACTTAGTGTTTTACCGGGTAAATGTGAAAAGAACGTCGAATTTGTTGCGGCGTCAGTTCTAATAATAACTGGCTCCGCTGATGACGGCTCGTTTTGTGAACCAACAGTTGGAGGAGGCTGTGAACTCGAGTACATATCCACGATCTTCTTCATGCTTTCCTCATTCTTCTTTTTCTTTTCTGAGACATCTTCTATCAACAAATGAGGTCTTTTTAGCGCCCCAGATAAAGTATTCGACATCGATTTTTTCACAGCCAGATTTCTTTCCGAAAAGAATCGCTTAACTTCTGCAAACATCTTGTGAGCATTCAGTTCAGCTTTAAACGCGGGCCGTATCCACGCTGGATACACATTAGTAGCCATTGTCCCATACCTACAAAATATGTATAACAATAAAAGTTACATCACAAACCGCTTACCTTGCATCAGCCAAGATGACGACTCCAAAGTCATCTTTATGTCGGATAACTCTTCCTAACGCCTGGTTAACCGCTCTAATCGCTTCTACGCGATACCATTCTTCAGGACTCATTTCCTGTTTACCTTTAGATAACCTTAAGCCCAGAAATCTTTTCTTCAAGATGACTCTTGGATCTCGGATGGGAGGAAAGGGAATGCCAACCACAGCTACAGCTCGGCAATGACAATCAGCAAAGTCAATTCCTTCCGACATCTTTCCTCTGCACACAGCAAACATTACGGCTCCATTCCCGGTTCTGACAGCCAAATCAAACTCTCTGAAGATAAGATTAACATCGTTCCTGTTAGTGGGCTCTACACAGAGCTTCTTGTTGGATTCCAATCTTTCCCATAGAGCTTGAAGACCGTTGGACGGTTTCTTAATCAAATGTGATGATTAATCTTAAACACCCACTTTCCATTTATCCAGGAATGTTTTCATTTGGCTATACGATGGAAAGAAAACCAGCATTCCCTGAGGCACGCTCTCAACTAGTTCAACAATAATGTCGCCAATTCCATTAATGTACGAATCAGAACCTCTAAAACTATCTTCTTCCGATTAAATTTTAATTACCGGTTCTGAAAAGTCCCATATAAATCGACATTCTTCTGAGTTTTCTGGATGGAACGTACAAGAATCTGATTAGATTTGGCGGCATGATCATTTTCAAGAACAAAAGGAAATGATCTGAAACACTGATCATGTCCACCATGTGTAATAAGCTTACACTCCCATGGATCCGATAAAATTGTTTATGGGCGACAGGGTTCCAGACGCCAGAAGTATCGATTGAGGCCTTTTATTCTGCAAATATTTCATTCCAATCTGAGGCGAGAAACACCAAAAGTCAAGACGGTAACAGTTTGCTTCTGGCTCGGTAAAATACAATTGGAAAAGATCATAAATTTCATCATTGGCGGACTCTGAGCCAATCGAAAAAACTCGTGAAAGGAATGAAGAAAAATCTGACAGTTTATCCGTTTTTCTTACAATCTCTGAGCTGCCAATTCCACTGTCTGAATCTGTAATATTATTTCATTAGTCATTTAAATAGACATTACTTTGCTGAATATGGAAAGTGCCCATTCTGTCAATAAGAACTCCGATTGCTTGGGCATTTTGTGGAGTAAACCCACTTTTATAAAGCAGATTCACGAATTCTTGACCAGAAAAGAGTTTGCCTGGGAGATCGGGGACATTTTCCCCTTTTCCAGCTTCTTTACTTCCGAACTCATCGATGTTATCCTCTAACTGAATCAAGAATTCTGAATGTGTGTTTGACAGCCAAAGTATGGTACTTACCCAGAAACTGGGCAATATCTTCTTTCTTGGCTTTCTTCTGTTCTTTCTTCTCATCCTTTCTATTAATCTGTTCCATTTGATGAAACATTAAATCTGATTTTTCGAAAGCATCCCTGGTCGATTCCTCTTCCTGAATCACAGCTTCTAAACATTCTTGGGTTTCTTTAATACAGAGACCAACATCCTTTGAAGTTAATGTCATCGATACTGATTCCTCAGCAATTTTTCCCTGAAAAATATACGAAAAAAACAAATAACAATACCAAATTATGTGCCTCGTCAAAGATAATGATGTTGCCAGTCAGATTGATATTGTAAATTTCTCTGATCTTCGGATCCAAGACATAATTGTAAGGGAGTAAAATAAGATCCGCATTCTGCTGTAAGTCGCGGTTCAAGAAGAAAGGGCAATGCCTGAAGATAACAGCAATCTATAACAGCTTACTGATGCTTCTGTCCTGCCTTTAAGAGGTCTTCAATATCCATAACATCCCCATTGCCTTCCGTTTTGTAAGCATTCATAATACTTGCAGGGTCTTTGTTTTGAAGTTGATTGTGATAATGACATTTCTTCGAGTGGATCAACTGTCTACATACCTGACTCTAAAAAAACAAAGAGTCTGTCAACCCTTTTTCTTATACCTTAAGATTTGAATTGGGCTGTTTCTTCACTTTCTCGTTTAGGCAGAACTGGTCACGGCCCGCCAAGATTGCGACAGATGTAGTTCTACAAAAAATAAAACTTATAAAATAAAAGCATACGCCTTGTAAATGGTCTTGTTCAACTCCTTGATAACTTGTTTTAACTGGGAATGAGTTCGAGATGCGTAAATCACCTGAGGAAATAACCTGGTCTTCATCAAACCCCCTCTGGGATCTAAAAAATACCAAAATAAGAGAGACAACACGGATTACCTACCAAACTGCACGCCGGATTGCAAAAGCTCGTCCATCCTCCCGTTGTCCAATTTGAAATTATTCTTTAAGCTTTGAATGTAAGACAACGTCGAAACTAATAGCGACAACGTCTTTCCTGTCCCTGTTGGGCTTTCCAAACAAGCATTTTGCCTCTGAAACACAACCATTATTGTTCGAACCTTGATTTACCGCTTTCAGAGCATTGATCGTCGTTTCCATAAATTTCTTCTGACACTCATAAGGTTCAAAAGGAAATTCCAAGTGTACATCCTGGATTTTTAACGACATTAGACTAGTAGAAAAATGTTAATTCACATGTAGATGTACCTATGTGCACAACATGACAAAAGAATTCAAAATTTTTTTATTTATTTTTTGAAAAACTGTTATCCCGCCAAACGCGTTTCGACTATCGATTAGAACAAACCATAATTACGATAAGCTTTCATTGAATTTATGGGACGGTCTAACGCGTTATAACGTATCCTATAATACTAGTCGCACCGTAAAGTCCTGACACATTTGCACAGTGCGTTTTTGTTTTTCTTTCACGCCCGTCGCGGCAATTCCCCGTTTTTGCACTAGAGACATGCACTTTCGCGCGAGCCCGCTCCAATTTTCTCGCGCGACACCCACGACAAATGTGTCAGGACTTTATGGTACGAGTAGTACTGTTATTGCATAATGCTTTTTGTAGCTTGAAATTTCTGGGGTTATTTACAGTTTTTGTTTTCCTTGAAGTTTATTTTTTAACCGCTTGTTCCAGCGTTCTAGCGATGTCTTGAAAGATAATGTCAGCAATGCCAAGTTGCTTGCTCTGGAATTGGCGCCAAATCGAGGGTTCGCAGCTTGTGAACTCCGATCTTTAGACGACTGTTCCCTCCTGCTGACCTCACTTTCTTCTTGATGGACAGCCATCTTCATTCCTTTTTGTCTTGCGCAATTCAACATTCAGCAACGCACCATCTGGCGGTTGCGCAACGAAAAGCCGGAGATTTGCAATCTGTTTTCAACGACAGCGTTCTCTTTCCTGACCTCGAACGGGTTTTTGAGGTCATCGGGGGAGGGTGCGTCGGATCGCGATGAAACTCGTGTTCAGATGGGGTTCGGACGGGCGAGCGAGCGGCGACAAGTCCCTGAGCAGCGAGTGGTCGGGGGGTCTGAGGCGATGCATTCGAGCCCCTCTCACTCGCACTCGATGCATGGCAGCGCACTCGAATGAGGTTGGGGTTGAGGCGTCTGTCGCGCGACGCGCATCCATTCGGCCATCGCACCGCCCCACCGCATCAGAGAGTGCACGCCAGAAGAAGGGGAGGAGCAGAGAAAGCACTGTCCTTCTTTTCTTTGGTCAGTCGTCGCGTTCGCACTGTTCGGCGGCGGTCGCGTCCCGTTTCTGCTCTTCATTTTTTTGTCGCTCTGCACCATTTCTTGACAAAATTCGAGGGTTTCCCAGCCCCGAACAGAGGGCATCGGATCCGTCGCTCCGCGCTGTACCCGTTTTTTCCTTGGTGATTGTGCGTGTCGCGGCTGTTCTCGTGTCGTGCTCACCGAAAGGCGAATCATCAGTGAAAAACGGGTGCCAGGCGGTGCGATCGGGTCGCCGCGACAACAAAACACTTAACCGCCCTTAATTTGGTTTAAATTTGAGACGGATCTTTAGAGGTTTGGCTGTATCCGACGTTCCTTGCTACAATTATTCCTGCTAAATTCTAACTCTTTCATCTAATTTATTCTACGGTAACTTATATCATCACTGAAGAGATGAAGCAGCTACTTAATTTTCTTAGCTTGGAGTATTATCTAACTTTTTGTACAATATGAGAAAGGAACTGAGCTGTAGTAACAGCCTGCTCGTACAATTCTCTCGTTCGTCCCCTGGTTGCTGTGGCTATCGACCAGTCACCGGGTTCGAATCGGAGCTTTGAGCGACGCATTGCACAGGGCTTCCTTCCTTTTTTTAGGTTTCTTGGTTAAGATCCTATTTTTCCGATTTTAATTGGATATTTTTTTTTGCAGACCGGTAATTAGCAAAGCAAGAGTAGATGATGGGTTTTCATAGTGTCTTCTCCGCTCAAAAGTTGGCATAACTTTGGTACTCTGCCTACCAATGAAGTGACAGTAGTGTGAATCATTTTACAAAGTTTTGCAGAAATCAATAGTGACAAGAGGTCCACTCTGTGCTTATTGGATTCACTGTCTCTGGTCGCTGTAATATTTTGGATCTTTAAAGTGGAGTATTTCTGGAGTATTTGTATTTTCCCAAAACATTTCTCAGATTCATTTTTTGTTTTTGTAGAGCCGACTTTTGGCGGGACATGGCTGACACCTGTTAAAGTCGACGGAAGCACTCAGATCTGTTTGGAAATGTGTTTATACTTTTGGGCTTTGGCCATTACATGACCCTTGTGATCCGGTTTGCTACAGAGTCTGGGAATTGGGCAAATGAAGCCGCTTGTTTACGCGGATGTTTTCATTTTAGTTGTGTGATTTCAAGACTAAATTCAAAGCAGATCTTTCGCCGCGGGTTTGAATTTCTCCATTATTCCTTAAACAGGGTGGTTCAGCCGGAGCTTCCGAACTTATTTCAAGTATTTCTCCACCAATTTCTATAGAATTTATCTCAAATTGAAGCTGAGGCACCCATTTTTAAAATTTTCATTCCAAACCTTGAAGCCCGAAATCGGTGAAACTTGGAAATTTTTTATACAATGATTTTCATTTGAGTTTCTCGGACTTATTTTTAAAGAAAATATTGTCTTGTCATATTTGGTGGACAAAAAATGGGCGCCTCATCTCCAATTTGATACAAATTTAATAGAAATTGGTGCATTATTGGCGGAGAAATACTTGAAATAAGGTTGGAATCTCCGGCTGGACCACCCCGTATAACTTATTCAATTTCTTGATACCCGAGGTGATGCCAACTTGATAGAGATCACCCCATATTAAGAAATGAACGGGCTTTATACAATTTTTTTGCTTGCAAAAAAAAATGGCGGGAGATTTAAAATCATCTTTGAAAGAAAAACCTTTTAAGGGTCATATCAAATAGATGAGGGGAAAACGGAGAGGGGCAGACGAAAACAGATTGCATTGTCTCCCGAATTCATAAAACAAGACCTTCGATCAGGTTCAGAAACATTCGTTTTACCCTTTTCTGTTTTGAAGGAGGTTATCGATTACCAGTATAGGGTATACTTACTTTCTTTGGTGACCTCTGGTACTGATAACTGGCTCCTTCCGGTGTCTGCTTTCTTGAATTTGTGTTTGCTCAAAGTTGATGCTTGTTTTATGACTAATGTATTCGCATGGAATTTGTTACAATGCTGATAAGTAAAGTGATTCAATTATTTTAGGATGCGTCTTCTTTCCGTAATCCTTTTTCTGCTGACTATAAGTACAGTATTCTCATTGGAATGTTACACTGGTTTTTCTGTGATTAGAGGCAGATCAGTGGGCTCGAATACAGAGACTTGTAAGAAATCGTCGGATCAGTGTTACAAGATGTCTTTGGAAGTAAATGCGGCTTCCAAAGTAAAGTTGGCGGGCTGTTCCACAGTCAGATGTATGGTGAGTATGGTCGGACTAATGTGTTGTTTCAACATTTCCTGTCTGTTTGTGTTGTTTCGTGCTGTAATTTGGCCGGCGATCCTTTCGCAAACGGAATTTGGAACCGTTGCCTATATGGGGAGTTTACTGAGTTACCGTTAACCATAAGTCGCTTCAAAATACCACCAAAGTAATCATCGGGTTGTCTTTTACTGGTCCAATATTCAAGGTAATTGTAAATACGAGTCTTGCAATTTCTAACTGGTGGATATAATCTCAGCTTTTTGTGTAGATATTGTTGTTGTATGTTCAAAATAAACGTTGGCCTCATCAGTTGAGTTGAAGACGTGTTTTGGTTATAGGTGGCAAAGAATACATGCACATCAGCACCTCTTAATGGAAAGATGGGTACCATCTGCTGTTGTTCGGGCGATTTGTGTAACGCAAACCAGCCCAAGTCTACTGGTGACAAGATGGTATCTCTTCTAAATGGAGTAATCGCTGGGAAAAACGGTGGATAAAACTGAGAATTACATCGATTCTTGTTCTTGCCACATTTCCTAAACTTCCGTTTGCCATTAATAACTCTGTAAAAATCTACAATAAAAAGTTTTGTTTACTCTCAGATCTATTATAGTCCAAACTTTTAAACTACTGCAAAGTAAAATTTCCTTCAAAGAATATTGCGTAGAGAGCCAGCTAAAAGGTTAATATCGGAGCGAAGAGAGTTAACTGCCAGCATGATGGATCTCTTATTGTTGAGAACTTCGATGGATTCTGTATATGGATTGTATCGGACGACGAAAGGACGATTCATGCTGTTCGTAAAAGTACTGAAAACAACTTGAAGAATTAATTTCTAAACATACCGAAGTTTTTGCTGAACCTCATCAAAACTCCGCGTAAAGAAGTAATTGTCTTGGAAAGTTGTGATGAGACATTCTTGTTGGACTACTCGGTCCGGGTCGAATCGGAGAATCTTCTCTTGAGCTTCCACGGCATGCTAAAGAAGTCGGTAATTGGTTTCCCAAACATACCACCAGTTCTCCGGCACTTGAAAGTAAACCGGCGCCATAAATCTTGTATCCAATCTCATCTGGCTTCTTCTTATCCACTGTGCATAATCCGAATTCGATGGAAAAGAAGTAAAGCTAAAAATTGGTGGTTAATGGAATAGATCGCCATGTCCTTTAAGGCGTTGTATTAACTATGCTGTCGTCATCGTTGCTTCTTACCGTCGCTAGTTTTTTAAGATCCTCTTCTGAAGCTCCCAGGGATGCCAATCCAAGTTCCTGGGAAAACTGAGCGAACTCAGGATCGGCAAACAAAGCCATGTGCCCCATGAGTTCGTGGACCGTATCCCTAGAAAAGATTTGAACATCTTCTTAACAATACTTACGGTTCTGGAGTGTAAAAAGGGTCAGCATGATGTCGAAGATACTGAGTACAATTAAATACTCGGAAAGCCAACCCAGCCAAGAAATCCCGCGCAGATAAATAACCTGCCACAGGACGAATTCTGAATCCGGTCTTTTCTAAGAAGGTTGTTCAAAATTGTTTTAAATACCTTTCAGAAAATTGCTGACATCTTCGAGTTGTGGGATGTTGTTTTCAGAGTATCCGCAATACTTTTCGAGCAATTCAAAATTCTCGAGGAACTCTTTGCAGGCATGTTTCAAGTGAAGTTCTCGGAGTCGACGGTAGATAACACCCCTGGAACGAAGAATACTTTTGAATACCCCAACTTACCATGTCTTTATTTCCGCGTCCGTGTAGGTTATGCGTGGAATTGGATCACCCCTAGAAAACCGATAATTTTGAATAGATCCTTACTGTCTATAATTGAGTGCTATTTCGGCAAACATCATCCGACGTTTCCGGTATTCCTCGTCTTTGAATCCCTGAAATGATTAATTCGGAGGCTGCCCAGATATTTTTGAATCGCGTAAAATAACCCACTGGGTGATCGGCATCCAACCCCCCGGCCCCATACATGATCACTCGTTTCCCACTGATATCCAGATCCTTGATCGCTTTCGGAAACCAAGGACACCCCGAGAGAGCATCTTCTGAGCCAGGATCTCTGAATTCTTCAGCTCCTAAAGGTATCTCCGTTCTCGAAACTTCATGGACAACATATCCCTTGGCTTTTAACTGTGCTGTTACGGAATCGGGTGGAAGATGACCGGGAACTTCAACTTCTACGAACACTTCCAAATCATCGTGGATACCATGCTTCGGGTCCCTACTTTCAATATGTTTTACCGAGACCTCCACGGGAAGAAGGGCTAGGATTTTGGAGATGGATTCAGAAGTTTTCTTGGTTGTTATAATCATGGCCAAAAATAAAATCCCGTTTTCATCAGCAACTTCCTCAATTGTCTTTTGATGCTAAATTAAAGTTATTTCAGAGTCCAAGGAAGTGATTACCTTGAGTTCTTTAGCTTCTTCCTCGGATACAAAGGGTACTCCCACTGATCCACTCCGGCGAAACCTTCTTTTGACATCTTCTAATCTTTTCTCATCACTACTAACAATATAGTACAACAAGCACCTGACTTACATATTATTATTTTTAACTTCTTGGTCTATTCCTTGATTGTAATACACAAACTTCATAGTCGAAGCCATTTCCAAAGACCTGAGAATGAAGAACAGGGAGTTGCAGTGTTCTGAAATGGGCCAAGAGTCGGTCGGTCGGTATTTGAAGACGAAGCCGAAGAACCTTCTCAACGGAAACCGCATAAGTAATCACCACTTCCACCCACATCACTTCAGAAAACCGATATTGTTTCTCCTTTTGGGATCTTAATCTATGCACAACGAACATCGGAAATCCAATCCCTGCTCAGCAATACTAATGTGGGATGTTACCGCTAATCCTTTATTATAAGAAAGTTCTAGGGAACTTGAAAAGTCGGACTTTTTCCATGAGAACGTGCAATGTAAAAAAATACGGTACTCAAGAGCGTAAAAAAAGAGGGCAAAAATAAAGCATGGCCGTGAAATTTTTTCTTATTGTTAGACATGAGAACGAAAGTTTTTAGGTTCAACCTTCTTTGACACTGCTTTCCAGCATTGTTTCAAGGCGTTGAAGCGAAAATGACAAAGTGCAATATGTAAAGAACTACAATGTCAATCGTTAATTTAGTCTAAATTAAAATAGTAAAAAATAGAGATATCATTTATGATACAGAGCAACCGTGAAAAAATAGCAGAAAATTATTAAGTAACCTCAGGGCAAAAACGATTTTTGGATGGGCTCGCGTCAGACGGCCATTAAAAAGGACAAATGACGATTTTGGGAATTTGAAAACAGGAATTCTAATTTGTGCAATAAAACATGGGAATGACTAGACTCCTTGGATCCCGGCTTTAAATACAATAGCCTGATTTATAGCCTAGTAATTTCCAAGTCATCGTGTATTCGGGATGGCCTCGTGGCCGACCAATTTTAAAATAAGTTGCCTAATATGGACTCTTACAAATCAATCCGTGCACCACAGCTATTTTTTGCGACCTCTGCGGTTTTGCGCTTGCTTACACATAACGCTGTTCTTCTGAAGTTCTGATCTAGCTTTCAGCATTTCCACGAAGCTTTCTTTTCATTGCCACTCCATTAAACCGATTTTTTTCCTTAATTTTATTCAAAACAATCTTTTATAAACCGGAATAATAATATTGACGACGTACTTTAGAGAAGACCTTACAAGATGTGATAAAATTTTTTGGAATTCATAACCGTAATAGTAACCTTTCAAAGAGTAATTCGGCGAGTATATTTTGAGTTTTATTTCATCTGGTAAACCTACTGAAGAGCTTTCTGATCATCTACAAGTCCTATGAAGACAAGACAACAACCTCACCGAGTGTTTCAAACTTTGTACAAAAACCTCGAAAACAGGGATAATGTAGCCAAAAGAATGACAAAACTTATGTAGCCATACAGTTAGTCATCTACATGTTCATGTCATGCTGAAGTGGAGGACTTCTGTACCAATGTGGCAGTTCAAAGGCACATCCATTCTGCCGGTGTTGTTCAACAAGTTTGGTGAGGTCATCTACTCGATTCCTCATGAACTCGGACCGGGTGAGTAGATGCACATTCTTTTCCCGTTCGGCTTGTAATTGCAGTTCTAATTCTTGAATACGTTCCAGTTTCCGTTGACGGCATTTGGAAGCGGCCATGCGGTTTCGGGCTCTTTTTCTTTCCAGTTTTCGACGTTCTTGTTCTTCCAAATCAAGACTAAAAAGACAAATCTAATGTAAGAAAAAGAAACAAGGGTTTTAATCTTTTTTTAGTTAAAACCTACAATCCATACCGTCTGACGCCCATAACTAATAACACTTATTTGACCCGAAGACAACCTCTGCCCTAATACAAGAAAATCTTTTAAAATGACCGGAGTTAAGAAAAGAGCTGCACCCTGAACAACTGCATGAGTAATATCGCGGGAACCTCGCTCTTTCCTCTTCTCGTTCGAATCCCTGAATCGGGGAAGAAAACGGTGTAGGGTGACGTAATCATGATTCTGAGTCATATCCAGCGAAAAAATATGAATCAAGTTGTTAAACAAGGTATTGTGGGGATCTAGCCTTTTAAACTACTTGGAAAGTGTTTGCTTTAATTATTCTTGGTTCCTCTCAAAGTTTAGAATACGACGGAAATCCTCACCCTTCACTCTGTCCAAATCCCATGAGTTCATTTGAGGTTGAAGGGACCCCATTCAGATGCCGTTGAGGTCCTCCTGCTTGATGTCTTTGTTGGGGGATGGGACTTTGATGAACATGACCACCATAACTGTTCATTGCTGCTGCCGCGGCAAGAGTTGAGACGGCCACAGAGAGTTGAGGGTCAGATTTGGTCTGGGAAGTTGATGTGGACATAGGGTACCCATTAGATTGAGGATGCTGGGAAACTGGAACCTGAGGATGGGATTGTGGTGGGAGATGGTTGGCAGGGATCAGATTGTTGGGATGGTGGCCAATAAAGTTACTGAATCCACTCAGATCACTTTGTTGAAAAATATCCATGTAACTGAAACAAACATGTTAAGAGTTTGCACTTGCATATTCCAAAATCCCTATTTTTATGACGACTAAATAATGCCGCAACTTTTTTCAGTAAAAAATATCATTAAACGAAGCATTGTTCAGGTTACACGGTATGCACCATTAACACTTGTTCGGCTAACATACAGTATCCTCTATCTACGATTTCGTCATTTCTTTCTCTCAGCGCTCTCCAGAACTAGTTATGTCTCGCAAAAAGAATTCGCGTAGGGTGCGAATACTTTACTCGATCAAATGACTCATCTTTGTTTGCTCAGGTTAGTCGTTCTATTATCCGTTTAATATCAGAACAAATAACCTACTCTGAGGCCAAGGTGTGTTATACTAGATAAGAAGACAAGAAGGCGGAAGTGGGTGATAAGTAATGACTCATCGGACATGTTTTTAAAGTTTGAAATAAACTGAAGATAGGTGACGTTGCAAATCAGTTTTGGCATTGATAAAAGAAGATAAGACACCTAAACATGGGAGGAATAAGCTGAAAGACCGTACTTTTGACTGTCGCTGTCCCACTCGAAGTCGAAGCTCTCCTGACCTCGGCCTTTCTCCATGGGCCTGGGATCGTCTGGCAGAAAGGTTGGACTGAATTGCTCTTGGCTTGGGAGGGGCTGCTGGACCGTTTGTTCCCCTCCACTCCACGTGGGGGTCGATGAATAATAGTGACGGTGATTATGCGAGTTAAAGTGCGCAACCATCAGATCCATAGAGAAAAAGGGGGTGGGGTCTGAGGCGAAAGAGTGAACGGATTTGGAGCTAAACCTAGACTAAAATCTTCCGTATTTAAATTTAAATTATCAACACGATCCGACACGCTGACGACCGGCTAAATGTTGCGTTATAGCAGACAAAAGAGGCGGCATTTTCTCTTTGATCCAGTGAAGGGACATGTTTTTATAAAAGCCAATATACATTCGACCTGTGAAAAGACAAACATCTCTGCTGATTACGATTTGATAAGCTCGCTAAATTCCAAGATTAATTTGGCGGTATCTAAAACAAAGGCCGAACGAGTGTACTGTTATAGTTAGAAGGACATTGAAAACAGGTCATCATTCAAATCAAATCAGTAAATTTAATCTCTTAATACAAAATAATGTCACTAGACTAAGGTTGATAGAGTTCATATTACAATGTTAGATCTCTACCAAAAAATTGCGACCAAAGCAAAGTTACAAAGCTTTTTTGAATAAAAAGTCTAACCTTTAACTGCGAAAAATTCGATTAACATTAGCACATTACAAAAACCGAGATTCCTACAAAAGATCCCCATACCAATGTCCATAAGAGGGAATGGGCGTCCTTTCAAGGCCCATTGCCTTCTCCGGGCTCACTAAATCTACTACAATATAAATAAATTCCCCCAATCAAGGAAAAACTTCCTAAGGCAATGCACAAAATGCTCTCTTTGAAAACGATGACTCAATTTTCCTGGCTTAGCAAAGTTTTTATTTGATTTCGGGTCTTGTAGGGGGTACAGTACTCCCGCTGATAAGAAGTTCAAAACTAAAAGTATTCTACAAACGATTGGTTTATAAGTGATCTAGCATTGTTAGACAGGAAATCGAAGATACCGTGTCATAAACACCTGAGGCATTACGCAATACCCAGGCGAGAACAATATCTAATGGCGCCATCAAGGAACTTTCAGCACTTCTCGTGCTTGATGTGCAGAAAAGCCGCTCCTTGCTCACATAAATCCGTTCCTCGGAATTAACGCAAAATTCATAATGAATCTCCCAAATCCTCCGGAGAATACGCAGAAGATTATCTCTACAACAATATCCGAGGACTACTTGAAATTCGAATTAGAAGTATTGGCGACAAAAAGAAGGTCCCAAAGAAACGCAACTTAAGGGGCGGAGAGTTGGAGACATCCATTAGGCGATCGACAAAGAAAAACGATTCGAAAAAAGATCTCAAGTCAGGGTTTGCGAGAAAGGAAGAATTCACGCCAATTTATATTCTTCTTACAAAAAACAGGGGTGCCACCGGGCCTGAGAAACTTTGAAACGGGTTGGGCCGCGCTTGGGCTCAATTATATCTACATATATCATTCTGGCCCGGCTAAACAAAACAAGTTTAAGCCAAGTGTTCACCTGGTATTGTGTCAACTCTGACCTATACGATCATGTTGATGGTAACACATGAGGAACTAGAAAATACTTGGCTGAAGCAATTGGCCGATGTTCAGGGGGATTCTCCAGCAACCCAAAATTTCCAGGATATCAGTTTTTCCTTGAATGACGTATATAATTTGGATGAGAGTAATATGGTTTGCATATAAGGTTTGATGTGGGCTTCCTCAGGTCTTACGTGTGTTTTTTTGAAAAGGGGGTGAAAGGTAGCGTTACAAAACGTCTTAAAAGACTAGAGTAATGCCACATCAACTCCTTACGTGGCCTTCCAAATAGAACGGCCGCGTAAAAGACTGATCGTTGTAATCGCCTCAGGAAAAAACATAACTTTAAGGAAAGGTAGAAAAATTACAAAAACAACTTGAGGATCTGGCCAAAACTTCGAAGAGAAGAAAAAAGATTGGGTGATTGAGGCCTTTTAAAGTCTCCAAAAAACATCTAAAACGCCCGTCTCCTAATATCTCGGAGGCATCAAAATTCGAAGCAGATGCGCCCAGTTTTTTGGCCGAACCCAATTTGAATAATAATATCTGATTTGGGGGAAATTCACATCTGGAAAGAATGTAATCAAAGCTCGCCGGGCTCCAAGGCGATCATGTTATAAACTTTTACAAACTTCAAAATTCATTTCTCTTTGTCTGCAAAACTTTTTAAAAGTCAATTTATTTATTTGCAGCGGGTGAGTCATAGGTTCAGTTAACGCGCAAAAAACATTCGAGGAACGTATACGAAGACAGACGTGATTGACAATACATCCGAGGACTCAATCACTCTCTAAAGACTCTAAATGTCCACAAGATTTATTTTTCGGTGCTTCAATTTTTCTACCGTAGGCCTATTATTTAGAACCAAATATGTTTTTCATGCATACCAGCTGAATTTTCGAACTGGGCTAAACTAAATCCTTTAAAATACTTACTTAATGTCATAAGACGGTGAAAAGAAACGAAATTCTTTACATAAAGTCATCGGAATCAGCTGTTCAGAACACAGTAATAAGCTAAAGCCACTTCTTTAGATTCCACAGAAGGAGAATGCGCGTGTTATATGTCGGTTTGGGATTAAAACATTTGGAATAATCCGGGAATGACCGCCAGATTAGCTAGGCTAAGAAGGGCGGGCCAAAAAACGCAAACGATGACGAAAAAATTAATTAGCAATACGGTAACAGTTGAGTCATGGAGTGAGTGAGAATATGCAAGGTATCCAATGTCGTATTTAAATTCAGCCCTAGCCTTGCAAAGAATCGGACATGATTAATCAATCTTTAAAAAAAGACACTGGTTTAATATTTAGAAAAAGGCGATTGATAAAGACAATAACTTGTCGATAATTTGCAAGGAAATATACTACTTGCGACATCAAACCAAAACTCTTTCTCTGTAAGAAAAGGCTGACAACGAGCAGCAAAACGATGACTAAACGCTCTACAGTATCCAAGGAGACTGTTTGTTTGACCTAACACAAGATGCTTGAAGGAATTCGAAATAGAACAGATAAACAGCAAAGTCTTGGAAGACAGTAATCAAACAAATCCAAGACAACCAATAGAACCATCCTCAACCACGGGCCATAAAGAGTTAAAGGCGTTTCTTGAACGGTAAGATCTTATTCAAGAACGGCGGTTTTAGCAAAAAGAGTTTGTGGGGACTTCATTTCCCTGCCGTCCTTTATATAAGATCCCTACTTTGATCCCCATTAATAACGAAATTCCCCCATAATCCCCAATTACCATTTCTACGTGCTCGGGATCTCTAATTCTATGGCCACTCTTTTCCCATAACGATACTAATGTCTCGGATTAAGAAGAGCTCTTAATCCCACTTATCAAATCGAATTTAAAACATTTCTTTCACATGGCCCGAGGCATTTTACGTCAATCGATGCCAAAAAGCCCTACTCGTTGCGGATTATCCGGATCGATGTTATTGGATCAATTAGGAACCTCATTGTCACCGTGATAACATAAGACGATTATATAATCATTAATTAATACAAAGTGTAGGCAATTAAGTAAGAATGATTGTGAGGTTTTGACAAGATATTAAGGACGAGAAAAATTGCAAAAATTAAAGCAAAATTAAAAATTATCCGAATGCAGTTTATAAGGACAAATTACGATCTCAGGCAAAAGGGGACATTTAGTTGGAAGTTACTTACGGGCATTGCACAAACTATTCATGGTCAAACTGAGATCTGCTATCAATCATTTTGGCGCCCTCGAAAAGTTGTTCTCTAGAAACTGATTTCAAAAATTGCCTACGAGCTTCTTTTACGGAGACGTAGGGCTCTAAATAATGTTAGGCTTATTCCTTCCATTTATTTCCGACCGCACATGTGATCCGGCCAGGGGTGGTCAGCGGGCACCGTTACGGGCCGCGCCGCCGGCCTGACAATGAGGTTTGTCAGACCCGGGCCATCTCCTATAATATCTCATAGCCCCATATTTTTTCGGTAAGGGCAATCTTGGACACGTCATGCAGGTTCAAGGTAAAAAGTGTTGTGGAGACAAGTCATGACAAAGCTCGCGACATATGAGAAAGGTCATCGCCGTTGCCCAAGATCTTCTCAAAATGGCTAAATTAGGTGACTAGGGTGTGAGAACTGCCTGGGTTGAATGAGATCGTGCCCTAACTCGGCAGCAAGTTTAGGTGTGTGTCTCCAAAAACGCGAAAGATCTTCTGCACGATGGCCGCTATTTACAATAGTTAAAATAATTCAGGTATCTTAAAATCCCGGTAAAACAAAAAAAAAGAAAGTTTTTGATATACAATTTTTGGGGGTTCAGCGACAGATTTCTTTAATCCAGGAAACCGTCGGCAATTTTTAAAGCTAGCTCATAAAGCTACTTTTCAAGGGCTCTCGAATGATATGTAGCACATGTCAGTTGGCCTTGGATATGTGTGGAATTCCCTTGCTAGAATGGACAACTTCTGCATGTCCAGATTACTCTTTAGTCTATCTTCTCTAATCTCGGCGTAATAAACTGGTCGGTTGTAAATCCGTTTCATTCTCATTAACCGACGTCAAACAATCTTCTACCGTCCTTTGTTAGCGGATTCCAGAGGATTAACATTTTTTGTGGATAATCCCACACGTAAGTTTACGCGTGTTCTCTACAGTACGACTATTATACTAATAAAGTAATTTGGGTTTCCCTTACCACAATAAAATGTTTGTTGCAGTTTGTGCTTATCCCCAAATTTCGTCCCAAACTTACTTCTGAGTCCCTGTGAGTTTCCGCTGAACTTCCGCCAGATTGACTCCCGAACTGCTCGAAGTTGATGAACAAGTGCTGGTGTTGATCAACGAACCCCCTGATTCGTTGCTCAAAGGTGATATCGAAGACGTTACAACCGCTGTTGGGGATAGAGTTGTAACGTCAGAGGTCTTGGTGTCGGCCTCTGAAATCAACGGAGAGTCCACTGAAGAGGAGGGCGGTATCAACGAAGGTGCTTGAGTAAGTGTGGGTGTGATCGCAGCCAGAAGATTGAATATCGACGGAAGATTGGTGCGATTCGTAGGGGTGGGAACGAAACTGTTCTGTTGTTGGAGTTGTTGCAACGCTTCTGAAATTAGAGAAATGCCTTCCTCTTCTCCCTTAATGAGTCCGGTTTAAGCTGGGAATACTCACGTTGGAATCCTTCCGCAAAGTTCTCCTGATCCTTGGTCACGTCCTTGGGGAAGATGATCCGGGTGGGGGTCGGAGTCTCCGGGATTTCGTTTTGGCCCTGGGTGAGGGCTTGAAGACTGTTTTGGAGATCGAGATCTGAAGAAAAGTTCAGGTAAAATAAAAAGAAATCTTTGTGTGATTGACATAGAAAGAGCCTGAAGCAATCTTTTGATCTGAACGCTCGAGATTTGAATTTAATATCAAAAATTCAGCGAAAACGACAAAAATTAAACAAAAAGGAAGGAAAGCAAGCACTAAGTGTAGACGAGCGTTACGAAATCGGACGTCGCTGACGTCTTCCGTATTCTTTCGGATTTCTTATTTCAAAACTGTTTCCCGAACTACCTCGCAAAGAGAGTCGATGATTACAAAATTGGGAAAGGACCCTGAGCTCGTTTAAACAGGTTTTCCAAATAACTAAAAAATTATTTGCATACGAAAAAATAAACTTTGAGAAGATTTACTCTCGTATTTTAGGGCATGGAAATTCAAAACGGGTCTGACATTCATGCTCTTAATCCTCTGTTCGTCCGCATTTGGTGACGTTTTTGAATACACATAACCACACCTAATCCCCCGGAATCTTATAACCGAATCGATTTATTTTAGAGATCGGGAACCTCGAGAACCAAAATCAAAATCGATTCTCTCGACAGCCGAATGAATCACCGTTTAGGACACAATGGAAGTTAAGGCAGCTTTTGCAATACAATAGTACCCTCAGGGAGCGATCTGACAGTGTTCGAGTGAGCAAAGACTTATTATGTCACTACCTTAAAACATACAGTACTCTTTCTCTCTCTTAAAGAAAGAGTCGGTCCTATTTCGGATCATGTAAACGAGATCTGAATCATGGACGACGCAGAAAGGCCAAGGCCTCCTTCACTCTTCTTCTTCTCCATTTTTGGCCGTTCCCAAAAATAAAAAAAAATCAACGCCGGCTGAGAATCAGGGGCTAAAAGTTGAAGCCGACCCGATCATTTGCATATTAATAAAAGGCCAAGGAGGCCTCAAAAGAGTGCGCAAAGACAGAAAAATGGAAAGATAACAAAAAATATCTTTTACTTACTGCTTCTATTCCGATCAGGCGATATTAAGGAGTAGATATAATCGAGCATCTCCTTGTTGACTGGACTTAGAAGATCATTTGCAGTCGGTCCTTTCCCTCTCTTTTTAGTCGGATCCAGGGCAAGATGTGATCGATCTCGTATCATGGCTGAAGATGTCGTCCTTTCTTCCGTCGGAGTTGTTGGGGCTGTCAAGGCGGCTGGACTAGCCGGACTGTCGTTTGATGAATCCACTTTTTTGATTATTTTTCCAAATTGAGCATAAAATTTGTAAGGCGAAGAAGGTACGATGAGATCAGAAACACTCTGAAAACATTTCACTGTTCAATTTTCTGTACTGGTTAAAAAGTTACAATCCCAACTCCTACAAAAGGTTGACTTTTGGCCGAGCCGAATTTTAAATACAACTACCTAATACTTACAAAAACAGGCAAACAACAAAGCTTTAAACTTGCAGTTTATTTCCCGTTTTTGATTTTTTGTACGAAGATACGGAAGCTGAGGTAATTGTTATCCCTGCCTTTTACAATCAATCAACCTGTCGATAATTGTAAAACGCAGAAAACACCGGGCTGATTCTAAAAAAAGGTTGTTACAAGAGAAATATGAAATATAAAGCATATTAAAGTACGATGATGAGCACGACAAGAAGGCCCGGGACGCGTAATTACATTAATTAAACAAAAGTTAAACCTGCCGATTAAACAAAAGAGCCAGAGGCAAGGAATTTGTTCCAGAGATTACTTTTTTAAATGCAGAGTTGTTGTTGTTTATACTACCCGAGACAGAAAGTCCCTAGAATTTTTACTGTGCGTTTTTCGCTGATTTTTTGCGGCCGTCGCCGCGACTTCTTGCTTTTACCCAACCGACACGCACTTGACCACAAATTTCACGCGCGACGCCGTCCAAACAATTGTACATACTTCATGTCCCGAGTAGCAAAAGATAATTGTAAACTCCTATGGATCTTGAAAAACAAATAACAATAAAGCAAATATAACAATCAAAACCTACTAAAGTGAATAATAATATAAAAGAGAATGACTGTTTAACTGTTTTTACACCATCTTTTCTTATTCCGACGACCTCCAGATGATGGATCGACAGTTTAAAAAAAAGGAAACCAAAGACGGTCAATTATTTGCAAACACTGCTAATAAAATCATATAACTACTCTCTAAATTCAAGTAAAATTACTCATCAAACATAAAAAGACGATTCTTGGGATAAAAAAGAAGTTCTAAAATTGACGAGAACTACTGTAAAAATATTTTTAAGGCAAGATTATTGTATTGACGAAAAAAATGATGTAAATGGTGACAGTAAATTCAGACGGCCGTTTATAAGAGAATATCCCAATTAGGGATTTACAACGACAAGTGCAACCGCGGTTGGTCAACTAATATGGTCATATTAAAGTTGTAAAACACGTTTGAATAATAATTTCACATTAAATTTCTAAATAGAAACCGTGGAAAACGTATAAACATTACAAAAAATGTACAAAAAGTATGGGGTTTTGACGAAAATGATACAAAAGTAATGTCATGTACACATGTTGAAGCCCCTAATCTGCATCATGAGATTCCCTCAGACGGCCTAATTCCTTTTTTGGCACCCCATCAAAACTCAAACATCTGGATTTGGCCCGAGTGTAATTCTTACACTACTGTAAGTGGAGTGTCTGAACTTTAGTTATATTTAATGCCATTTGCACTTTGCCGATTAAGGCCTGCGGCTGTATATAACAAGACAAATGAGAGCCTTTCAAAGATTAACTATCGGCAATTAAATTAATTCAGTTAGCACTATTAATTTGGAGGAAATAAACTCACACTTTCTATAATAAAATCGAGTCACAAAGAGTATTAAAATGCAGTTTCTGCACCGACGGAACTCAATAAATAGGATTAAGGAGAAGATGGCATTGCAAAGTTTATAACAAACGTAAGGGAAACCGAAAGAAACATCCACAAAATATTCAAGTTGTAAAATTACCGTATTCGGATAAGAAAAACATACTTCCGTTGGCAAGCTGCGCCCAGAACAACCCGCCAAAAACCCCTATTTGGAAGATAATCCCACAAAAAAAACAATTAAATATTCGAATTGACTCTGCATATTGGAAACTCTGGAGGGTGAAATAAGCCGTCCCGTCTTTTATATCCTCCAACAACTACACCTCTGATTGTAATGGCGGGTGTAATACGAGTGGTAAAAGTACACCGAGACAATGGCTCCTTCGTGCATGGAATGTTACAATTCAGAAACGCTTAAAAGTACAATTAATTTGGGCCCGAAATCTGCTCCCCGAATTACCGTAACCCCCGCGGCAAATGTAATTATTCAAAGTAAAATGTAATTATGTAAATGTGATGGACAAGTGCATCAAATGTGTTAACAGCCAGTTGTAGACGGTCGAAAAAAAGAATCTTCAGACAAAAAAGGAAGGACTCGATTAAGAGTACATTACTCATAAAAAAATCCAAAAAAGGAGATTAAAAGTGCACAATTCATACAATTACTCTCAAAGGTTGGTCCCACTAATTATCAACAAGGTCTGCTCTCTAAATATGCAAATTTTGAGATTAGTGCCTGAGGAATAAAAGGGTTGTCAGGGGTAACTTCTTCTTCCGAGACTCATCTTGGCGCCCTAAGGACCTGAGCAATGGATAAATCGGGAAGTAATAGAACGACGACAACGTCCTATAAGTAATCTAATCCCTAGACGCACAACTTATTTATTCCTTATAAAAATAATACAGGGTGCGGCAATTTTTCGGCCGGATTTTAACTGGCCATAACTTTTTTAGTTTTTGGGCAAATGTTAAAATTCTTTTTTTCCCTGAATCCATAGACAACCCCATTTTGTTTAATACCAAATATGTTATACCCGTTCATTAGACCACAGTAAAAATTCGACACAAAGAAAAAGCTCTAATTTTTATAGCTGACAATGGAATTACCCCTAGTGCGACTCTCAGATTTTCTTTAAATTTTGCACATGGGCCGCACATAGGCCACACATCAATTCCTGAAAGTTTCAGCCCGCACCTTTCAGGGGCGACCAAGATATTCAACGATTCTTTGCGGTCAGGAGGGCACATGAGTGGATCACACAGAAAAACTTTTTGGCTAGATCTTGGTTAGTTTTGTGCGGAGATAGCTGAATTTTTGTAAAAACGGTATTCTCCATGGCATGAACAGGCATGAAACTTTTTACGACAAAATTCGTAAAAAAAGTCATTTTTTCTGGCGATTTTCAGACACGCCGAAAAAGCAGAGAAAACGACCGAAATGCCAATAACTGTGAACTAGGTCCCTGTATATATGACATATTTGGTATTAAACAAAATGGGGTTGTCTGACGATTCAGGGAAAAAAATAATTTTAACATTCGGATAAAAACTAAAAAAGTTATAGCCAATTCAAATCCGGCCGAAAAATTGCCGCACCCTGTATAAACAACAGTTATTTCCTGAATTAATTTAAATTAGACATTTCTCGTGCAACTAAAAAAAATCAAAACTCGGCATGGCCAAACAAGAGAGTCTTGGCCCTATCAAATCTCCTTTTAAACACTGACCAATCTATTATTGACAATTACGCAAGCAAATAATCTTAATTGGAATTCGGTCAGCACTTAATAACCGATGAAAACAGTCCTCCCGAAATACTCACAAATGATACCACAAACAAATTAGGGCTATCCAAATTAATTTCTTTAATCCCCAAACATTTTATTATACATCTCAAACAGGCGAAGAAATCAATAAAGAAGGAAACTTGTTGATTGATAAGACGTGATAGCGACGTGATTTGACCCTTTTCAGCGGCGACGGGGTGCGGATGCACCGTGCGCAGAGAAAGGATGGGATCCGCCTTATCTCTGTGATAAGCAGATTCCAATCCCAGACCTTAATGGCTTCTGAAGCGACAAAAAATAAGAGACTTCGGTTGGGAATGAGCATAAGAGATCACCGAGATGTCTGTTATATCATCTATGCTCACTTTTTGAAACATTTCTAAGTATTCTTATATCGGATTAAGCTTTTAAAGATTTTCGACGATGGAATCAATCTAGACGAGTTGTAGAACGACAAAAACCATCTACAAATTGGACTGATAACGCTGGTAAAAAATGTCCAAACCTCCGGAACAACCTAGAAGAAAACAAGGGAAGCTTTAAAAAATCTCAAAATGGGGATCTGTCCCCGACCCCCTTCAACAATTAAATAAAAATAACCAAAAAAACTTGAGTTATGCACTCCGTTCAGCTCGACTCTTGGCTGGGCTAGGAAGAGGAAGAAGGAGCGTGAGAGAGATGAGCGGAAAAGGTCGAGTCATGCACTCTTTTCCTTCAAAAACCAAGAACAACATGGAACGGAGAGGGCACAGAGAAAGAGACCTCGAGTTGAGTTGTTTAAATAAAAACGTGAACAGAAATATTTTGTTTAAAACAGCCGGGAACGCTGACTCAATCGGGCGCCCGAACAGCCCGTCGTTCCAAACGGTCCCCCCTGACCAGAAGAAGCCGGAAACGGGGACAAGTTTGGGCACAAATATCCCCAAATATGCGGAAGGAACAAGGAACTTGAAGCAAGGGCTCTAATTGGAGGTCCCCAGTGCTTTTCTCAAGAAAAAAATTAAAATAAAAGCTAAAGAAGAGACAATTACAGAATAAAATTAATATAATTACAGTAACCCAGCCGAATCCAGACCGACCTGGTTGATCTGTGGCTCTCTCGTGCGCCCCTTCCATTTCACTTTCCGTCGGAATCCAGGCGAATCCCTAATCCGGACCCAAAAGACCTCATTCCGAACTCTGGAACGGCCGGCACTTTTGGGCCAAAAAATGGAATTGAAATTGCGGAGCCGCCAAAAAGAGCCGGGAAAGGAACATTTCTGAGACAGAGACAAAAATATGGAAAGCTCATCACATCACACTGATTCACTGCCCTCACTCACACTCGGTCCAGTCCCCCTGCATGAGCGCCTGTTTTAATTAGAGATAAATCCAAAATTCAAACAGTCCCAACAGCAATAAAAGGCAAGGCAATAGAAACGGGGATGACCCGAGGGCATGTTGCCAGCATTGGAAAATAATATTTTATCCTGCTACAACGTCACATAAATGTCCATGAAAT